CATCTTTTAATTCATTCTTTGACAATTTCACACATGTACACAATGTTTCTGGATCATATCCACTCTTCACTCCTAGATCTCCCCTCATAGGTCCCCTTTCTGGGAAAAGGATCTTCTATGAAGCTGTCTACTAAGACAGCTTGTAATTCTTTTCCCTTTGAGATGTGTGTGTGTGTGTGTGTGTGTGTGTGTGTGTGTGTGTGTGGTCACAAGAACACATGTAAGCCCCTTGGGGTTTGGAAAGTTAGTTTACGACTTTAGCGTTTTAGAGGGACAGAGCATTTGAGTTTGCTGCGGGTGTTGGCTCAGAGGCAAACACTGGATCAAACCAGCCCACCCCTACATCTCCACTGCTTAGTGATAACAGCAGTGAAAACAGCGCACTCGGACATCAGGGACCCACCCAGAGCAGTCTGAGAACAAGACAGTAGTATGTGCCATGGACTATGCATTAAACGACAGCCGGGGAGGTATGTGAATTCCAGGGCTGGAGAGCAGAGCAGAAACCCTGGCCGGGAGAAGTAAGAGGTTAAGTCATGAGAAGGCTTCATGTGACGTTGGATCTGAGTGAAAAATGTAGAGTTCTAGAGAACGGAGAGGCGTCTTTCCCTGTCCTCTAGAGACCTGTCCGGTCCACCGGGAGAGGCAGGGTGGGTGGCAGTTTGGCCGCAGTTCCTGACTTGTACTCCTACTGGCAGGTTTTGTGTTGGGGTACGTATGTGTGTAGGGGGTATGAGCATGCATGTACACATGCATGCATCCACCTGGACGTGGCTGTCCTTACATGAACTCAATTTTAATATTATCAAGAAGTTTTGTTTGTTTTGTTGTTGTTGTTTTTGAAGACAGGGTTTCTCTGTGTAACTGCCTTAACTGTCCTGGAACTTGATTTATAGACCAGGCTGGCCTCGAACTCACAGAGATCCTAGGATTAAGGGTATGTGCCACCACATTGAATATGTTCCTAAGTCATTTGGGGATGAAGCAATGCTATGGTTAATGTAGGAAAAGGAGCCAGAGAGTTTGTTGAAATACAAATTGCTGTCTGTATGCATCCTTGGAAATGGAGGTTCTGAAGATCGGGGGTGGGCCCAGCAATCTGCCATTCTAAAGAGCTTGCCAGGCAATCTGATGATGGGAACTTTGGCAACATTAAAACATAGCTGTGAAGATGGCGCCCCGTGCTACACCCTGCTTTAAAGAACCCTCTGTTGCCGAGAAGATAATAGTCAGACGCATCATGGATGGAGGCCAGCTCTTCAGGCTTCTTCACGGTTTCTTAGACCCAAATCCTAGGGAGGAAAATAGTAGAGACCCTGTCTCACCGAGGAGATGCAGCCACATTATTGGCTCTTACGAAAATGCTGTGGATGGGGCTGGAGAGATGGCTTGACGCTAAGAGCATTTGCCTCTCTTGTAGAGGACTTGGGTTCTGGTCTCAGCACACACATGGCAACTCAGAACCATCTGTAACTCTAGTTTCTGGGTATCTTTTTTTCTTTCTTTGGTTTTTCGAGACATTGTTTCTCTGTATAACAGTACTGACTGTCCTGAAAATCATTTTGTAGACCAGGCTGGCCTCAAACTCACTGAAATCCACCTGCCTCTGCCTCCCAAGCACTGGGAGTAAAGGTGTGCACCACCACCGCGCGGCTAGTTTCAGGATATCTTATGTCCTCTGCTGGCCTCCACAGGTACTAAGCATGTACATGGTACACACACATACATACATGCAGGCAAACTACTCACCCACATAAAAAATAAAAATCTTACAAAGAAGATAACACCATGCAAGGTTAGTGGGAAGAGGTCAACATCCTGTCCTTGGCAGAAATTGTTTTGATACCTGATCCGCTCTGAACTTTATGCTGTTCCTCAAAGAGTTCTTGGTTTGCCCCATGACCCCAGGGAAGAGGCAGAGAAGCCCCGGGTTGCTCTTGTTTCTCCTTCCTCATCTTAGAAGGCTTTCATCACGGCACCTGCTTTGATGGATGTCAGTTTCTCCAACCAGCCCAGATATTCCCCTCTGTTTATGACTGCCATCCTGGGCAGGGGATGCTCTGGAGCTACCCCCACCATCACGTCACGCTCATTGAGACAAACTCAAGCTTCACACCTTCTCTTTCACTGGAGACTCAGTCGGTTGCAAGTGCAGAGTGAAGGCTTGACACATGCTTGTGACACATTCACGCACTGTTTGCCAGGACAGAGCAGTTTTTGGTGGAGAAGCCAACCCCAACACAGGAGGGTGCAGCAGGTTGTAGGAAACAAACACTAACTTGGCAGCTTGCATGCCTTCTGTCTAAGGTCAGGAAGAATTTTGCCTTCCAACTGTCTTTTTTTTGTGTGTGTGTGGTTCTTTTGAGACAGGGTTTCTCTGTGGTTTTGGAGCCTGTCCTGGAACTAGCTCTTGTAGACCAGGCTGGTCTCGAACTCACAGAGATCCGCCTGCCTCTGCCTCCCGAGTGCTGGGATTAAAGGTGTGCACCACCACCGCCTGGCTGCCTTCCAACTGTCTTACTTGTGGACGGATGCTGGTGAACTTACTCAGGTGTCACATGCCATATTCCTTAGGGGCAGAATCCTCTTTTAATGTGCTATGGTGATTGTCCCCTAAAGTCAGAGTTGGCTGTACCAAAATTTGAAAGGTGGCTGGCAACAAGTTGTCAGATAAATTAACAGGATAAGGCTAACCAGCAATGCTGGCTGGCCACCGACAGGGAGGACTCCTGTTAGCTACATGATGAAATCCAAGCTATGATGATCTAATTAGAGCCAACCCTGGACCAACCCAGGAGTCTGTGTTGGATAGAGATTGATCTGCACCCTGATACTGCCCAACCCCCCCCTTTATGTGCAGCTGGTACCTTCAGACCTAAACTAGTGACATCCTGGCACATGGAGGAACAGGACATTGAAGGAGGCATCGGGTCCATAGTGATCATCACTATACTCTACAGAGCAGTGTTTCAAATCCCAGGGCTCTGAGCTCGGTGTCTCATCAAAGTCTCATGAATATGACATAAATGTGACAAATATTTAGGAGCTTTCATTTTTGTCTCCCCCAACCTCTCCACTTAGGTTTCCTTCTTGTAGTGATAAAACGTCCCCATATATCATCATGTTTAGATGCAATAAGGGAAGTGGCACAGCAGCCAAGAAAGCAGAAACTCGCTTCTTACACTGGTGGAAAATGCTGGAATGCACAGTCAGATATTAGAAGAAATTATATGCTAAACACTGCATATGTTTAGCCTATAATATTTATGGCTTGTGTTGGCTATGAAATATGGAGTGCCTCTGCAGGCGTGTGTGTGTCCCACTGAAGAGGGAAATGTACCCGCGAATTTGTTCTCAGCGGGATAGTCTTTAATTCAAGCTATGCTGTGGGATGGAAGGGTAGCGCATGCGTTTAGAATGTGAGAGGCTCTTGAGTTCAATCCCCAGGACCAAACTCAAAACAAAAATGATGCTTTGGGGCTGGAAAAATGACAGCCAAGCGCTTGGGTGATTGTGTCTCTGAGATCAGGGAACGTGCTTATACACAAGCCTAGACGCCATGGGCCAACCAAGAAATGCAACAGAGCTGCCCATAGTGCTGTACAGCTCTAGCCCCAGCCCTGGGGAGGCTGAGGTAGGAGGACCCAAGTTCCATGCCAGCCTGGGTAACTCTATAAAATGAGAGACTTTCTCAAAAAGAAAAACAAAAACAACCCACATGATGTATGAGGCTCTTCATAATGTATCATGGCATACTGTTTTACAACAAATGTTTTGATGGACTTAAGAGCACGTGTTCTTTCAGAGGGCCTGGGTTCATTTCCCCAAATCCATATAGTGGTTCATGGTACTCTCTAACTCCAGTTCCAGGGGATCTGATGCCCTCTCCTGACCTATGTGGGCACCAGGTTTGCATGTGGTACACATACTTACATGCAGGCAAAGCACCCATATAAATAAAACAAATAAAAATACATCTTAAAAAGTAATGCTTTGGAAAAGTCATGGATGTGTCCTCACAGTTAAAGTTCCTTCTTTAGCTAAAGTGAGATTCCTGGGTCAGTGGCCCTGGCCCTTGCCTGCTGATGCATGGGTTGCCTGCATTGCCTTGGGCTCAGTAGAGTGCCCCCCCCCCCATGCCTCTCCTCAGCGGATTGCTTCTGGTGCAGATACAGGCAGAGAAAGACTCATTCTCCCTTGGGGGTGGGGGGATGGCCACTAGGAAGTTGACCACGCTTCAGTGAATATATGAACAACATGAAATGAATTTTTCTTTTTTACGAGGGAGAGAAGGTCAATGGGAGGTGGATATGGGGAGACTGGGAAGTGAGTGCCATTGGGGTGCATGATGTGAGATTCCCAAATAATAAAAAAAAAATGAACAAAGATTCCTGGGTTAGAACCCTGGGACTTCATTTTATAAATGTTCTAAGAAGTGTGTTTCTCCTATAGTGCTGATAGTCCATATTGGACCAGTGAGTGTGGTTGTGCGTGCAGAAGCAGATCCCTATGTAAGCATACAACTAGAGCCCCACCAATGAGATTGTTTTGCTGCATCATTTACTGGCTACTGCAGTACAGCCCGAAGCATCTAGAGCATCTCAGGCCATCACCATCCACACAGCGGTGCACAAACACAGGCATTGCAGAATCATAGAATTCTTACGACATTTGGTAATGAGAAGTGTCACCTCCAAAGTGCTTTGGCCAAGTATTTGTAAGAGCCACCCTGCGTGGAGATGAGTTATGCATTTCAATCAGTAGCTTGTTCCAAATTTGCTTTCCTTTGCACTGCTGACAACTGGGTGTCAGTAGCAAGGCACACAGGATGTATTTACCAAAATGTAAATTCGGCTCATAGGAAAGGAGAAGAAATTATTCCTTTTTGAAAGCTGATGTGTATGGCAATCTTCAAGTTGCTGACATATATAAATATGATTCTTTTAAAAATATGGTGTCTTTATTTTTATTTATTTAGAGGTTTTTTTTTGTTGAGACAGGGTCTCATATATCCCAGGGTGACTTTGAACACATGAGGAGCCAAGGATGACCTTAAACTCTGGATCCTCCCCGCTCTACCTCCCAAATGCTAGTGACAGGTAAGTGCCCCTACACCCAGTTTTATGCAGTGCTAAGGACCAAATCCAGAGCTTCACAGATGTTAGGAGAGGTACCCCACCTGCCACCCGAGCTGCATGTCCAGCCCTGAAAGTGATTTGTGTGTGCACGTTCATGTGTATTTGACATGTATGCATGGGTACAGGCTTGCCATGGCACATATGTCGTGGACAGATGACATCTTGGGCATCTGTCCTCTTACTCCCTCTTGTTATTCACCCTTGTGTGACCTTCCATCTTGACACAGGTAAGTTAAGCTGATAGATAGGTGCAATGGCTTTTCCAGCAGTTCTGGAGATTCGAATCCTGGTCCTCACGCTTGCCAGGCAAGTGCTTTATCCACCGAGCCCTGTGCTCAGCCCCTGGAGGTTTTTTTTTTTTTTTTTTTAGGAAAAGTTGGAAGAGGTGTTTGGAGATGCTACTGTTACATAATATAACAGCAGGAGACATGGGGTCTGTGTAGAGTAATGCCATCTGTGCACATTCAAACCAACTCGGGAGGAAATGTTCTGAGACTGCTCTATGCTGGAGCCTGGTTCTGCAGGCCTGTAACCCCAGCTGCTTGGGAGACCAAGGCAGGAGGATCATAACGGCAGTCTGTCTGGGCTACAGTGTGGGTTCAAGGCCTGTCTGTACAACAGAGACTGTCAAAAAGGTAAGGGGACAAAACCTGGCTAGTCATATAGCTCAGTGGAAGAGAATTTTTCGGGCAAATGCAAAGCCCTCTGTTCAATCCCCCGTACAACAATAAAATAACATTCAAAAGGAAGAATAACTGTAGGGGTGAAGCTTTAGCAGAAGTGAGAAATCTTCCAACTGGCTCACTTACCCCTCCTCCCAAGCAAGCAGATCCTGGGCAGAAGGCTAACAACTCACAGAGGTGACCTAACGCACATCTTTGAGGAGCTGCATGACATGGTGCCAACCATGGAACAACTGTGGCTACCTATCTTTGTAAGGAATCTTTCCAGATGCAATAATCTTCTAAATCAAATTTAGAAAGGTTAGATGGTTTTAAAACATAGTGAAATCTATCCCATCAAAATGCTCTTTCCCCACAAGAGTACTATTTTGGCAAGAGCCAAATGCTTATTTTATCTGTAACTTTAGTTATAACGTAACTATTATGTGATCATTATAATTGTAACTATAAATTTAAATCTATTTTTCTTTTAAAAATTATACTCCTTTGTGCATATATGTGTATATATTTATGTGTATTTATTTGTGTGTGCATATGTATGTATATGAATATGTATATATTTATGTGTGTCTGTGTGTAGTGTATATACGTGGGCGCACATGTAACACCATATGGGCAGGGGTCAGATGCCACCTTGTTGGAGTCAGTTTTCTCCTACAACATGAGTTCCTGGGATTCAATTCAGGGCCACAGGCTTAGTAGCAAGTGCCTTGCTCACGGAGCCATTTCAGCAGCCCCAATCCTAGTTTTGTTACAAAAATCATATACTAGATATAGAGATACTTACAAATTTTATGTTGGGGTACACCTGTTAGGAGTATTTGCTGGGTGGTACATACTGGAAAAGTTAGGCTCCCCAAACCAGATTCTCCTCCCTTTGATGGCAGGTTTGTGGCTGTCTGGAGGAAGGGGTAGAACACAGAGTGGTCCAGGTATTTCTGTTATTGAAACAGCATCAGTATCAGCTTAAAGAGGATAGCAGTGCTGGACCAGTGCACACTGGCAGAGCAACAAAGGCAACCAAATAAAATAGGAAATTGAAGCGCTTCCCATGAACAGTACTAAGAATAGCTAAATCTCCCGAGTGAGCTCTCTGTGCCAAGAAGAGCCCCGTGCCGACCCCAGACCATCTTATCCCCAGGGCACAAGGTCTGAGTCATGGCGGGACTACCCATAGGGCTGATTTCATAAGTACCCATGACACCTTCTGGAAGTTTTGGACAATTTAGGAAGCTGCTTAGGTCTCCTCGGGTGTCAGGGGGATTTCAGTTCCATAGAGAGCCTGGTTCTGTATCCTGCTGTGTAAAACTACAAAACCACAACCAGAGAAGGAAGGTCAAAACGGAGTCTCCACACATAACGACATCATCGCTGGTCCTTACTGGTCCCCAGAGATGTACTCTGAGCTGTTTTCCCAGCAAGTGGGAAAAAATCCTAGCTGCCCTGCAGGCTTACCTCCTGGCTGCCTCCTGGGCTCTGCCCTGGGCTAGGTATCTTACCCTCTAGAACATGAACACCTTTCAGTTAGCAATTCATCCTGATTATATAAAGGGGATGGAGGTGCAGTCATGGCCTGTCACTCCCGTGCTAAATGGTCTAGGCATGGTTAGTGTTGTGGGTGTTTGGCCTGTGACTCAGTTCAAAAGAGCTTCCTTGGCTGAATACCGTAGCTGTTTAAAAATCCATCACACCAGTGGTGGTGGTGCACACCTTTAATCCCAGCTCTCAGGAGGCAGAGGCAGGCAGATCTCTATGAATTCAAGGCCAGCCTGGTCTACAGATCAAGCTTCAGGACAGGCTCCAAAGCCACACAGAGAAACCCTGTCTCAAAAAATATAAAAACAAAACATAAGAAAAATCTTCATCAGTTTTTCACAAAGGTGGCCAGTACTTTAATTTTGCACTAAGTGCTATGAATTACATAGTTGGTCTTAGGTCTAGACCAGGACGGAGTGGGCCGTATGGAGCACTTGACTGAGCTGGTGGCCAATCCCAAGGCCCGTCACTCCGTTACTACCTTGGAAACAAAGTCTAGAAGTAAACGCAGCTTCAAACCAGACTTTGATTGCTTGTATTACAAAATGCCTTGGCAAGGTGGGCACGGAATGCCGCTAAATCCCAGGTTTGGGGGCTGGGGAGTGAGAACCCATCCTCTCTTTATTCCTTGACCCTGAGTTTGGCCACCCGACATCCTAGCACATAGAACTGCACAACCCATTTCTTTCTTTGGCCTTCTGGGACTCGGCAAAGGCAGACCAGTCCAAACTGAATTTTAACTCTGTGTGTGTGTGTGTGTGTGTGTGGTGTGTGGTAGGGGAGCAAGCTGTGGCTTCAGCCATTCCACTCCACAGAGGGGCCTTTGCTAGCCACATAAAGGGCCAGTAGCTCTATTCTAGGCATGTTAGAGACGCATGGAGAGTGTAGGCAGTGGTGCAAAGGGCGCAGAGAGTGGGTTGGTAGTTATGTTTTTTTTCCCTAGGCGTGCACATAGGAGAATGATCACAGTTCTTATTGATCACACATGTTTTCCACCACACCCTTTTCATACAGCTTCTCATTTAACCCCCAAATAACTGGGTTACTTTTTTTTTTTTTATGGGAGAGGGGGTAGAGGAACAAGGTTCTTGCTTTTTATGGCAGTTGAAAAAATAGGGCCATTCCTCATACCTCAGGATTAGAATCCCTTTCACCCCATCTAAGCCCCGCCTGCCAGGACGTGTGGTTGTTCAGTCATCTTGCCTGACCATGTTGGAGATTGGACTTGGTCAGAGATCAAATCCAGATGATTCAAACACCGCGGTGTGGAATGCGTTTAGGGACACTTGCGTTTCTTCACGTCTCAGTTCCTTGAATCCCATGCTCTAGCAGTATCTTGGTTGCTGGGGGTGAAGGCAGGGAGTTAAGAAGCAGACTCCAAGAGGATGGAGAGGCCCTGGGCAGGAGGCAGAGCCTGGAGCCAGTGGGACAAGCTTCTAGTGATGAGTCTCCTGCACATTGTTGGAGAGCAGGGAGGTGGGACACATCTTTTTGCTGAACTCTGACAAGCTGCCATGCTTTTGCCAACAGTGGCAAAACTGACTGGTCCAACAGATGCATAACTTGTTAGCATTCTATGGGCACTGAAACAGTCACCACAAGGATATATTTGGTTATTATTATTGTTGTTGTTTTTAAATCATTATTTTTTTGAATTTTTATTTATTTATTTTATGTATATGGGTGTTTTGTCTGCCTATATGTCTGTATATGCCTGGCCAGAAGAGAAGGTGTCTGAATCCCTGGAATTGGGGTCACAGACAGCTGTGAGCCACCATGTAAGTACTGGGAATTGAACCCAGGTTCTCTGGAAGAATCGTCAGTGCTCTTAACCACTGAGCCATCTCTCCAGTCCCTTTTAAAAAATAATGTGGGGTGTTTTTTTGTTTTGTTTTGTTTTTTTGGCAAGATAGGGTTTCTCTCTCTGTAACCCTGGCTGTCCTAGAACTTGCTTTATAGACCAGGCTGGTCTCTAACTCAGAGATCCACCTGCCTCTGCCTCCTGTTACCTGGGATTAAAGGTATGTCCTACCACTGCCCAGGTGGTTTTATTATTTAAAATATTATTTTTGAGACAGAGTCTCACTATATCGTCTTGACTGGAACTATGCAGAGCAGGCTGGACTTGCACGCAGAGATCTCCATGTCTCTGCCTCCTACACGTTGGCTGTGTGCCACTATAGCTGGCTTTTTAAGATGGAATCTGTAACTCACCATGATTTCATAGTGTCAGTGCTACGGAAAGTACTGGTATAGTCCACATGAAGACATGCCAGTTATCTAACCGAGTTACCCCTCCTGCTGCCTGAACTGTTAACTGGTTTATTTTTCTCTAGTAACAATGTATTTCATTTCTGGAAGCTCTCTTTGATTCTCAGTTCTTCCATAAAAAAAAAAACTGCCTTGTTCTTTCATTTTACATTTTTTATCTCTAAAAATACTTACTATTTTCTGGGTATGTGCCTGAGTGTACACATGTGCATACAGGTCCCTCCAAAGGCCAGACAGGCGCACACTGTAACTAGAGTAACAGGTGGTTTTGAGCTTCCAACGTGGATGCTGAGAACCCAACCTAGGTCCTCTGGACAAGTGTCTTAACTACTGAGCCATCTTTCCACGCCACTCCTTAATTAAAAAAACACTTTGATATGCTCATGTACTGCTGTATGGTGACATTTTTGCTGACAGGGGACCACCTATAGGATAGGGCTTCCATAGGTTATAATGGAGTTGAAGTTTTTTTTTTTTTTTATCATGTAGTGACGTCCTAACTGTCCTTTGTGTGTGTGTGTGTGTGTGTGTGTGTGTGTGTGTGTGTGTGTGTGTGTAGTAGTAGTAGTAGTTACTTTTCCATTGCTGTGTAAGGCATTATGGCCAAGGTAGCTGTACTAGCTAGTTTTATGTTAACTTGACACAAGCTGAAATCATCAGAGAGAAGGGAACCTCATTTGAGAAGATGCCTTCCTAAGACAGAGCTGCAGACAAGCCTGGAGGGCATTTTCTTAATTAGTGATTGATGGGGGAGGACCCAGCCCATTGTGGGTGGGGCCACCCCTGAGCCTGAGGTCCTGGGTTCTATAAGAAAGCAGGCCATGAGGAGTGAGCCAGTAAGCAGCCCCCTCCATGGGCTCCGCATCATCAGCTGCGGCCTCCAGGTTCCCGCCCTGCTTGAGTTCCTGCCCTCAGTGCTTCTAATGATGAACTTGAGATGTGGAACTGAGTGAAATTAGCCCTTTCCTCTCTAAGTTGCTTTGGTCATGGTGTTTCATATAGCAATAGCAACCCTAATGAAGACAGCAACCTATAGAAGGAAGGGTGCATTTGTGCTTATGGTTCCTGAGGCATGGGAGTCCATCCTCACCAGAGCTGGGAAGAGTGGCACACTATACTGTTTATTATTTTGAAGTGTATTCTTTGTATTTATAAACAAAACATTTGTTATAAACAGTATGCCATGATACATTAGGAGGCACCTATGCATTGTGGCTCCCTGCCTTGCCCCATCTCTCACTCTTTCATTTTGAGAAAGTGTCTCATTTTATAGAGTTACCCAGGCTGGCATGGAACTTGGGTCCTCCTACCTCAGCCTCCCCAGGGCTGGGGCTAGAGCTGTACAGCACTATGGGCAGCTCTGTTGCATTTCTTGGTTGGCCCATGGCATCTAGGCTTGTGTAAGCACGTTCCCTGATCTCAGAGACACAATCACCCCTCTACATACATCTCAGCACCTGGCTGTCATAGCTAACCAGGCTGTGCTCCTTTGTAAGAGCCGCATCAGGAAAACGTCACGGGTCTAGCTGTGACGTCTGATTCTCACCTTCCGGGATTGCTTGGCTTTGCTTGTGAAAAGACTGGCTACAAATCTTAACTGAAGCTAATTTTTAAAATCGCAGCTCATTAATCAGGTGAGTTCTTTACCCAGGGGACTGTCAGGGCTGTCGTTATGTTAGTCTAGATTTTTATTTGATTTTATAGATGATTCATTTGCACCTGGGTTGGATTCATGGTTGGACTTGGCGGCCATTTTTTTTTCTATTTGGAGGTTGTTCCTCTCCCATGGGATTAGTCTTGCACTCGGTGTAAAGAAAACACAACTGAGCCAATTCCCTCTTCTCTGAATCTCGGTTTCCTTCTCTGTACAAAGTGAGTGATGACAGGAAGGAGTGGGGTTTCGTTATTACAGACGAGGGTGCTGTCTGGTCTGACCCAAGGGCTAGAAGGATGTCAATTGTCTTCTTTTCTCCTTTCTTACTCCCCAGCCCTCTCCTTTCAGGGTCTCATGTTGCTCAGGCCTGTCTTGAAATCACTATGCAGCCAAAGATGACCTTGAAGTTCTGATTCCCCTGCCTGTACTTCCTGAGTGCTGGATTATAGGTGTGTGGCATCACCTCGGGTGTACATGGGGATTCAACCCAGGGCTTCATTCATGCCAGCAAGCACTCTGCTATCTGAGCAATGGCCGTGGCCCTCAATCTTCTTGAGAACTTTCCTTTGAAGGAATCTTTTTCACTATCACGTACCATCCCAAATCAGAGGCAGCCTGATACTGCCACCATTGTAAGCACAATCACTGCTACCCCCTTGCCATTTCCACAGTTCTCCCAGTGATTGACTCATCATTTCGCCCCATTTCCCTAGACATCACCCCGGATACAGACCAGGCACATCCTTTTCTCAGCCTATGCAGAAATCCCAGTCTTAATGGCTCTATTGTTCCCCCTGGGCCTCTAACAAATCATCACTCCATAGTTCAGAGCTCCATTGATGTTCCCAAAGCCTCACTGAAGGATTCTGACTGGGTTTAATCCACCCTAATCTTTCCTTTATGACTTTGAAAGCCTCTATGAGGTGTACACAGAGGTAGCGTCCCTGGAAATGATAGGCTTTTTTAATGGTATGGCTTTGGGCGTAGTCCTAAGGAGACTATTTACCAAAAAGGACACGGTACACCTTCAGTGCACACAGGTCTCGAGTCCCTCATCCAAAAGGCGTGGGATCTGAGTGTTTTGGATTCTGCATTTTTATTTATTTATTTTTTATTTTTGAGACAGGGTTTCTCCGTAGCTTTTTGGTTCCTGTCCTGGAACTAGCTCTTCTAGACCAGGCTGGCCTCGTACTCACAGAGATCTGCCTGCCTCTGCCTCCTGAGTGCTGGGATTAAAGGTGTGCACCACCACCGCCTGGCGGATTCTGCATTTTTTGAATATTTGTATGTATGTTGTTGAGATACCTTAAGAATAGAACTGAAGTCTAAAAATGAGACCCACTTTTGTTTCAGACAAACCAACTACAAGTATTCTGCAGGTAACTCCACAGGTTTGAATGCATCCATCATATGGGGGTCAGGTATGGAATTTTCCACTTGAATCGCCATGTTGGTGTTCAGTGTGTCAGGTGTTCTCTGGGATTGGGATGGAAAGAGGAATGGGAATTGGAAGAAATGGAAGGTGCATGGTTTGGAATTCCTAGACTAACTAGGCTGTCTCTGTGGTGAGGTCAGCTCAGATGAGAAGCGCCTAGGGAGGTGTTGACACAGTTTGCAGAATGAGCAGGGCATGATGCACTATTCACAGTTTCAGACCTGGAAGCCCAGGAGGAAACAGACACTGAGCATGGCCCTACTTGGGGATCTTCCCGAAAAGAGATGAACTCCCAGGAGAGGAATGCAGTCAGTCTCCATCCCTTGAGAGCACTGCCCAGTACCAAGGGCCCATCTCTGGGCTTTGCCTCAACCCTTTACTGAAAATGACACAGTGAACATGTTTTCATTTGCACAGTGTTCTGGAGCCGAGAAAGAGGGGAGCTCGCATTCCAATTTTATTGATGTAGAATCCGAGAAGCTGAGCGCAAGAACAGGGTTTGAATATATGGGGTTCTAACATGCTTTGTCACCCCATGCTTAGGGATTATAGGGATGCTTAACAAAATGATGACACGGGACTGCTGGATTCTTATTAGGTTCCTTTGAGGTGAAATCCGCATGGCGTACGATCACTTTTAAAAAGAATTCATTGGCATTTAGTGCCTTCACAGTGATTACCACCATTTTCAGAGTGTCCTCCCTGAGGTTTTATGCAGGATGAAAGGGAAGAATGCATTTGAGACACGCAGCTCTGGCCTTGTCCCAGACCAGTGGTCTGGATTTTCAGATTTGATTCAGATTTCTCTCAGATACCAGCTAATATAGAACTAGGAATTACCTGAAATTAGTGTTGAAAATCATTTGAAAATCAGGTTGAGGGGACATGACATAATTCATATCCCAATCTAGTTTTCTTCCAAAATGGTATCGTCTTTTTGAGGGAAACTCACCGGGCAATCAGACGCATCTACCTGGAATCAACTACATTATCAAGGAGCCTCCTCTATGTTGGAAGGAGTTTGTCTTCCCAGCCAGGCTGTGACATGCACAGCTCAGGAGCCACCACAATGCTTTCATTGTCTTGGGCACGTGGCAAAACAGGTGCTGGGTGGAATAGCACAGTGACCAATCAACCCCAGATTCCAGCCACCACCAGGTAATCAGTGTTTTCATTTCTTTTGAAACTATGGGTTTGGTGCATGACGAGATCCACTTGTCATAATACTGTGATGAAGCTGGTCAGGGCCAGCCTGGACTCTGGTCTTATTCCCCAGGCAACCTTGCCTGGTATAGGACCGAACACACTCTGGCTCCCACCCTGGATGAGCATCAGATGGAGGGCAAGGGCGAGGACCAGGCTAAGCTAAGAATAAAATAGTCTTTCAGTAAAGGCTCTGGCCTTCCAGAAACCTGGGAGCAGCCAAATTCCCAAGAAGTTGTGACAGTCCCTTTGGCTTCTGAGGGCACCAGGTATAGAAGCAAGGTTGGCCACAGTGTCCAGGGCTGTAGCAGCTGAAGGCCTGGTGAGGAGAGTAGCTTGGAATCTGGATGAAGATCCACGCACTCAGGCAGGGTCCTAGAGGTGGGTAGCGTTCAAAATTGTGGAAGGAGCCTCCATACGGGGGCGTCTCATGGCTCTCCACAGCATCATGCCAAGGATGCCAACTACCAGACCACCTACTGCTGCCACTGGCACTGCCCAGGTCAGCACCTTGGAGGATACTTCAGCCTGCTGGGCTGGGAGAAGCTGAGCACTCCGAAGGGTGTAGAGGAACGGGCTTTCCTAGGGAAGGAGGCAGGACGATCAGAGGTTAAAGGCGCTCTCCACCCATCCATCCATCTGCCCAAATCCCATCTCTTAAAAGAGTGCAGTGACTTCATTACTGCGCGTCCCTGTTGTAAATCTCTTTCCTTCACATTGTACCTGAACCTTCCTGTGGGAATGGGTCTGTCAAGGGGTCACCACCCAGCTATAATCCCTTTGTTTTTTTCTCCAACACTTCCTTTCAAATGTGATTCTGAAAGGTGGGGAGTTGGTAAGCTACTGTTGGAAGAGTCTTGGGGTGCTGGCTGATCTGCCACCTCTGGGTCTTCTGGTCATTTCCCATCCCAGTAGTGCCTAGGGTTGAGGAAAAGTCAGGGCAAGAGGAGCCCTGGTCTTGCAGTGGATTCAAGCACTGGAGTGAGAAGTGGATGGGAGGGCTCTCTTAGTAAACAAACATTTTGCACAGCTGTGTGTCCCTGGGTTGGGAGCTCCGATAAGTACCCGAGGACTGAGGATATTCTCTCATTGTCCTGGAGGAAGATGTACAGAAACAACCACAGTATAAAGGGGAAGGTGCAAACAGAAGAGGGTGCCCGGCACAGGAGTGTGTTTGGAGGTAGGAACAGTAGAATATGACAGGATGGAGAGAAGCCCAGGGAATAAGGGGCCAGTGGGGTCAAAAGGAGGTAGACATTTTCACAGGCCAAGTCAGTTGTGAACAGATGTAAAATCCACATGCACACTAGTGAAACTCCTCTGGAAGTGGATCCATTTGCCTAGGGTGTCAGATATGTAATGGCGGGAGGTAGGTCTCCCTGGGCAGTGGCGACCAGACAGGGACTTACTTTCCAGGACAGTCACTCAGTGTTTAGAAGCAAGTGGAGGATGTTGGAGAGTTGGAGGGACAGGTGGGGCAGTGTCTTTATTGTCACCTCCTATCCCTGAGCTCCTGGTGTCGGGCTGGGCATGACAAGATCCTCAAATCCTTCTGCAGTAAAGCAGTTTAAGGCATCTAGCTGGCACTGCCTAGCACGACTCCTCTCCTTCCCCTATTTTGTGGTAGTCAGAAGGGAAAGTGGTGAGGCACTGAGTGGCAGTGTGTTTAAGTCCCGCCCCCACACATCCGGTCAGCTTAGGACAGGTAGGATACTCATTGCTCACTCACAGGTGAAGGACACTTGAGTTTGGTCCGGCTGTGTGTGAAGTTATTGAAAGTTGTCTTACGGCCCACTGGTTCCAGCTGGGAAGAAAAAAAAGGATACAGTGACTATGAAGAAGGCTAGGGTCTGGCTTACCTAGGATGCTCTCTTGGAAGGGTGTGTTCAAATCAGCCACTTGTTAAGATTTGCTGTGCAGCACAGCAGTGCTGGCTGGAGCTGACTTTTGACTTCCAGGGAGAAAAGTCTGTCTGAATCAGGCAGGACCCCTGAGCCGATGCCTCTAGACTTACCCAGAAAAGGACACCAGGGCCCCAGGAGAGAACCATCAGTCCATAGTGAATCTCTTAAAGATCTGGGACCAGAATGCCCACTGCTTCTCCACTCGTGGGAGGCAGTGATTGCAGACACTGTTATCTTCAATTTTATAAAATGGTGATCATATTTACCAACTTGTCCAAGCGTGTGCGGCTAGTCAGTTTCAGGAGAACTTTGAAAAGCATATTGGTTACCATGACATCCTTACTACACTTGGCTTGCCAACCTTGAGAAACTGGAATTTACTGGAACTGCTTTATGGGTTGTCACACAGAGGAAAACATTTACTTGAAATATCCCAGGGAGCAGCTGTGGCTCAGTGGGGTGCTGTTAAATGCTTCCATTTCAGACTCTGGGAGAAGTAGTAGAAATATGATATACCCCCAACCCCAGCGACTTTAGGTAGTAGTCTGTCCTGGACTTGTGCCCCATGGGGAGGAAAAGATTGGACACTTTGAACTAGTCTGGCCTTCATTTACTGTGTAATCTGTTTCAGGTCTGTTCCTGGCCACCAAGCCCTGACCATGCAGGAAGTAAACACTCTCCCCATGTTGGTGACGGGCCTGGGCCCTGATCTCACTGTCTTCTGTCTAAATGCCTTCCACACCCATTCCTTCGGGACTCAGAGGAAGGGGAATGGCTCTGGGCTTGGGAGAGATACCAAGAGCACATATCTGAGCCTTCGCTTGGTCAACAATGGCCATGCAGGGTAGACAGTGCCTGCTCCAAGGCAGCGGGATGACTGATACTGACCGTGGCACATTTGTGAGGACATTTATTTTAGGGCTTCCAGAGAAATGATGACGGGGAAGCAGGCATGAACCGGGATGGGTTATGGATGTAGATCTATTTCTGCTTTCTTAGAGCCAAGGAAACACCACTGCATTCTAGCAAACAGAAATGCCAGAGACCGAATGGACACTAAAGGTCAGGTTGGCCGCTTCCCAGCGCTGTTCTAAGAACTGGCACAGAGGACAGCTGTGACCCTGTGGGTTCAACGAGCCTCTATCAATTTCCTCTTCTGTTGCTTCCCACCAGAGTGCATCCTCACCCCTCCATCACCTGGGCTGTTGTTCTCTGGGAGGGTTTTTTTTTCCCCCAGTCAGCTATATTAAATTCACGGCAAGTCCTTCCATGACCTGCCCCTTGGTGGTTGGCCCTACGATCCCTGCTACCTACTCCTCCCTAGGGCATCTCGGTGATTTCTGTGGTTTCAAATCCTGTGTTGGTGTGCTGAGGTCACTTTTCTGTTGTGGTTGTCGAATCTCAGCTGGCTGCTCCCATTTGAGCTCTTGCCCGTAGCAGACCCTGATGCCTCTGTGTAGATGTCTAGGAGGCGGCTCCCACTCCCCATGTCCAACACAGGACACAGTTTCCAAGTAGCTATCTCGTTTGCTATCTGACCCCAAAGCCCCTCCCTAGTCACTTCCCTCAGCCAGTTTTAAATACATCCTGTGATCACAGGTCTCCTCCATGGCTGTCACCCTGGACCCGGCCACATTCCGATCGTGCTATCGTTTCTCTCGTATCTGGAATCCCAGCTCGTGTCTGCACAGTGATTAGAGAACAGATGGGAACATGCCAGCCCCTTGTTTAAAACAGCTGGGGACGTGGCCCTTGCCTGTCTTTCTGACTCTGGTTCCTGACCGCTGGAGCATCGCACTGGCCTGTATGCGCCTCTGAAGCTTCCAGCTCATTCCTGATTCCACGCCGCATGGTTCCTATTTCTTCTCCCTGGAACACTGTGGCCCAGACCTCTGCCTGCCTGGCGACCTCTTGACATTCAATTCACATGCCATCACTGCCATCCATAGTCAGTCGTATGTGACCTCGTGCTGATCTAACTTGATCATCACCTGCCTTTTCCTGGCCACACCATTCTCACTCCATGACAGCAGGGGTATTCTTCACTTTGTTACATTTTTGGCATCTGGTTGGTTGATGAATGGACTTGAATGGAAAAAACTAAGAAGGAAAAAGGCTTGGCACAGCCCCAGGAAGTGGAGTTGTTTTTCTAGAACCAACCTTTCCTAACACAGGCACTGTGGGGTACCAATGATTCAGCTGATCTCAGGGCTTGGCAAGGTACAGTGGAGCTGGCAGCCACTGGCATGGCCCTAGGAGGTAAAAGAGGTCCCTAGGGTAGCTTCCCCTTGAGTGTTTAGGCAAGGAAGCAAGAAAGAAAATCCAAGGTAAAAGGCTAGTGTAAAACTGAAAAGTAGGGGCAGGGGCTCCCTAGCTTAGTGGCGAGAGAAAGGGATTGGGGCCAAGTTCCCAAAAGCCTTGTATGCTATGCCAAAGGGGTCTAATCTGCCTCCTTCCTTTCTGTCAGAGTGGCACATGACTCTAATCCTAGCAGTCAGGTAGGTCTGTTGGTTCTAGACCAACTTGGTTTCTATGGTCAGTCAGGGATATATAGTGAGACCCTATCTCCAAAGGAAGAAAGAAAAGGGCACCAAGTCTTCTAAAACCTACTCCAGATGTGTGTGTGTGTATGTGTGCACGCATGCGCGCGCGCACACACACACACAGTTATTACCCTCAAAGACTAGGACATTGGATCTCCTGGAGTTACAGGCAATTGTAAACTCTCTGGGCTGGATAGGTTTTCGTCAATTTGACACATGAGAAGAGGCAACCACAATTGAGAAAATGCCTCCATGAGATTGAACTGGAGGTAAGCCTATGGCACATTTTCTTAATGGGTGACTGCTGTGGGAGGACTGCTGTGGGCTGTGCCTCTGGATGATATAAGAAAGCAGGCTGAGCAAGCCTGTAAGCAGTGTTCCTCCAGGTCTGCTTGAGTTCATGCCCTGGCTTCCTTCACTGATGGACTGGGCTGTGCTGTACTGTGCTGTGCTATGGAACTGTGAGCTCAAACAAACCCTTTTCTCTCCAAGTTTCTTTTGGGGGATAATCATAGCAGCAATAGAAACCTAACTAAGACACTATCTGACATAGTTGGGAACTGAACTTGGGTTCTCTGCAAGAGTGGTATGCACTCTTTTTTTTTTTACAATTCTTTTTTTAAATTTATTTTTACTTAAAAATTTCCACCTCCTCCCTCTCCCCCATTCCTCTCCCCCTCCCTCTCCAGTCTAAAGAGCAGTCAGGGTTCCCTGCCCTGTGGGAAGTCAAAGGTGTGCACTCTAAAACAAGACGATAAGATGTCCCCAGTCCCATTGCTATATTTTACAAGTACTTCTGGAAACTCACAAAGTTTCCAGCTGATCATTTGGGTGAAAAGAACATGGTCAGTACTCAGAAGGGCGGCTCCTACACCTTCCCTGAATCCTGTTCACCCAAAGAGAGACCATCGCGAAAGACAACACGGACTTTCAACACCTTAACACTTAGCTGCTTGCCTTTGAGGTAGGGGTGTGTGTGTCTCTGTGTGTGTGTGTGCACGCACACACACACATGAGTGTGAACATATGCTGTTGACGTTTGCTTACTCGTGGTGTGTGAAAATACTCTAGCTTATGGATGTACACCAGTTTGTTGATGGACACCTGGGGTTAACTGTGTGTAGTGTTTACTCTTCTCTCCAGGATAGAATTGTTGGGTCTCAGGAAGTGCATAGGTTTAGCGTTGTTAGATACACAAGAGCTTGCCAAGTGGTTGTAAACACTCAACTATATTTAAAAGTCACCAGAGGATGGTCTGGGGAGATGGCTCAGCCATTAAAGGCTCTGGAGGATTCCCATACAGAGTCAGGACCAAAGCTGTTGTGTGGGGGCTGTGAGTCTGAAGACGGCAGCTAAGTAAGAAGAGATACAACTACTATAGACATAGGGTTTGTGGATAAAGGGTTTTGTGAAGCAGAGGTGGACTAAGTCTCCAGAGGAAGAAGTGTGGGTTATTAAGCCTGGAGAGGCAAGCGGTCTCGTGACTTAAAGTGTATGTGGTGCCCTGGGACCATCAGCCAAAGTGCAGACACTATGTCATAGGACTCTAATCATGAGACATGAATTCACCGGCTGTATATGTGCTTATCGGGCCAGGAGCAGGAGGGAGGACGGTTGGCCTATGGCTGGGCCACCAGAGAAAGACATTTCTGCTGTGCCCCTGACTGGTTCTGTGAGGCTAGGCGAACTGGCTCACGGCTCTAGATCTTAGTGACAGTGTTCTGGCTGGATGACCCCATAGATCTGTTCCAGCTCTAACAGCCTATTTATCTGCTCTGACTCTAGGGTGACATTCCAATAAGACAACGACTGGAGAGTTGGCAGGATGGTAGAGCCATATGTCTGAGATGGTTTGACATGGGACTCTGTAATTATTTCCCCAAATTATACAGGACAAGGGACTGACACTGGGGTGGTTTGAGTTTTTTTTTTTTTTTTTTTTTTTTTTTTGCTGTTGTTGCTGTTTTTGGTTTTTCAAGACAGGGTTTCTCTGTAGCTTTGGAGCCTGCCCTGGAACTAGCTCTTGTAGATCAGGCCGACCTCGAACTCAGAGATCTGCCTGGCCTCTGCCTCCTGAGTGCTGGGATTAAAAGTGTGCGCCACCACCACCGGGCTGAGTTTAGTGTCTTTTATTTATTTATGTAAATTTGGAGTATGATTGGGGAACCAAGGCTCTCTTGTGTTACCTGTGTTTTTAGCTTTTGTTTTTAAACCCCTTCCTCCTGCCTTCATGGACAAAGCCCCCAGTGAAGGTAGGAGCCATGCTGTTAGTCCTCACAGCAGACAACAATGGACCTGGTCGTGTGTAAACACCAGTCTGACTACTGAGCCTCAGGAGAACCCAGCTGTAAGCAGATGTGGCCTGATAGGAAAGCTGGGAAGGCAAGAGATGGGCTTTCTCCTCTTTGGAGGAGCATGAGACAGGAAACAGATTCCCATTCCATGGAGAGATGTTAAAAGGAAAAAAGTCATGTGACTTAGTTATTGAAGGACATATATATATATATATATATATATATATATATATATATATTATAGCAGTAAGAAAACAATGAAACTCTCTCTCTCTTTCCCACTCTCTCACACACACAGAGCCGATACAGCTGTAATCCTGGCATTTGGGAGGCTGAATTGAGATAGATTATCAGGTCAACCTAGGCTATGAGAACCAAGAAAATCAAGATAACCTGAGGAAGCGGGTCGAGGGAAACACAAAGGTATCTTTGATGGCAATTTAGAGTCCTGTGCTGAAAAAGAGTATGCTGGAAAGTTTTGGAACTGGGCAGACAGATGATGTCAATGGGAGGAAAACCCCAAGACAGCAGGAGGGGAAGAAAGCTGAGTCTGCAATTAAATAGGCTTGCTTACATGCTGCTGGCCGCTAGAGAGAAGGAGGTGATGGAGCTAAGGAGAAAGTCAATATTATGAGCCAGCTGAGGAAGGCACCATGCAGCGTGAAGTTGCTGACAGGGGTGGGAATGTTTGCCCAGTGGTGGTTGGCACAGCCACCCTAGGCTTGAGACTTCAATAAAGAGCAGGGGTGTAGATGGTTCAGTCACCATGGCCAGGTGGGGTTTGAATTGCAGTGGAGCCTAGATCAAAGGCTGGGAAAGCACTTCATTTGCCCTGAGCTAGATGACGTAGACATCAGGGGTGATGGGCGAGGCACAAGGACACCTGCCCCTGTGGGCCCAGGACTGCATGTCCATTTCACAAGGGTCTTGCCTTCTCGAGCAGAAAGGACCGAACTAGGTCTCCACCTGGGAGAATAGGCTAGGTGGTGTTGCCTTTTTGATGTCTATAGAAATAACTGCTGGAAAAGAAAAACCATCCTATAATTCACAATCTCAGAGCACCTAGACAACAAAGAGGATCTAATCTACGTGGGAAGTAGAAAAAGACAAGATCTCCTGAATATATTGGGAGCGTGGGGACCATGGGAGAGGGTAGAAGGGGGAGGGGAGAGGAAAAAAATATATAGCTCGGTAAAAACAATTTTTAAAAAAGGAAATAATTGCTGGAGATGCTAAAGACTGGGTACTGAAGGGTATTGGGACTGACATTTGCCTAAGCTGAGTATTGTGCTGATCCTATCATTATTGCACAGCTGTTGAGACTGGCGGACAGAGACCCTCTGCTCAAGGATGCACAGCTGGTACTTCCATTCAGTCTCAGTTTGATTGCAAAGCTGTTCTCTTAGCAATGCCTAGGAAGAGTTGTAAGTGTACAAACGTGTGTGTGTGTACATATATATACTGACTCCTACAAGTTGCTCTGACCTCCACATATCCGCTGCGGTATGTTGTGCACACACACAGTAAATAAAACTTTTTTTTTTTTCCCAGTGAGATAGCTCAGGGACAAGAAAAGCTCTTTCCATCCAAGTCTGACAACCTGAACTTGACCTCTGGAACTCAGGGGAAGGACAGAACTGACACCCACGTCTGTCCTCTGATCCTCACATATTCCCACACCCCAATAGATTAGGGGCTGAGCAGATGACTCTGCGGCTAAGAACTTTCTGCTAACTCATGCTGTGCACAAGGACCTGAATTCAAATTCCAGGCATGGGTTTTTTGTGCCAGTAACCCTAGCACTGTGGGGGATAAGCAGAGAATGATAGAGCAGGGTAACCAGTGTCCTAGCCTGTGCACCTGCACACACACACACACACACACACACACACACCCGTTTGTCCTCTCGAAGGACTAAGCCAATAGCCTTAGGCTGCTCCCTTCTCCACTTACCATGTTGTTCCAGAGGGCAATGGCCATCTCAGCATGCCCACGTTCTGAGAAGTGGAAACAGTCTTCAGAGAAGACGGTGAGGTCCATGTTCCCTTGCTGTGACCAGAGACAGGGAGGTTATCATCGGGATGGGGGCCGCCTGAATCCCTTCCCCCAGCAGGCGACACAGCACTTCCCCTCCTTCCCATTCTGCTTCCTCCAGCTTCAGACACTGTGGAAAACCTCCTAGGTTTTGGATTTGCATCCTAGCAAACATGAATTATAGCTTTCCCAGTTCATCTCTGTCCTGGAAATGAAGAGGTAATGATTCTCCTCTGGGGTGGGAGGTAACTTGGTGGGGGTACGTTTGGTCACTATTCATTTTACCATTTCTAAGAAGGTCTAAGTTCTAATCATACACACACACACACGAAAAAAAAAGTACCTTTGGGAGTCTTCCTAGAGCAAGGCAATAAAAATGAGGGCAGCATCCACAGGCTTCCTCGAAACAGCTGAAGCTTACCTCAGTCAGTGGGATGAGGGTTTGCCGGAAGAAAGGCTGAACGACAACTGCGAAGTCCTCACGCTGCATGTACTGGGGCCAGTAGGAAAGCCCGGAGATGCCACTCTGTGGATGAAGAGGCTGCTTAACCCGACTGGCAAGGCTAGACAGGGTCTACTTAAGCTGTCATGGGTTGGTTGTGACGGGAGTGAACCCACGCTAGACAAAAGGAACTTAAAGGGGCTATGCAGGCCCACACATGGATTCCTCCTGCTTGTAACGAGTTCCCGCATCAAGAGCCCTGGCTAGAGAAGTCCTCCACTCACAGGCTCTACTGCTTTCATTTTGAGACTGTGAGTCGCTGATGGCCTTACATTGGCCACGGGTCCAGCTGCCCTCACTGCATGGGGAGAATCTCATCAGCTCTTCAAGACTGCCTAGGAATGTAGGATGGCAGGGATAGAGAGCCCATGGGTTTCGGACTTAAGTACCAAAAACGTGGGCTATTAAAAGGATTAAATTAAGCTGGGCGGTGGTGGTGCACACCTCTAATCCCAGCACTTGGGAGGCAGAGGCAGACAGATCTCAGTGAGTTCAAAGTCAGCCTGGTCTACAAGCAAGTTCCAGGAGAGCCAGGGCTGTTACACAGAGAAACTCTGTCTCAAAAAACAAAACAAAAAAGGATTAAATTAGTTGCATGTATATGATCTGGGGAGGTTGCCGCGGTGAAGGAAGAGGGAGTCATAGGGGCTTCGAGAAGGAATATTACTTTATCATTGGCCTCATGAAGAGGGATTGGTTTGCAACAAGGCTTTGGGTGGGCTGATCATAAAGGGTATGTGTATGAGTGTTAGGGGAGCAGAAGCCAGTGGGGCTAAGCTTTCTGCTCATAGGGAGGGGGATGTGGGAGCCAGGGACACTAACTGTTCCCCTCGTAATGGTTCTAGGAAAGAGGCCTCTGTGTGTGACATCTACTCTGATGGCTAATGCCGTTACTAGCTCGGGGCTGACCCTGAGCCAGGAGGCAGGGTTTCTTCCAGCTGTCCCCTTGGAATCGCTATTCCATCTTTCCCTGACCGTGACATCCAATTTGCCTGGCTAAATACTTTGAGAGATAGCCAGTGATTCCCTCAAACGCAGGTCCTATCAGTCAACCCCTGGTGAACACACACGTTCTGAGTGCCCTCAGAGAGCACAGCATGGACCCCCATCCTGGACGGGAGGAAGAGAGCGTCAAGTCACCTGGAAGTTCCAGTTCACTTTCTTCAGCTCCTGCATTGCTGTGGGATTGTGAATACGCTCAAAGCAACTGCAGTTCCTAGGAGACAAAAGATCTTGCATTGAGGCTTCCTTGGGGGAGGCCCAGCTGTGCCCCCAACGGGAGTTTCTGCCCACAGGGAGCTGCCTGTGCTGCTCAATGGATGTGGAAGGTGGGGAGGCTAGTATCCCTATGTTACTTGCATCCAACTTCATAGAGCCCTAACTGAGGAATGAGGTCAAAAAAGGTGTGTCGTGGTTGGGACTGTCAACATTCCCTAAAATCTCGGGTGCAGAAAGAAGGCTTGGTCCCAACTTTTGGCACTGTGGGTGGTGGTAGATCGAAGAGGAGGTGGAGCCTACTCGAAGGAAGTAGTCACAGAGGTCATGCCCTTTGTTCTCCCTCCACTTTGCCTTCTAGCCTCCATGAAGTGAGCAGTCATGCTCCCCCCATATTCCCACCAAAAACTTGTCTCGCCATAGGGTCAAGAGACCAGGGACTGAAAACCCTGAGACCTACAGCCAAGACAACTCTGTTCTCATGGATTGTGTGAAGCTTTTTGAGGCACTGGGATCTTTATAAGACACTTGTTTATAGTTGGAAGGATAGGTCCCTACGGCAAGGTCTCTTCCTCTTGTCATGGAGGCCCTCCGTCATCCAAGATGACTATTCCTCAACTCTTGGAGAGGGGGAGTTTTGGGGAAACTGACAGCTCTAGCCTCACTCCCCACAGCCCTGAGGCTTCTCAGCTCAGGTGAGTGACGGCTATCGGAAAGCCTGAAACTCCTTTGACAGGGTGGAATGTGATACCAGAACCTGAGGCATGAGAGGGACTTCTCTTACTAACCATGACCGTTCCACCTGGGGACCCGATTCCTTAGCTACCTTTACAGGGCACCCATTTGCCATCAGACAGGACCCCTTAGCCACAGCTGCAGAAACTGAGTCCCCGAGATGAATCATTTGAACCTTCATGCCCATGAGTAGCTGGCCTCCAAGTTCTGATTTTGAGGATGGGAGAAAAGGTATCTTCCTAGAGCCTGTTCAAGCCCATGAGTGTATTTCCTGTTGATGTTGCTTTGGGGGAGGAGTTACCCCTATTTTATAGGCAAGTACTCAGAAGTCCAGAGAGATTGTGGGTTCAGGTCCAATTGTTCCCCAGCAGCCGAGCCAGGATTCTAAGAACACTGGAGGTGTCCTGGAAGCTCACTGTCCTCTGCAGGGAGGGGTGGACTTTGGAATCGGAAGTGTTGGGGAGGCTTATGGGCTATTTGGTGTATCTCACTGTGTAGAAAAGGAAACTACCATCTAGGGAATGGAGTAGGCATTGGGTTCTATAGTCAGTTCCAAGTGTTTTCTAAGTCCCTGGCTCCTGGCTCTGCCTACCCCAAGCAACCATGTTCTGCACACTTACTGAACCGCCAGCGGCATGGCACACTTCCCACCTTCGCCCTGGTATAGGCCAGCCAGCTCCATGACCTCCACCACATTGATGAAAACCCTGGGAAGCTGTGGGACGCAGAGGCATGGATTTTATGAGTTCAAGGTAGTGGAGGTTAGGAAGCCTAGAGAACAGTCTTCAATCTAACCTGGCCCACCTGAGATTACCATCTGAGAAACGGATGCCCAGGGAGGGGCCTGTGTAATCGTAACGACTCTTTAGTGCCTCCCTTCATCAGACAGAAAAGTTGATACCCAGATACCCAGCACAAATGAACGCCACAGTGTCTGCCCTCAAACCCAGGGCAGTTCGCTCTATCAGGAGCTCTTTGCTATGCATTATCTGGCTTCCAAGTCAGTTAGAAGCTGTCCCACAGAGAATTGGGTTCAATTTGCCTAGATGCTAACCAAGGCCCTCCACACATGGCAGTAGTGGGAAAGAAAGCAGGGTTGCTTGCAGGACCAGGGAACAGGCTGCTCGCTACCCACTCCTACCTCCTCATAGAGGATGTTCAAGGCCTGCTGGATGTGCTTGACATACTCATCGACTAACTGGTTCTCCTGTAAGGGAAAAGGAGGCTTGTTGGAGCTTTCTATTCTGGGAGGAAGAATCAGAGAGTGAACTGAGCTACTCCTGTCCCCAAAAGTTCTGCCTTCTTGCATTCCCAAGAGACCTGGTGGTGTTCTTTTTCATAAACATAAGCTCTACGGAGCAGAGACAACACTGTTTCCATGAGGGCAATTCCCACACCATGTGTCCACGGGCAGCTCTGCTACCCTCTGGTTTCCAATGAGCCCCACAATCTAGGACCCAGCTATGCTGAAAGCCCCGTTGTGGGATATTATACACAGTGTGAAAATGTATTGCTGTGATTGGTGTGATAAAAATCTGAATGGCCAACAGCTAGGAAGAAGTTATGTGGGACTTCTGGAGACAGAGAGGACTCTGGGAAGAAGGGTGGAGTTGTCAGGCAGATGGAGAGGAAACAGGAGGTGCAAGATGGAAGAGAGGTCATGTCACATGATAGAATGTAGATTACTATCAATAGGTTACGTTTTTAAGAGCTAATTAGGAATAAGCCTAAGATATAGACCAAGCTTTTATAATAAGTCTTCATTATTATTTGCAGTAGCCATCCAGACAAAACAGTATGATTACAAAGCCCCAAGGGTTAAGTCTTTCTCGTGTACCCCAGGTCTCTAGTTCTGGGAAAGGACTGAGGGAAGAGTCTAGAAGAGCTGAGCCTGTGTGAGGAAGATAATCACACTGGGTTCTGGAATAGTTGCTCTCTGTGATCCACCAGGAGCAAAGAGCTGCCCGCCCACCCCCAACAGTGACCATCAAACACTCTACCACATCCTCCAAGTCCTGGCAGCTACCTTTACCCAGCCAAATAAAATACAGGATGTCCCTAGCTTAGAACAAGATGTATTCTAAAAGTGAAAGTTTCCAAATGCTTATAAGTCCAGACATGTGTCCCCACAGAGACACATCAGGAATGGGGTCAGCTCCCAGGCCAGCTGGCTGGTTAACTTACCATGGTCCTGAAGGACAGCAAGGACACTCTCAAGTTTGGTTCTATTTTTTCCAATTACATTTAGAAGATTGTGTTACCTTCCCTTCCAAGAGAGGGCAGACTCTAAGCAGGCACAAGACAATCACTGGCCACCTATCTACCAGAAAGTGCCATCTGTATGTCCCAAGGAGGCCCTGCCCCCAGCGCGTGAAGATTGGGTCCTTCTAGATCTTTCTTCTGAGTGGGGAATCACTTGCTCTGTGTGAACCAGAGGCTGCTGGGGTGGAATCAAATGCTCAGAGCCCAAGGTGAGGAGGACGGGGGTCAGCAGTTTCACTCCATGCCCCCAGTGGGGCTAGTCAGCTACTTACCGAGTTCTCACAGTAATGACACAGGTCATTGCCCCCAACAAAGAGTGTAACCAGCTTCCAGTCTTCCTTCAGGTTGATTGTCTGAGGGGACAGATCCTGAGGTTAGGGTTTGGGGACACTTGCTGGTGATGCTAGCCATGCTACGTAGTCAGTTCCTCAGGAATCTTTTTTGTATCACACAAGAGTCTGAGGACTTCTCCGTCACCATGGTGCCCAGAAGATGGGCACTCCTCTGTGAGAAGCGTGTGTGTGTGGGGGGGGGGGGGGCGGGTCTTCTCATACACAGGTGACAGGCCACTTTCTCCCCACCACCAACCCTCTTAAAGTGCTAGAATGATTGTGTCTCACATTGCCCCCAAGCTCTCGAAAGGCCTCACGGATCACCATGCTCCTTCAAAGGAATTTGTGTCAAAAGACAGAGCTTGGGGACAAAGTTGGGGCTCTTATGGCCTGGGTTCATGGAGGGAGAGCCTGGCAGGGTAGTATGGTGGGGAAATAGCAGGAAGGCCCAGGAGCTGTTGCGCCCCACTCAGCCTCCACCATAAAAGGAGTCCTCCAGAAGCCACAGTCCACAGTGCAGGAACAGGGCCGTAGGAGAAAGCGCAAGTGAGATTCTGAGGGGCTGGGAGGGGGAGGGGTTGGAGCAGGCAGCCTATTTTTAGTGCTTTGTGTTTATATAAGAGGGCTCTGGGAAGCCAACTCTGGGATAAAGAGCCCAAGGCCTGTGATCTTGGCCAACTCCCCGCTCCACCTTGTCCTCCTGCAGCCAGTCTCGGGGCAGGGTGCCAGGCAGAGCGCCTGTGAGCCCCTTGAAGATCGGCTGAAGACAAGCTGAGGGGTTCATCAGGCCCTGCCTCTCCCCAGCTAGAGGGAAGAACACCTTTTAGGGGGGTCTGTACTCACAGGTGTGGCTTTCATTTTCTCCACCAGAGCCCGGGCCTGGGCCGGCATGTCCCTAGAAGGGAGACACGTCACTATCATCAGAGTTGCTTGGCATGGAGGCCTGAAGCTTGACTCCATGAAAGCCGCTCTTCCCAGTCAGCCTGTGAGGTTCTGCTCTGCAGACGCGTCACAGGCTTGTTCTCATCAGGAACCTGAGTCTACACTGCTCCAGACCCTGCTGCCCCTGGGAAGGGACCAAGGCCTAGCTGGTCTCTGATCTAGGATTTGGACAACATTCTCGGCTACCCGCCCCTTTATCTACAAGTCTTTTCACTACAAGCCGAGCCTGTTTGATTCTTACTCGGTTGCCTGTTTTAAAAATAATCTTTTTTATTTTTGAAAAAAGTCACATTCCTAAATTAGTCCCCGGATTTCTCCTCTCCAGGCTTGATGGCTCCGTTCACTGCTACGTCTGAGCCCCAACAGCCAATCCTTTGATCCCTGTAGTCCTCTCCATTGCTACTTGGATTTCGACACCATTATTTCCCCCCTCCCGTCCAACAAGACAGGCTAGGAGAGACATTATGGGCAGGATCGGGACTCCTTGTCTTCCCCACTGTTTGTTGTAAATAACAGCACACTGTTAAGTTCTAGATACTCAGTTATGTGTGGCAGTGGAATAGCACATAGCAACGAAAAGGAACGAGGCATTGCTGTACTTGGCAGCAGGGATGGGCCTCAGGTAACTGAGTGACAGGCATGCTCACTGCATGAGAGAGGCGATTGTCTCGCAGGTAGACAGGTATCCAGGCTTCGCAAATTGTATGCCTTTGAATACGTGTGGTTTACTGTGGGTCGGTACACCTCAGTGACGCTGCTTCCTTAAAAAGACATGTGGTGAGCCAGGTGTGGTGGCACACACCTGCAATCCTAGCACTTGGGATGTAGAGGCAGGAGAATTGGGAGTTGAAGGCCAGCCTTGGCTACATGGTGATTGAGAGGCCAGCCTGGGCTTACCCTGCCACAAAACAACAAGATGATCTGAGAAGTTAGGTGAGCAAAGGACACACAGACAACATAAAGAGCCAACACGAGATGGTTACAGGCTGAGCGTGGACACAGCGGGCAGATACTGGCGCCATCTCTGCCCTCCTCACGGAGATTTTAACTTCTGTCCCTGTCACTATAAAGTAAAGGCAACCACAGATACGCTGTAACTCCTGACAGGCCCAAGTCAGGCTCCAGAGTGAAACAGAGATCAGGCCCTCACCACGCTCCTCTTTTCCTGCCTCCTTAGCCACAAGTCCTCCATCTTGTCTCTCCCTTCCTTCCAGAGTCTGGGGTCTCTCCTTGCAGCTGTTTGCACAGGTTCCAGGCCTGAGACACATGTCCTGACATCATCCTGGCTCCCCGAGTACTTTAGGAGAAGCAGCTGGTCCCAGTCTGCAGTGTTGCTGTACACAGCCCCCCCCCTTCCCCCAAAGTTAGCTGCTCTTTGTCTCCTTCCTTGGCTGGACTAATTCCTCCAGAGCCCGGACTTTACCTTTGGAGTCTGTGGCTATCACTCAGTAATGCAGACATTGAATGCATTGTCGCTTGATGATTAATTAGCTACTGAATAAAAATTTGAAACTAAATTTCCTGAGAATGGCAAGCTTTGGTATGCACACGGACTATATGCCATATGCAATCTTTCCAAGACTTATTTATCTCCTTTAATCCCATGACAGCTCAGAGACAAGTTCTATGATGACCTCCTTAGAGAGAAGAAAACTAAGACTTAGTGATGCTAAGCAGCTTGCCAAGGTCACACAGCCAGTGCGTTTCTGAGTAGAGACTTGAACACAGGATGTCTGATCTCTGCGGACCTGGCAATTACATGGGTGCTGGGAATTCAAACTCGGGTCTCTCATGTGTTATCTTTCTCTTCAGATGAACTTCCACTTACCCACACTGACAAATGACAGGGTCAAAATGAGAAAAAGAACAATTCTCAAACCTTACTTAAGCCAACGGCTTCCTGTCGCTTCCCCTCAACACTGGACACGAGCGACACCTGAGGGTGCCAGCTCCATCCTACCACCGCCTCTGCTCAGGCAGAGATGCTAAGTATGACAGTAAGGAAAGGGAAAGGTGGGAGAATGGGGAGATGGCTCAGTGGGTAACGCGCTTGCTGTCCAATCATGAGGACTCGGGTTTGAATCCCCAGCGACCACGTAAATCCAGGTATGACAGTGTACACCTGTGATCTCAGTGCTGAGGTGTAGGCTGTGCACCCCTAGAGTTCACCAGCCAGCTAACCTTGCCATATTGGTGAGCTCCAGGTTCATAGGGAGACCCTGTTTCAAAATACAAGGTGGAGAGAGCAGTGAGTGAGTCAGCTCAGTGGGTGGAAATGCTTGCTATACGTGAGCAAGACGACCTGAGTCCGAGTCCTGGAAGCCATGATGGAAGGAGAGAACCGACTGTTGAAAGATGACTTCTGACCTCTACACATGCTCTTTTCGTGTGTACCCCACATCACACACACACACACACACACACACACACACACACACAATAAAATTACAAGACTGGAGAGATGGCTCAAGAGTTAAAAAATGCTTACACAGGACAATCATCCTGTTCCTATGCCAGGCAGCTCACAACCACCTGAATCTCCAGTCCTCTCTCCTGGCTTCTGTGGGCACGGGTGTGTGCACACGCATGCACACACACGAGGTAAATCTTTAAAGCATAAATTTAAGGTAACGAGTTCCTGAGCAAAAGGTGACCTTGTCCTCTAGCCTCTAGCTGTAGGAATATATGTGTGCACATGCACCTGAATGCACACACCCACACGTGTGTCCGTACCCCATATCCCCATGAAGGGGTGGAAGAGGGAGAGACTGAGGAGCCAGCTTCTGATAAGCAAAGTCTGGACTCCAGTAATCCTAACAGTTAAGTAGGTGCTGGCACAACGGCGCACAGGGCCAGTGTTTTGTAGGCAAATAAGTCTTTCCTCTTGTGACACTGGATATCAACACTTCTGTGGCACCAAGATTCAAGCTGAGCCCTGGGCCTAGCTGAGGCTTTCAAAAGGAATGTTCTCTGTAAGTGGCGTGTGAGTCAAGCCTGTGCCGTCTCCCTGGGGACAAGAACGCAGCAAGCCTTCTGCAAAGCAAATGCCCAGCACGCTCCACGCAGGAAATCAATGAACCCGGTCAGGCATTTCAGCCTTAATTACCTGGGTTGCTGTCAACAAGAGATCCTAGTGAAAACAAACCACGGCCAATGCTATTTGAGGGACTCTGACATCTAACTCTCTAGTGTCAAAACACAGCTTTAAAGAAAAATTCTTCTTTTAGATTCAAGGATATGAGGCAAGACAGAGAGAGAAAAAGCGAAGGAGGAAGAAAACCGAGTGGTTTGTGATGCTGAGAGCCATTCTACACAGGTGGTTCATGCCCCTGACAGACAAACTGGGTACTAGACACCGTGCCCCTTGTCACTTCCTGTTTCCCACCCTGATCTCACTGCTGGTCCCCACATCAACTCACTGAGCTCTGGCCCCTTCTCTGGCCATATTTAATCCTGCTGTCTCTTCCAAGGTACCGGTGGAGAATCCAAGGATGGAAGGGTTGAACTTCTTCAGTATGTCTTTAAAGAAAGCAGAGAACACAGGTGAAAGGAACTGAGGTGGGCCTATTGGGGTCCCAAGTGCGTGGCAGGAGGGTCCTTATCTTTCTGGTGCTAGCTAACTCTCTTCCCGGCAGATAATTTCCTGTTTCTCCAACTCTAGGCAAAAGGCCCTGGCCTTGGTGAGGGTTATTTATGGTTGTGGTACTGGGATCTCTTGGTGTGGGCTACTTACTAGGCAGTGTGGTATGGGTCTCCAACGTTCCATCTCCTCCAATGCTGGGGAAGAGAAAAGTAACTTTGTCAAAGTCACACAGACTTGCTGCCTCCTGAGTTGTCACAGGTAGGAGTCAGGCCAGAGAGATTTTTGTCCTTGGGGCATTGCTCCTACCACCCTCAGGGCTAATACAAACATCACAGAGTCTCCTTGGATATCAGAGTAGGGCCATGGGGACCTAGACCTGGCCCTGAGCAGGTGGCAGGGAGCCCACTTCTTATGCCCCTATAGAATATGATCTGTCGGACGTGAGCCATGGACACTCTTACCTCCAGGACAGCCCCCTCCAGGAGGTGGTTAGACTGCTGGACTCACTTGGTCGCGCTCCTGAGGCTGTCTGTGAAAAGCCAAGAGATGCTTATGAAAGCATCTGTGACCTGGCGATGAGTTAGAGGGCCTTCGGGCAGGCCTTCTGGCCCTGTGTAGCAGCCAATACTCAGCGTGGCCTTCTCTAGGGAAGGGGCCCACATCTAAGGTTTCTTCTGTTTCTCCACATCTAAGGTCCCACCAATCCTTTCTGACACCCTCCCCTTCCCCAGTGAAGGTCCTTCCATTTGTACTGTTCATATTCTTGGAGGCACTCGTGTGCCTGCTACAGACTACATTGGTATCGCATCTGACCTCATAGGTGCCACCATGTTCCCTTCCTGCCACCTGAAAGGCCACAGCTCTTGCATCTCTGTCATTTGCCTCTGACTCTGACACTTCCATGTGTCTCTCTTCCTGCTTCAGGGTTTAGACCCCGGTGTTGGATGCCATAATCCAGCATTCACTTTCTGACCCCAACGTTTGCTTCCTGCATTTCTGACCACTCAACACCTCAGATGGAAGCATGTTGACCGGTTGCTACTTCCAAAGCCCCAAGGCCTTCAGCTGCTCTGCTGTCCTTGCCTCCCTCCTCCACCCTGTTCCTAGACTGTTGAACCCCCTCCTCCTCATCCCCAGGAACCCCTAGTTCCTTCTCACCCTTCCCTGACCACATTCTCCCTGCTATCCCCTCCAAGGCAGGGCCAAAGTCAAACCCTACCCCGTGGGGACATCATACCCTGCAGTTACTTCCCTGTGTTCCTTCCTCGTCTCTAACTTCTTTTCTATGAAGATTTCTGAAGCTGCCATCTTATATTTTTTTAATTAAAAAAAGCAGTCTATCTTTGACATTTACCAAAGTAACACGTTTGCCATAATCAGTGAATTAAACAAAGACTTTAAAAAAAAATAGTGGGTTGGAGAGATGGCTCAGTGGTTAAGAGCACTGGCTGCTCTTCCAGAGGACCTGGGTTCAATTCTTAGCATCCACATGGCAGCTTACAACTGTCTGTCACTCCAGTTCCAGGGGATCTGACACCTTTATACCAATACACGTAAGATAAATTAAAATGAGTTATTTTTTAAAAAATTAAGAAAAAAAAACAATTTAATATCACCACATGAATCTTGCCCCAAGGTTAGGGATGCAACTCAGTCTGTAGGGTGCTTGCCTGGCCTGCATGAAGCCCTGGCTTCAGTTCTCAGAACCAAATACATGGGGTTCAGTGGTGTGCACCCATAATCCAGCACTCCAGTCACGGAGGCCAAGAGGACTGGGAGTTTAAGGTCATCCTCAGGAAGTCTGAGCCTAGGCAGCGCTACTTGCTGTCTTAAATAAAACAAAACAAAACAAAACAACCAATATTGCCTCAGCAGGGCCTGGTAGCTCATGCTTTATTATAATGCCAGCAGCTGAAAACCTAAGGTTTGCTGGGAGTTTGAGGCTAACCTGGGCTACGGAGCATCTTGGAGCCAGTCAGGGCTATTTATTGTGATCCCAACACACAAAGCAACACTGAAAGACTCGTGGCTCTGATGGTCTCCTTCCTCTACTCTATCACCTCCTTCCCCTGCACGTGTATGCGCCCTCCCCACCCCACACCCTCCCCCCGGGTGAAGTCATAGTTGTCGGCCCGGTCTGCGCTCTTCATTACCTTCCCTTGTCTGGACCACGATGAAAATTTCTTCACGTCCTTCACTGTGGGGTGGCTTTGTTCCCACAGGAATGGACATGCATTTTCAAAGTCCCATATGTATATGTCACCTGTTCCCTCAAGACGCTCCTCCCCCATAAGTTTCTTGCTGCCTTAGCCGGAGGGCTATGACTGTTTAACGCTGCCTTTTAAGAAATGCTGAGAGAGCATGGTGCACAGAGCAGTAGCTAACCAGTGGTCTCATGCGACTGGGCCAGGACAGTGTTTCCCTCTGTCCCTAAGGAACATGCCCTTAAGTGGGGCCAGGAGATCCGGGCAATGTGTAGAGAAGACCTGGCACTCTTTAGGACTGTGTTGACAGAGTTGAATTCAGGCAACTGTGGACTGATGGGATGTTAGGGAGTGGGGTGGGGTGCGGGGTTACATGGGGGTGAAGTTTAAGTAGGGCTAAGGAAGATGGTGGGCTGGGATCCATGCTTCATGCCTGGAAGGGGACTCCCTACTGAAGGCAGAGGAAGAACCAGCTCTGCGAAGCCAGGCTAAACCCTGTGGGGCCCACCCTGGCCAGTGGCTTAGTACTCACTGTCACAGAGTCACCCAGAGCTGCCACCACCTTGATGTCTGCTGGTCGGAGCTCATGGACTAGGAGAGAAGGGCAAAAGGGTGTTGGCCTTTTACAGTATGAAGTAAACAAGACCAGTGAGTTCGCCACAGCCCACAACTTCCTGGGCTGTTTCTAGCCCAAGGCTTCACCAGCGCAGCCTCTTCCATTCATTCAGAACGCTAAGGCTCTGAAGTGCGTGATGCCATCAGGCACCCTATGGGTGGCCTAGCAGAGTTCCAGCGTGGGTCACACGGAATAGGCAGCTAGGGCCACATCCTTGGCTGCACCTGTCGCACCAGTCAGGGAGGCCTGAGGAGCAGTGTTGAACCTCCAAAGAGTGAAAGTTACTGAGAGTAAGTAGTACTTGGGGAGGAGGCCTGAGCCGTTCCACATGGAAGGGAACCCTGCAGTAGCTACTTCCCTGTCTCTGTCTCTGAGCCTGAAACTCTGCCTTACAATGAGACCAGCAAGGACCACTCTAGGGTGCACCTACAGGTGTGTGATGATTGCACTTACCTGAGCTGGGCACACTGCTGGAAGGACTCTGCGTTGTGCACAGGAAGTCACTGCCCCAGTTCTAAGTCAGGAGGAAGAAAAACAGAGAGTCAATCACTCACGGGCAGGCAAAGTGCGCCCGAGAAGAGTCAGCCCAGGAACCTAGAAATACATCACTGGCCGGATATACTGGGGGGGGGGGGGGGTGTCAGAAGAGTAGGCATAGTAACTGTAGGTGTGGAAAAAGGAAATTAGAGAGAAGTAGGCACGCACACACATAAACACACAGAGACAAACACACAGAGCACAGCCTTTTTCTTCCCAACTCATCTACAGTTGAATGGAGTCAGCAGCCACAAGACGAGGAGAGCAAATAGGGAATTTTTACAACTGGTTCTGCATAGGATACAGGTTTTACATGGCTAACATGAGCGATCACAGGCGTGCTTTGGGGTGTTTGGTGTGTGCTGTTAACACCAAGCTGATTGACATTAATTATGACGCGAGAGTCTAAACAACCACCCATTAAAATATTTTTATGAAAATACTGAAGTTTCGTAATTGTAAAGCCTCTGGTTCCTGCACATCTTTCCTATTTGGCCTATTTAACTCAGAGCCATCAACCCTCCTCCCTCCCACGAGCAAAACCGGGCATCTGCCACACTGGACACTTTCAGTCAACTGTCCTTGTCTCTAATAAAGGGTAGATTTTCCAGGTGCCAGGGGGAGTCAGGGTGGGGTGAGAGGCAGAAGGTACAGAAATGACAATTCAAGAGGACTTGGTGAAGAACTAACGTTGCCCAAATAGAAGTGCACTGGGGGTGCCGGAAAGCCTCCCCACAATGGTTCGACTGATGGTGAGTAACTGTCAGAGCCTCAGAAAGGTTATCTAAAGACAAACTTTCCTACATCCCTCCTTGGCAAGCAAGAACTGTCAATCAAAACATAGTTTTCATCTCAGTGAGAGGGAGGATAAACTGTCACTCAAAACACAACTCTCCCTTAAAGGGAGAGAAAAACAGGAAAAAAAAAATAAAAGAGTACCCATGGCTCAAGAACATAGATTTAGGTTCCCCGGATAATCTGTTCCAACGTAGAAATGATTCTGTGAGGTTTTTTTATAGTCACAGAACAGAAGAAGTCCACTGATGGAGACATCAGGTATCTGGGTTACAGGAAACAAGGAAAATGCCCTCTCTGATGCTACCTGGTGACAGTTTGGGCTTTGGCATTGATGGATGCTAGTGGTTCATCTGTTTGGTTAATGTATTTTTAAAAAGTTTCCCCTGATAGTCACAAGGATTTTGGTTGGGCACAGAGTTGGACAATGAACAGCTACTAAGGAGACTAAAGACAGCACACAACAACTTGGCTCTGGATCTGTAACATTCAAGAAATCCTCATCAATCAACCTTGAAGAATCTTTGACATAAGTGCGGCTTTCATGGGGTGGGGAAGGAGGGGGGCTTCACCAAACTCTCTCCTAAACAGTTGCTTAATCCAGTAGATCCGTTTATCCCAAGGGTCTCCTCAATGGGTCACAGTGGTTTCACCCATCTGTTTAGATGTTTTATGAAGTAAAGAACAACCACTTGGGAAAAGTGCAACTGTGAAGGAAAGTTCTAGAGTTACCACGCCATGGAAATCTCTGAGAGTTGAGCGTGTTCTATACGACACATACAGATTAGATCCGAGCGTGTACATCTGTTACAAAGGGGAGGACACCATGCCGTGACCTCAGCTAGGACTGCCCAGGGTCCTGCCATCTTGCTATACGTACACAGAGTAGGTCCAGGATACCACCAGGACTTTGCAACAAAGGCTGTGTTGATGTTGCCCACTTTAAGCAGCAGTCTGCTAAAACAAGCAATACCCTTCTAGCCTGAGCTTTCTTCTAACAGAGAAAGAAAAGATCCTGAGAATAAAGGTCCATGAGAACAGGCAGAGACCCACTCTGTTCTCTACTGCCCATCCGGCGTTTAGCGTAGTGGTTGCTCCTCTTAGTATCCGATAGGGAAGTGGAACATGAACAGATGAATGCCTGGTTGACAAGGCTTTTCAGTCACACAGGACAGGGAAAAGTCACTGGTTCAAGCAGGACTTTTTTCCTTGGGGTTAACATGAGTCATAGAGAATTCAGGGAGCCTGAAGATGACACAGCTCTCAGCCACACGGCTGTACTAGGACGTCACACTTGACAGTTCCTTGGCACCTTCCACTAAGTCTATTCTCAGTGCTTTGGCTGGCTTATAAAAGATCTTTCTTCTAGGTGTGGCAGTTCCCACCTGTAATCCCAGCATTTAGGAGGCTGAGGCAGGAGGATCATTGTGAATTAAAGGCCCATCTGGGCTATAGAGCAAGATCATATTTCAAAAACCAAACAAAGACTTAAGCAAAATCTAGGTGTGGTGGTGCACACCTGTAACCCCAGGACTTGGCAGGTGGGGTAAGAGAATCAGGGGCTCAAGATCATCCTTGGTTACAGGAGTTTTAGGACAGCCTGAGCTACTCGTCACTCTATTTCAAAAAGCAAGTCCCCCCCAGTCCCTGATGTCTGATATAGCCTCCCTGCGGCAGCCAGAGAAGTCTCTTAAAGGTGTGTACCAGATCCTCCAACCTCCCATGGCTTCCCTTAGCTCTTCATCCAAACCCCAGCCTTCATGCCCAGTCACTGGGGCTGTGATCTGGCCCCCAGCACTGCTTTGATCTCATCCTCCACTCCCCTCTCTCACCACGTTTCCCATGCCCTGACTCCAGCCACTCTGACCTTCCTTCTCTTCCTCATTATGCTCAGTGTGCTTCCCCTCCTGCCCCCAGCCTCCAAGCTTTCTGGCCCTTTGGTTTGGCCTTTTCTGGTCTTCTGGGCAGTTGACATCTTTTTGACTTGCATGTTTCAACTCAAGTCTTTCCTTCTCAGACAGACTCAGCAACCACCATGCAACAGAATTGGTCCCTCAGTCTTTGAGTCTTTGTCCCATCTCCCTTCTCTGGGCAATGGCTGTCCCTATTGGAAATGATCACTTAACTATGGCCTAGACGTCTCAACTCAGCGGATGGGACTCTGTAAGAGTGGAGTCCCATCGGTTTCTAACTCCCTGAGATTAGCGTATGGCACATAGCATACACTTACAGTATACACCTGTTATAGGATCACAGGTGTGAACTCTGTTGGGCTCTAACTACCCAGGTCAGGACCGTGTTACATGCCTCTCTACATCCCCACCAGCCCTCAGTATGAACGTGAAATGCCTGTCCCGGTGGACCAGGGTTGATGTGTACGGTGCGGTATGGCACAGGATCAGGCGAGCCAGCTTTGGGGTGTCGATCCTGAAAGCCACAGAGCTCTGAAAGTTCAGAGCGGGGCCAAGTGACTTGTATCCAGTTAAGACTGGGGGTGTGGTGTGGTGTGGATATGCGTCAGCTTCCTGTGAGGCCCCACCCCTGGCACAGAGATTCTTTCCCACTTGGTTTAGGGTTCCACATTCAGGATGTTGATGGCACTTCATGCCCCCTGCCCCACCCTGACACCCCTCCCCACCACCTCCACTGTCCACCTCTGCAAGGCTGAGATGCTTAATTAAAACAATGTCGCTAAGCCCAGGACGGCAAAGGTCAAGGCACTTCCTCTGCTTGGCCGCTGACGTCAGGTAGGCAACTTGAGAACCCGTCAGGAGCATCCTGGGGCCTCAGTTCCGGACCCTTTTCTGTGCATTCCAATTCCCAGTATGTAAGAAGGGTATATTTGTGCTTAAGCTAACAGTGAAGTCTGCACCACGCCCCGAGTCCCCGGCAGGTGGGACTGGCTTGTGTCTGAGAGACACAGACATGAGTCAGAGGTTACCTCAATGGCTGGCTCGGAAGGGTACGTGTAGTTACTGTTCCGGAAGGTTCTCAGGAAGGGCTCATCCTAGGAGGAAACAGAAATCACACTGAGAGGTTATTTAACAGCATGGAGGCTGTGCATGAGCTAACCGCCCTGACTTCTAGGTTTACTTATCAGGGTTCTGCATTGAAGGGCAAAGAGCTGCACAGACAGAACTTCAGTCATTTCTGGAAGGGTTTTTGTAAACCCTTATTAACCAGGGAGGCACAAATAAAAGACTCAGAGAGAGTCTACACATCCTGCGGTCTGGGCTCCATGACCTCATGAAGACCTGGAACAATTACACATCTCCGCAGTACTCAGTCTTACCTGTTTTCTTCTTCTTCTTTTTTTTTTTTTCTGGCAAAAGACTCACATTTCAGCACTTTTCCTTCTGAAGAAGGGTTATATAGTTATCAATATATTTTATCACCTGTTCTTTTTTTCCCCTTGTGCTGCGTGTGTTACCTCCTTTAAGGTGGCTTCCTGTATTTTCAGTCATTTTTTTCCCCCCTGACTAACCCGCTCTCCAGGCAGGCCCTCCTCACCTATCTGTGCTACAATCAGTGCTGATACAAGCCCTGTCAACACCCCCAGTCCACCCAGGTGAAGATGATGGGTTAATCAAAGAAAGGAGGAGGCAGCAGGGGAGAACCAGGAGAAAAACAAACCAAGCGAAGCAAGGTCAGCTTAAGGTCTGGACCAGGAAACAGCAAGGTAGACTCAGAGGACATGCCGGTGGAACAGAAAGACCAAGGCTTAGAAAAAAATGGGAACCAAATGGAAGAGGTTTGGGGAGACTAGAGGGGGAAAGTCAGATTGGTGGAACAGATGTCCTTAGAGATCAATTTCAGGAGATGTAAACCAACTCTCCACCATAAACCCAGGTAGGAGAGGCTTTATTTTGGTCCAAGGAGGGGTAGCCGGAGGAAGAGGAGGAAGAGGAAGAGATAGGACAGAAGAAAAGGAGGAAGGTTAAAATGCTGGGGGCCAGCCGGGTGGTCGTGGTGGCGCACGCCTTTAATCCCAGCACTAGGATCTCTGTGGGTTCGAGGCCAGCCTGGTCTACAGAGCGAGTTCCAGGACAGCCAGGGCTGCACAGAGAACCCTGATGCTAAGGCCTGTTTCCCCTTTTCTTCGCAGTCTCAGCACTCCGATCTGAACCAGAGACCAGGGGCCCTCAGGCAGTGTCGCCAGTGCAGGACAGAGAAGCCTGTAATAGCACGCAGCATAGTTCATTAGGCCGTCTCAGACCAGCGTCGTCAGTATCCCCCTCAACAGTCACCCCAGGAGTGCAGCCTAGGCGTCCAGTTCCTGCACCCAGAGCAACACTGAGAGGAGGGCAGGGGAAGACCTGTCCCCTCGGCACAAGGGAGAAGGACATGAGACACTCCTAGGCCATGAAGACCGGCAGACCTTGAAGTGTGGAATTTGTCGAGGGAGCTGACGCAAGATGTGGGGATGAACATCCCTGGGGATAAGACTGGGCGTGGGTGCTAATTATGATTCTCTCTCCACAGAGAAGTCCTGGCTGGATCTGGTCCCAGGGTGGCCAGTATAGAAAGAGCAGAAGACACAGTTCATTTCTATCTTTCTGGAAGAGCTAGAAGTCCTGTAACTATTTATCTGACCTTAGGAACCATGAGTTGGGGGAGAGGAGAAAGTGCTGGAAGGGATCTGAGGACAAAGGGACCTTGGGATTTTGCTTTTATTGGCTTTTGGTTGCTTGGTGTGCATGAGTCAGGCTGGTTTAAAGGCCTGGGGTGGAGCCGACTCCATGAGCGATTCCTGGCTGCCAGCCTGAACAGGTAGAGGGGACGCTGCCCCACGGTTTCCGTGGGCTGTCAAGAAGGAAGAGTCCAGGCAAGAGCCAGAGGTTCAGTCAGGGGCTGGCGAACCCCGCTGCACGGCTAGATGGGAAGGTCTGCGGAGAAGGAAGGGGGCTTTTCTGGTGGGCTCTGGATACATCAGTCGCCTCCCTGCTTTCTTTGGTAGGAGCAGTAAGCGAATACCATATGTAGCTTCCAAGAGGAAATGTGTTTTAAGGGTCTGGAAATAGAGGATTGGTGTCTGGGAAGTTAAAAAAAACAGAGGTAGAGTGAGAGACTGAGGAAGCTGGAGCTATGAAGTTCAAGGGGGGCGGGGCGGGATTCTACAAATAGATCAGCTTCCCAGTGAGGATGCCCACATACCCAGAGAAGACCATAAGATGGACAGGGAAGTCTGAGTGGGGCCTCATTTTCAGGGCTAGACATAGGAATGCCACTAAGAGGTAGGAAGGGAGGCAACCAGAAAAAAAGAAAAGAAAAGAAAAGAAAAAGAAGATGCCTAAGCCTTCCCAAGTCAGGGAGGAATGGATTCCAAGGAAGAGGAACGTAACTGTGACAGGTTAATAAATAAGGACAGAGCTTATTTCCAGATGGCTCAGTAGGGGAAAGAAGGGCAGGGAGACAGTTACGGTAGGGAATGGCGAACAGTCCACAGTTCACCCCACCTGCAAACCCATCCCCAAACCGCAGTGCGGTGCGCTGTGATGTCACCCTGCCTGGCACAGAAGAATGTGGTAGCCGTGAGGCTGGGGATGGAGGAGGAATAGGGCACTTCTGGAAGCGCTCACTCCTAACTTGCTGCCTCTGCCCCGCCTTCATCCCCCAGGTCCTGCTTGTTGCTTCTATGTTTAGATACAGCCTGGATGAAAATATTCACTGCCTGGCCTCCCATCAGTTCACACTGAGATATGGGTGGACTTGTGCATGGCTCTGAAGCACATGGCAGCAAGCAGATGGCACCTGAGACACTGTGCAGTGAGGCTGGGCTGGCCAACAGATGGGCCCTTTTGGAACGGGCTCCAGGGTTGCTTAGCAACAGCTTCTCCTGGGCTGGGCTTTTACAGGCTCTAGGAGGCTGGGTCTTACCTCACCTCATCAATAGTTAGGGTAGATTCTTTGCAGAATGAAGAAGGTAAGCTTGAGACTCTAGGTAAAGCATCTCCTTTTGGGGGCACCCTGCCTGAACCGGGACAGAGAGGGGCATAATTTGTCTTGGGGCTCACAGTGAAGAAATTCTCCCTGACCCAGAGTTGGGACCTCAATTTAGCATCTAATATATTTGTGGGGAAGAAGAGCTCATGACGGCTGAGATTTGACACTTTGGAGGGGACTCTTGTAGTTGATATTCAATGTTGTCCTATAGCTTATTAAAGGGCTGAAAAGCTCAACTATAAGCTGGGGAGATGGCCCAGTTGGTAAAGTGTTTGCCACATGAATTATGAGGACCTGGATTTGGACCCAAAACCCATACATGAAGCCAGATGTCAAAGTTTGAGCCTGTAGTCCTAGACCCCCGGGGCGGTAGAATCGGGAGGATCATGGAACTTACTAGTTAGCCAGTCTAGTCAAGTTGTTAGCTCCAGGGTCATTAGGAAAGCCTGTCTTAAAACTAAGGTGAAAAGCAGCTGGAAACATCCACCATCCACCTCTGGCCTCAGTGAATGCATGCATACACACCCATACATACAAGACCACATAAACAGAAGGAAAATGAAATTCTTATGGCATGATCACTGCTTTAAGTCCTCAAATGCCCCTTACTGCCCAGATTGTCCAGGCTCTTCCACCTCAGTGCCCCTGGGCAGCCTCAGGAAGTGGCTGTGAATATGTTCGCACATGGCATAGAGGGGCCTCACCCAAGCCCTTTTACCCAGCATCTGATCAATCGTTGGCACTCGAGCTACCCAGGCACACTGATAATCACGTGACTTGACTTTCTTCTTTGCTTGGGGCACTAGATCCAGCCATTGAGCCCTCTGCTCCATTGCTCTTATCCCCTCCTCCTGCCAGTCTTGATCATGGTATATTAGATTATATATGACAGATGGAAAAGACAGCTGAACGGGAGCAAGAGGCAGGATCGGGGCCTCCCCTTTTCTTGGGATCCCCAGCAGCTATCCCAAGGGAGCTGCAAGCCTTCTGAGGCTCTGCCTGGCAAGGAGTAGATCGGGTGGGGCGGGGGAGGGGGGGAGGCTGGTTGCAGCCTGACCCAGACTGGAAACCCAGCCTCCCACACTAGGTCAGGCACTCTGCTTTTATGGCCACCAAGGGCTCTCTAGCCTTGGCCTTATTTGGTTAAAAAGCCATAAGACAAGACCAGAAACAGGAGCTGAAGGCAATGGGAACGTGAACCTGCCCCCACTCCAGGCCTGAAATCACAGTTAACATATTCCTCCTTAAAAGGAGCTCTGAGCTGTTCCTCATGCCAGTTCAGGCTGCTTCTCTTGAGCCCTGCCTGATGGCAGCTCCATCTCTCCCTTTGTGCCCCCTATTGCGGGCCCTCTTCAAGGGGAGAACACCCAGTCCTGGCTCTGGACTCCGGGGTCCTTCTCTCAGCTCTTTCACCCACATCCAGACATTCCCATACGCTCCACACTCTCTTGCCTTCCTGGCTTCTGCTACCCAGGCTCCTCTTTCTTTGTGTGGACCCAACTTCATCACCCATTTTCAAGAAGCAGCTCAGCCAAATTTCCCTTTCCCCTGCCCCGAAGTCCATCTCTCAGCCTAGGGACGGAGCAAACTCAGTTGGAGGAGTTGGAGGAGGAGAAGGAAGAGGAAGAAGGGGGGGGGGAGGAAAAGGAGGGGGAGGAAAAGGAGGAACAGGAAGAGGCAGAGGAGGGGCAGGTCTGGCCAGTTTCTGAGGACAGACCAAGCAGTCCCTCCTTTACTACCTGGGACGGGCAGGCCATGGCTATGAATGCTGTCAGGTCCAAAGTGTCTGTTTTCTTTCCCAGAGGTTCAAGCTGATCAGGAAAGAAAAGAGAAACACACCAAGTTTGTTTCTGCTCAAGTGAACATCAGAACTTCATTTTGGGGGTGTGGCTTTGACTTGAGGCTCTGTCAGGCACTGGCAAGTAGAATCCAGAGTCAGCTAGGTTCCCTGGAAACTCAAAACACTTCCTGTGTGACTGCGGAGGTGCTAAAGGAGACTGATTACATGGTTTCAGCGCCTAGCAGACGTAGTGGTGTACCGCAAAGGGTGGATAAGTGAGGGGTTTCTGGTGTGTGTGTGTGTGTGTGTGTGTGTGTGTGTGCACGCACACACACACACACACACATTTATGAACTGGTGCCTGTACTTGTATGGAGGTAAGAGATCAGTGTGTCAAAGGTTTTCCCCCACTGCTTTCCACCTTATTGTTTGAGTTAGGGACTCTGACTTGAACTTGGGAGTGTGCTGTTCCGGTTAGACAGGCTGGCCAGCAAGCTCCTGGGATCTCCGTCCCTCAGCACTGGGGTTATAGAGGTATGCCCGCCCCCAAGCCAGGCTTTTACATGAGCCCTAAGGATCTGAACTCAGTTTACCCCCTCAGCCGCCTCCCCGGGGGGCTCTAACACAGAGGACAGCTGGCAGTGCAACCTGGCTGCTGCGTCATCCAGGATTCTCTAGGGCCAAGCTGTAGACGGCTAGAGCTGTGCCAGCTGTGGTTCCTCGGGCCCTTTGTGGGGTAAGACTACAGGGCCAGAAGCAGTCCTTTATCTTACCATGTTGGACCAGAGGGCTCTCGAGAGCTGGGAGTGGAACTTCTGGTTAGGGAGGATGCAGTCTGGGGCAAAGAAGGATGTGTCTGGTTGCCCATTCTGAAAGACACAAGCATACTTCCTCAAGGTCCTGTGGGGTTCAAGGGAGCCACAGGCCATGTGATTTTCGGGAATGATCACAACATACTCTCTTCCCTTTGGGACCATGCCAGGGACATAATGACATTCCTACAGAGAAATAGCTTTGGGGGACCTCAAGCCGCACCTTCTCTGGCCTCCACATTTTCCATGTCTTATTTTAAAAATGCCTTGTTTGGGCACATTTGCATAATGCCCCACTCATGCTGGAAGTGGAAAAGGGTGTTTCTTAGTTCCCCAGGGAGTCTTGGGGAGTCCTGACAAGTAAATATTGACATCAACCCGACAGGATCTGGAATCCCCAAAGAGACAAGCATCTGGGCATGTTGGTGAGAGATTTTCTAGACTGGGAGAATGGGGGGGGGGGGGGAGGATCTACACCACATGGACTAGGTTACTGGACTGCCCAGGGAGAGGAAGCTAACTGAGGACCAGCATTCCTAGCTTTCTGCTTCCGGATAGTAGATGCAATGTGACCGGTTGCCTCATGCTCCTGCCTGGGCCACCCCTGCCAGGATACATTGTGTCTCTTCCTAAACTAAACTGCAAGCCCAAACAAACTTTTGTCAGGCGTTTTATCACACTGAAGAGAAGAGGAGCTAACACCAAACTAGCTAGGGTGGGGTGGGGGATGGGGTCAGGGCATATCCTCCATAATTAGGCAGAGGACATTAAAGGGCACACCAAGCGGGCCTGTCCAGAGCTAACATGAGGCCAGCAGGTCACCTGACGCCAGCTCTTCTCACTGTAGGGTCTGGATACACCACTCTGTTCTCCTTCCAGCTTTTTTCCAAGTTGTCTGAGGTCTTGGGATAGAGGCTTTACCTGCTCTGCCCACAGAGCTCTTGGGCACACGGACTTTGTGTCCCACAAAGAGCATGGCCCTGGGGTGGGCCACATGTGAGAGAGACCACATACACGGCCCCAAGTCACTAACGTAGACCTGGATACCTGTAAGTCTTGCCTGTCTTTCATGCTCTATCTGATTTTAGGAAGGAGACAGCACGTCTGTTCACTGCTGTTCTGTGGGGTTCACGGTATTCCCAGAGGCAGCTGTGGCAACCTTATCTGTGGGATGCAGAATGCCTGTGTTCAGGTGTGCCTGCTAGCGGAGCATCTGCAGGGTTCTCTGCATCTGTCCCAGTCTCATGCATTCCTGCCTGGATGACTGGCTTTCTTTCCAGATGCCCTGAGCAGTTCTCCCACTCGAGCTCAAGATGAGGGGAGCATACCTCGAGGATGGGGAGCTTGGCATTGCGGAAAAGAGGCTGCAGCACCACCGAGAAGTCCTCCCGGGTATCGTAGCGGCCTGACTCAACCAGCTGCCGCATGCTATTCTGGAAACACACATACATGCAAACAGCAGCCATTAGCACAGGGGTGGGAAAGGACAAGTGGCACACAGCATCTCTGTCCCCGTCCCTGTCTCCAGACCCTTTAGACAAGGTTGCTCACTCAGCCTGATGGCAAATCCCGTTCCAAAGAGTTTGGAAATGGGCATATTGTTTTAGTTTTTTGTTTGTTTGTTTGTTTTTGTTTGGTTTATTTTTTAAACATGCCATCTCTAAAGGGCTGGCAGAAAGTCCCACAAGGGGAAAAAAAAAAGAAAAAAGAAAACACACAAATAAAAACCAGAGGAGACACTCCAGTGCTCGTCAGGCTACTAGCCTGTAATCCCTTTTCTTGTGGTCTGTCTGTGGGGACTGGTGTTGAGTGTGGAGTCCAGGGAAATGAGGAGAAGCTGGTCTCCAGTGTGGCCTCATGGGATACCCCAGGCCTATTGACTAAGAAGGAGGTTTCACATCCCCACCCCCAAAGTTGCTTAGGCCACACCGATGTCACCTGGATGCTACTGGGGCTTTTCTAATCAAGGAAACAGACCCTCAGTCAGGTGGGGCAGAGGGAGGGGCCCAGGATGGCTGATGTCTTGTTCTATTTTCTTCATGCCTCCCTGCCTGGTGGGGGCTCTGGGCTGTCATGGAAAGGGAGAGGAGGAAGACATGGAAAGGGGGCTCTCCTCTACCTTACCTGGTAGGACTGGGAGAAGGCCTCCAGACTCCCCAGCTCCTGGGAATTCTCCCCCGGACTCAGAACACAGTTGCACAGAACACTGTATAAAAGGGGGAGGCAAGAAGAGCCATAGATGAAGCTCCATTCAGGGACTGCTTCTGGCCACCCAGAGCTGGGTGGGGTAGCAAGGCTCGCTCTGTCTTGTCAAGTCAAGCCCTGGTTTGGGAGCACAAGTGCCGGAAGGTTCTGAGGCACTTGTCCTAGGTCCTAGAGAAAGCGACTGGTGCGGGGTGGGTGGGCCTGCAGTTTGAATGAATCTACTTTAGCAAGCTCCAGAACTGGACTTCAGAGGCCAGGCCTGGCACAGTCTATCCAGTAAATGAACTAAGGCAACGAGAATGCAATGTTTAATTAAAACATAAAATGGCAATGCATCCTGGGATTGGAGCAGGCACACCAGGACTCTGATACTCATGTTCTGAGACCCCTCCTCTAGTGCTATCCCAATGCCTTCCTTTGATTATGAGTTAGTTTCAATCACATGCACTTAACATAAAGAGGAAAGTTAAAGATGACCTTTGACATACGGTGGCAGTCACATTCCAATATAAGCTCATGGTAACTTTATAAGACTGTCTGTTAAAATTCATTTTCTGGGCTGGGGAGAGGGCCCCGTGGTTTAAGTGCGTTGCTGTGCAAGTGGGAGGATCAGAGCTTGGAGTCCCAGACTCCCCTGAAATGCCAGGTGGGCGTAGCCGTCCACCTGTAAGTACCCCCGAGGGAGGAGGAGACAAGGATCTCTAGAGCAAGCCAGCTAGCGAGTCTTGCCCTATCAGTGAGCTCTGGGCTTGACTGAGACACCCTGCCTCCTCGAATAAGGTGGAAGAGCAGTCAAGGATGAGTCCTGGCATCAACTTGAGGCCTTCACAGGCATGCACAAACTGTACATGTGCACACACATGTGTGTGCTTCCCCATACAAACATGCATACACACATGTGCACCACGTCCTCAAAAAATGGAAGAAGGAAAAATAAATCATTTGCTATACTTATCTACGAAAATAGTGTATCATAGCAGCCCATACACAGTGATCTGATTGTTTCCCCTTGGGGTGGGCGGCTTTTCTAGAGTCACTTGAGAGCATGGAACTACATATTTCCAGTCCAGAAAAAGACTGTATTCTGAGTATGTTCTCTCATGAGTGCACATGGCTTTTGTACCATACTAAAGGTCAGAATTCCAAGTCAAGACCATCTGTATAAAGCCTTCAAGATAGTGCCTGGGGCACAGTAAATTCTGTGAGGTTTTTTTATTTAAAGAATCTTTTTATTTATTATGCATAGTGTTCTGCCTGCATGTATGCCTGCAGGCCAGAAGAGGGCACCAGATCTCATTACAGATGGTTGTGAGCCACCATGCGGTTGCTGGGAACTGAACCCAGGACCTCTGGTAGAGCAGCCAGTGTCCTTAACGCTGAGCCATCTCTACAGCCCTTTGAGATTTGTTAATAGGTGCATGGAAGAGGTGTGGAGAATAAAGAATCACACACCTGTGTACCCACCACCCAGTTACAGAAGCAAAACAGTCTTTCTCCCTCCCCCCGGCTCCCCTCTTCTGACAAGGTGCCTGGGCTGAGTGTTCTGTCTCTTGATCTCCACTGTAGTTTAGCCACCCAGAAATACCATTCTGTGTTGCTCTTTCCAGTTTGGGCTACTCAGTCTCTCGGGTAGTAGCCCCTACGCTTCTTGCTATCATAGACAGAAGTTCCTGCCTGGCACCTGGGATAGGAACAGGATCAAAGCTCTTGACCTCCAAGAAGAGAATGAGGCTAGCACAAGTCCTTGTTTATAGACAGGAAGAACTAAGCCGCTGAGCTTCTGGGAAGTCACCGCTAAATGGGCAGGCCAGATCAAGCCTTAGCAGATCTCTTGGATGAGATGACAATTGCCCGCCTACCTGGCCTGATGTACTGGGCACTTGTCTGGATTCTTCAGGAACACTTGCCGTATGACACTGGGGTTCATGAAGTCCACAAGGTTGACCAGGGCTCTGGGTACCTAAAGAGAAGGCTGCAGGTGAGACAAGGGCTCCCAGGGTTTGGACAGAGGCTCCCTTTAGACTTCGAGCTCAGCTCATGCCTGGGGTCAAGAGATGAGTCTATACCGGACTACTTCACAGAGGGTTGCAGCCCAAGCATGCACAGCCACAGCATAGATGGTACCTCTAGGAAGGACAATAAATGCTAAGAGCTCAGCTCCGTTCAGCCATCATCTAGTGACCCAAAACATGGCATGATTGGCAACTTGTTGCCAGGCCATTGGCTCCTGACCAATTTCTGCCAGCTTGACTCAGGTCAACTTCTTCTGAGTAGACATGGGGACTCAGTTACCCAGCAGAACATCTGGGGGTTGGAATGCTATTTCCCTGGCAGTGTGTGGCTGCCCACAGGTTGCAGTGGGGTGAAAGGAGTGAGGCTGGATATATATAAAGAGGCTTACTTAAGACACACTCTGTGTTCAAAACGCAATGCCAAGCCTGGGCACTGGCCAGCTGCTAAGACTAAGGAATGTCTTGGAGAGGGACGTTAGTGCCCAGTGCCTTCCTTTCTTGATACCTGAGATCTCTGGGGCGCCTTCCAAATAGAAGGCAGCTGACTTGGGAAGAAGACTGGAGCCTCTGGACAGGGACAGAGCTCATGCCTCTGGCTGGCTCCATCCTTCCTCTCCTCTCCTCCACCATTCTAGAGCTGTAACCAAGTTACCGAAGCCCTTACCCACCTCCCTATGCAGGATGTCCAAGGCATTGCGGAGATGGTCAGAAAAGTTGACTGCGGAGTATCGATTCTGGAAAGAGAAAGGCAAGGGCAAGGGAGGGGTTGGTTCCAATGAGAGGGTAGAGGGGCAGGTGTGGGCTTCCCTTCTGGGTCCAGCCCCAAGGACTCGTTACCCTCCCCCCACCACCCGTGAGCATATTAGCATGTTAGAATCTGAGCTGAATGTCTGACAGCCGGCTAGAAGATCAGAGCCATTGACTAGAGTGGAAAATGGAGTGGAAAATGGAGAAGGCTCTCCCGAAATGCTTTGGGATCTATAGTTTCTTCTCTTTCAAGAGCTGTAAAATCAGCCACCATTCATGTGCTACCTGGCCCCTCACCACCCCGGGACATGCATGTGGTGCCAGTCACCACAAAGTTGACCGTAAGGAACATGCATACGTGAATGCATGTGTGAGTTATGTGTACACGTGGGCAATGTGGTTGGAGCTAGATGCCCCCTGGGGTGAGTCAAATGTTCAAGGTCAGGATCAGGCCCAGACCCTCTCTGATTACCGTGTCCGTGCAGAAGTCACACAAGTCACTGGCCCCAATCATGACTGTGATGACCTTCCAGTCTTGGAGGAAGTTCACTCTCTACATAGAAGGGAGGAAAATGCTCATCGTTTCTGACAAACCCTCACAGCTCTAGGAAATCCAGTCAGTCCCTTGTGACTTCCTTGTCCACTTGAAACAATACAAGCAGAACCTTGGAGCTGGTGTCATTTTAAAGGCTCTATTTATAGACCAGAATCTTAGCACCAGGAGGAACCTTCAAGGTCAATTTGTCCCCCCACCCCCGCCCCACCCTGGGAAAATATCCTCTAGAAGGTCTCAGACAAGGGGCCTTTCCTACCTCTTTCGAATGCTTCTAGCAAAAGGGCACTCCTGCTTTTCACAACAGACCACTTCATTTGGGGAAAACTTTAGTGGGCTAGACAACTAACATTTATCAGTAACCATCAATGTGACTCACGTGGTCATTCTTCATCTTCTCAACCAGAGTCTGGACTTGGCTCACAAGGTTCCTGAGGAGAGAAAGTCAGTCTTTCTGTTGGGGAAGAGTGTCCATATCTGTCCTCCTACCCGACAGGGCCTGCACACTCCAGGCTTTCCCAACACTACATGAGCTGCGGGTAGAAGCCTGAGCATGATGGTCTCCTTGGGAAGGAGATTGGAATTGTATGTCACAGGCTACTGCTATTGTAGAGCCCAGAAAACAGGTGTTGGAAGCACGCCCACCAAGTAAAGGTGTGGGCTGGGACAGTAGGTGGGCCAAGAACCATGAGAAGCAGGAACTCAAGGCTTCTGGGGTCTCTAGAAGAATTAGTGCCTCCTTGAGAGACCATCCCAGGAGGTTAGGGAGCTCTGCCTTAGCAACCCCCTGGACATTTCCAGTCTGGTTTTTTTTCTTAGCTCTATTCCAGGACTAGAGAGACAAGAGACTTGTCCAGAGGGCCCCCCTCAGGCTGGAGATCTTTACTTGGATGCAGTAAGCCTTCCCTGATCATAAAGGGTAAGTGTTACTTGTGCGACTCTGGGGACAGGGGATTTCTCTAGTGGCATTATGTCAGAGTGAGCCTCAAAAACTGGCAAAACTGCTTCGTCAGTTCAACTCTTAGATGTCAAGATGTCTAAAGGCCTAATCAAGGAGTAGGTAACTTAGAGACATGAGTCCTTCCCATGTCCAAGGCTACTCTAAACTCCACGTGTTAACTTTGGTTATGAGGGTGGGGACAGGAAAGAGCGCTCTCAAAATCATTGCTGCAGAAGGGTGAAGTGCCCCTTGTAGACCTCTATAGGGATCTCTGAGGGACTGACTGACTGACTGCATGCCTCCGTTCCCCTCTCTGCAGCTCCCCAAATGTCATACTCAGCTTTCGCCCTAGGCACAGCCTGGTTAAGGAATGCGCTCGCAGAATTGGCGTCACCGGTGCCTACTGCATAGCCTGTGAGGTTTTCATTAAACTCCCGAAGGATATCTGTAGGAGAAAAGGCAGAGTTGAGGCACAGAACTCAAGATAGAAGACCAGGGTGTATACTTCACTACAAAGGGTCCTAGGGGCTCACCACGGGCCGCACCATAATTTTCACACTTCCTGAGGCCAGGAAGTGGGTTGCACATATGCCTGACAGAAACTAGGGCCTCTTTTTGTCGGAATGAGGCGATGACATGAGGTAAGGCCAGAAGTTTCTCACATCACTTTTCTCTGCCCAACTTACAATGCAGTGAAGGCCCCTATAGATTTGTCTCAGTATTTCTTGGACCAAGCCAAAAAAGCTCAAGGCCTAGGGCATTTGGTGGTTTGCTCTAGGTCACCTCACAAAAGCATAGAAAGAGCAGGAATTAAACTCAGATCTGTAGGTATCTGATGTCCTTTCCACCCTGTCAGGCTGACTATGGGGGCCTCCTCTCCCACGTCAGGGCTAGTCCCCAAGGATGTGCTATTCTTTTCTTGAGCAGTACGACCCAAGCCCCTAGAATTTACTTACTGGGCAAGGTGGTCACATTCTCCAGGGACGCATCCCCACCAGCACTGTAGGGCGTGAGCAAGGCAGGAAAGGAAAGAACCCAAGTCAGTATACAAACTTTACCAAAGAGCAATTCTCAACTGTTCTTAGAGAGGGGTCCTAAGAACATTCTAGATTCACCTGTGAACTATTTTTCCCTTAATCTAGGATCTGAAGGTAAAAGAATGTTCCTCATCCACTTTGGTGGGGAACACTTATCTGAGGACACTGTGTGCCCAGCATGCACTGGACTGTAGGCCATGGTTCTTTCTCCTGTCCCAGGCTCAGGAGGTAGCTGTGGACATTTCCATGTGACAGAGACTAAGGGTAACTAAAACCCAGCTGGAGCTGGAAACCTTGAGAAGCACAGATAAGCTTTTTCTGCCCAGTATCAAGTAGATTCCAATGGAAGATTCAGAGGATGGGAGCTTGCTGCCTTCCAATGCCCCATCTCATTTTATCTGGCTCAACCTCAAAACACTGTATAAGAGGTCATTTCCTTCCACATGCTTAAAAAAGGGGGGGGGGAGATATGTATGCCTATCTTAAAAAGAAACATTTAGCTGGATGTGGTGGTGCCTGCCTTTAATCCTAGCCCTCAGGAGGCAGAGGCAAGTGAATCTCTGTGAGTTCGAGTCCAGCCTGGTTTACAAAGCAAGTTCCAGAACATCTAGAACTGTTAGACAGAGAAACCCTGTCTCAAAACAAGAATAAAACAAAAAAAATTTAGATGTTCAGATATTTGGTATTTACTGTTTTTCTTCTGTACCCATTTGCTTAGTCCCAGCATGTTACTCCAGGCCAGGGGAGTCTGAGAATACATACTTAGAAGCTACTCCACTGGTTGAGACTTCTCAAAGATGGCCATAAATTAAAGTCACTAAGCTTCGCCCTCCACATCACTCCGTTTTCTCCCTCATGGCTCATCACATGTCTGGGCCTGGCCTAGTGGTTGGGTTTTTTTTTGTTTTGTTTTTTGTTTTTTTTCTACTCTGTATTTTTCTAGCTCTACATGAAGATGTTGCTCTGAATCCTTTCTTCTCTGAGCCAGAGTCACAAAACTGAAGCATTTTACACTTGGAAGGAAATCAGGAATCTATGTACTGTCCCATCTGTTGTCTTCTGCACATTTCCCTCAATAAACAGAAAAACATATACAAACACATACATAGATTATGTACCTTCCCACTTTCATTTCTTAAAGGTACCTAGGTACTTAAAAAAGAGGGGGGGGATGGAGGCAGAACAAGACCAAAAGGTATTCCCAGTGCCATTTTAGGATGGAATGTCCAAGAGGAGAAAAGACAAGTACAGAAATAAACACAGAAAAGTCAAAGTATTTAAGTCACCATTTTGATCAGAACTACCCAAACATTAAAGGAGACACTGATGCCAAACATCTGGTCTACACTGGACTCCTGAGGAAATGTAATCTGTGACACATGGGCCCAATGGCTAGACTTCATCTGTTGTCATCCAGCATGCATAAAGGTACAGGAGATGTTTAGAAATGTGTGTGGGATTGAAGTCCTCATGGAAACAAACACAAGGAGATGCGTTTTGCTTTGGTTAAGTGCATTTTATTTTGGTCCACAGAATAGTCCCACACAAGCCAGTGCCTTTCTACCAAAGAGAGAGATGCTCATGCTAAAGACAGCTCTCAGATTGACCCACTGATAAACTGACAAGGACATCCATAGGTGCACAGTCTCATGGGCCAAGGGACCTTGGAAACCTATTTACAACCTATTCACAATCACCCATCCCCAAAGAGCCCTAGGGCCCCTTCTCCCCTGTCTATATAAGGCCCACTTTTCCTACTGTGTCCTTGGAGGAAAAGGCCCAAGGTGCTTTCTTGATTTCCTGGAATCACTGCATTGCCTAGTATTCCTAGTGGAGTGGGCTCCAGAAAATTGTTTCTCTCTCATCAGTCTACTTCATGGACATTTCCCCTGGGGCTAACAGATATTTCAAAGAAAAATTGTTCTAGTATTAAAGGAAACATCAAAACAAACAGAAAGAGAGGCGTTAGCTGCACCACTTCCCGGAGTCCTTACTATGCCAGCGTGTACAGGAAGGAAACAGCAGGTAATGTTTTACCCCCAGCACAAAGGACCTCACCTCTCGGACAGTTAATACTCATGGAGCAACCCTGAGACACACCTGTCTAGTCGTCTGCCACTGTCACTCAGACGCTAACCTCGAACTTCTGTCCTCAGCACAGGTGTACTGGGGGGGAGATAGTCAGGATATTTAAGATAAATCCAGGGTTTTTAAAGTGACAACAGTCATTGACCATGAGCCATTGGGGTTATAACTAGAAAGTTCAGGCATTTCATTCCTGGGAAAGAACAGAAAGTGGCTGAACATTTGCGTGGCTGTGCAAGAAATCTCTTAGCAGGAGGCCTTATGTACCTAGACTGGGAGCCCCACTATCTCACTACCTGTGAGGCTGTGCCAGTCACTTCCGCTCCCAAGGGGTGCTCCTCTGGAGAGAACACTTGTGTAAAGTTTCCTCATACAATGAGGATGTCACTGCCTCCTCCAGGCCTTTCCCACAGCTCTCTCTGCTGCCCTTTCCTTTCCCCTCAGGACTTGAGCAACTTTCAGGAGAGTGCTCAGTAGTGGAGGTTCTGTCTTGTTCCAGGTAGACCCCTAGACACACTGATCTGGCTGTGGGAATGTGGGGGCTCTGAGTGGAGAGGCTGTCTCCTTTGTGCTGAGGGTGCTTTGGAACTTCTCGGTGGGTGGCTACCGGCTGTGATCCTGCCTCTCTCTTACCTTGGAAAATGAGTCTTTCTGGGGCTTTCCTTGGCTCTGCTCACCCCACCTTGTCCCCTACCACTTTCTTAGGGAGGATGCATGAAATGAATGCATCCCGAAAAAGGAAGAAGCAAGCGTGCTTCTGGGCAGCCAGCTGCTCTTTAGTGCTCTGCCCTCTTGTGGCAAGCTGTGGTCGCATTTCCCTAGATTAGTTCTTAACTGCGTGCTAATCACTCCGAAGCATGCAAAACCTCAGACTTTATTAGGAAAGAAAGAAACGTCACACAACGGACACTCAGTTGCTCACGTGGCACCCCAAGCCTGACTCCTCTCTATGTTTGTATCTGGGGTGCCCTTCTCACCCCTTCACTTTGTCTAAAGACATGTGGGTACCAGTTTCTCTGGGAAGTCTTCCATCCTTGCTGGCAGGGCTATTCCTGCTCTCCCTTCTCATCCCATGGCGTCCAGGAAGTTTTTATTTCTAAACACTAGCCAAGTGAGTAGCCAGCTGACACACAGACCTCTCAGCCAGCCAGCCAGCTCTACTCCTGTGCCAGCACACAGGAGTTGCTCAGAAATGCCCACTGATTACAACTTGCCACCATTGCTGCCTCCAGAAGTGAGTATTGGGTCTTGGCAGTTTTCTGTAGAGATGTGTACATATACAAACAAGCAGAGGGGGACTACAAACGACATGAATACATACATGAAGACCAACATAGGAGCGTCAACATACGAACACAGATATGCAAATGAGCAGGTGGAGACTCAAGGATTTGGTGCTTTTCGGGCACATTTCGTGATGAATTTGCTGACCCAGGAGTTTGGTAAGAACCTTGGCTTACTTTTTCTGCATAATTTAAAGATAAAAGGATCATTAACAGCAAAATTCTATTCTCTGTTCAGTCAATGTTCACAGTTTGCAGAAATACAGCTGTTCCTCTGGAAGCCTCTTCTAGACCTGGTCCTTGCTCTTTGAGATTCGTGCATTTATAGGAGCTAAACCTACATCCCAGCCAGTGCACGCAGGCAATCCCAGCAGCTAGGAGGTAGAGACAGGAGGGCTAGAAGCCCAGGGTCACCCTCCCCCCCTTACATAAATAGTTCAAGGCCAACCCAAATTCCAGGAGACCCTGACAAGGAAACAAAACAAATCCACAAAACTAAGAAGATAACAAAACAACAAGCAGACTAAGCCCTGGGGAAGAGGAGGTCAAAGGTTAACATTACCTATATGACAGTCCTCGATACTGTGTGTCGAGATCCGAGAGGTTTTCTTCTTGGGAGCGGATTCCATTGCCAGCCTTTGAGAACATCATATTCCACAAGAAAACCAGTAAGTCAGAGAGAAGTGGGGGACTGTGAACACGGGTTCTGAAGGCATGGCCTCCAGTGCACTCGTGGAAGCAAGAATGGTATGAAGATTGGGAGTGAGGGGACCAGTCTGAGACCCTCCTTCCCAGCTATGGCTTCTTTCACTATGGCATGCCCTTCCACAGGAGAGGTTTGGGCCCAATTGGTATCACAGTTTTTAAAGACTGGAAAATTCTCAAGTGCTTACAAATGGGACTAATGCTGATAATATTACCAAGTAATACCACAGGTCTTTATGGACATGGGCAAAACGCTTAGGTGGGAGCCGCTGTGAGGAGGGATTTCCAACAGAGTCCCTCTCATTTCTCTTCTTTTTCCTTTACAACCTCCAGGAAGGCATTTCTAAAGCCCCAGCTGTGCTGCCAGAAGGTGGTGCCCTGGGATGGCGGCTCAGCCCAGCGCTGAAAGTGAGGAGCAGAGCCTATTCCATCACCGATGATAAAGCTGCCTTCTGTGTTGATGCGGAGGAAACAGATGGGGGGGTCTGGGTTGCTCAAAAAGGAGGGAGAGTAGCACCCACACAGGCATCGTTAGGAGAATTTTGAGTCAAAATGACATATTTTTGCATATGTCAAAATGTGGTGTTGGGTGTTCAAAACCTCTGCCAACTGAGAATATTCAGTTCATTCCTGAAAAAGATTTTTTTTTTCCCCTGCACACCTACTCGATAAAGCAGTTGCAAAAATAGAATTGTTGCCATTCTCCTGGACAGAGAGAGCCGGGGCAGAAGGGAGAGAAGGTTGTAGAAGGTGGGAGTGTGGGTTTTAGATGTGGGAGGGCAAGGACTTGGAAGGCCCCACCACACCCATTGCCTACGCTCACCCCTATCTCGCACCCCCCCACCCCCCCACCCCGGGGCTCAAAAGTCCTTACGGTCAGAGAGTCTCCCAGAGCTGCCACCACTTGGATGTCTGCAGGTCTCAGGGCATGCACTGAAAAATAAGAGGACACGCTTGAGTCTGGGAAGGGAGCTGCAGGCACCGTCTAGGGCTTTTGCTTCATGCCAATGCCCCAAACAAGATTCCACGCGCGTTCAGACCACGTAGAGCTGGGGGGCCCAAACTCTGTTGGCAGAAGTTTCATAACAGCACTTTCTTATAAGAGATAAACAATTCTTAGACTTTCATCAAGCTAGAAGATAGAGAAATGGGAGGGAGAGAAAAGGGAGGACGCAAGGCACCATGAAGGATGGAGGGGAAGGTGAGGCAGGAGTCCACGTTAGTGCCAGGCACCATGTGAGAAGTCAGGGTGGCCTAAGCGCCCAACCAGACAGACGCTGGCCCATAGGTAGCCTATTTAGAACTGGGTTCTAGATTTCCACAAGAATCCAGAAAATAGTCATGCCAGACTTTCCCTACTCTCAAGAGCCCAGAGAACTTTCTAGACCTGTAGGCAGAGTTTGAGGACACATTTCCACAGAGCTATTCATTTAATGGGACTCCCTGGCCTCATCTGTATCTAGACTTCACCACCCTGCAGCGCTGGACCAGCCATGGGCAAGCTTCCATGTCTGCTGTGTAGCCCTGCTTAGATCTTGAGAGCAGGATGGGAAACAGCTCCTGGCCCAGAAGGCACTGGGGCTTACCAGGCATGGTATTGCCAAAGGCCAGAGCTGGCCAAAGCCTACCTGGGCTAGAAAACACTGGTCAGAACTGTGTTGTGTGGTTACCATATGGAGTCTTAGAGATGGCTCACTGGTATGTGAGCCTTTGTGGAGGGGTCTTGGATCCTGGGGATCCTAGGAGCTTACCTGAGTTTGGTGGTGAGGCAGAAGGGGCTCTGTCCTCGCACAACGTCCAGGTTCCATAACCCTAAATGCAAAGAACCAATCCCTGAATCTTAAGGTAAAGGGGGTGGTGGGCAGAGAAGTCAGACAGGCATCGGGTTCATTCAGCAGGCTTCAAAAACCTGGAAAAGGTACCCTAGATAATTCTGAATATCAACCAGCCTGGGGTCTGTTCATCTGACTCTGATCTCTGTTTCCTCCTGGGCCATACTTAGGCCATCCAAAATGACCCACCCATCCTCTGCCCTCTGCCCATTGTGAGAGGGGCGGCTAGCTTCCCTCTGGCTTAGAGGGGCTACGATTTGACGGGAATGGAGTTTATTCTGCTCTCCTCCCCACTGGAAGGTGTGGGCATAGAGATCATTTTCTGAAGGGGACGAGCTGTCCTTGTGCTTTCGACAGGAAGCATCAGCAGAAACTGCCCACGCCATGGCCTGGTGAACCAAAGGAGGACTTAGGTAGATACCTGGTTGCTGTTCTTGTAGGTGCTCAGAAACGGCAAGGTCTGTGGGAAAAGGGGAGTGAACCATGGCAGGATTCATGTCAGCCGACACATGTCCTTCCCTAACCTTCCCAGGGCCACAGTTAGAGCTAAGACCCTTCCAGAAAGGCTGGCCACCATATGCTCCCACCCAGGATGCACCAGGGCCTTCTCTACAACCTGAACCCAGCCCCGAGACTCAGAATGAACCCTTAAGTAGCTACCAGGAATGTATGTGTCCTCTTGGCTAAGGTGCCGGGTCTTGTTTCTCCATCCTGCCCCTTCCCAACAGGCTGCCTTGCCACCCGGCACTTTGCCCCACAGCAGCCTGGGATCCTTTCTGCTTAAGCAAGAAAAAGCAGATCCCTCCTCTTCCAATTTCCTTCCCATGTAAGCCCTGGTCTAGTAGTCCCCAGTGAGAAGCCTGAGCCCCTTTTGGGGGACCCAGAGGAAGTCACAGGGCTGAGAGCTAAGGCTATAAAACTCCAAGAATCTGACAATGTGTGAGTAGAAACTGGGGTCCTATTCTGTTTTCCCCACTGGTTAAGATCTGCTTTCTTAGCTCCTCCTTCCGTTTTAATCCCCCACCCTTCTCTACTCTCTTGTCTCTATAGTCAGAGGGTGTTGCCCATCAGCCCACTCTACCTGGTTCGGACACATGATAGGGAGCTTGATTTCAAAATTCTCTTGTCTCGTCTTATGGCCAACAGGTTCCAGCTGAATAAAGCAAGAAGATGGGGAATGTGGACCAGGTGGACTGGTCAAGATGCAGAGGTGGGGAGGGGGAGATGCAGGCAGCTGGACTCAGAAGGAGGATTCTTTTTTGTTTTGGTTTGGTTTGTTTTGGTTTTTCCAGACAGGGTTTTGCTGTAGCTTTGGAGACTGTCTTGGAACCAGCTCTTGTAGATCAGGCTGGCCTCGAACTTCCAGAGATCTGCCTGCCTCTGCCTCCAGAGTGCAGGGATTAAAGGCGTGTACCACCACCACCCGGTTGGGAGAGAGAATTCTTACACCACAGTTCTTACCATGTTCTTCCAGAGGGCAACAGCTGCGCGGGCGTGAGTCTTGACGTTAAAGTGGAAACAGTCAGGGGCAAAGTAGGAGTTGTCGGGCAGGCCCTCCTAGTCACCAGGCAGAAAGGGAGGAGCAGTTACAGATGGCAGAAAATGCGGCCGCACACCCTCTGGGGGCTCCCCTCACCCTCAACGCATCATTTCCTTACCGGGGTCCTTGGCACGGCCACATTTTCAAGGAATGGCTGGAGAACCACAGTGAAATCATCCCTGGTGTCGTATCGTCCGCTCTCGATCAGCTGTTCAGTTCCTTCCTGCCAGAGGAGACAAGAGACAGGGGTTGAAACAGCTGGAGAAACACAAATGAAACCTGTCTCGGGTCTTACCATCCACTTTCAACCAACACTTGAATTCCTTCGTCAGAGAGGCAATGGGGAAAATGGGATCCCGTGAAGTGTGCTCTCTGACCTCATTCTGTAGCTTCAAAGAAGCTTCCCTGTGGTCCCTCGCGCCCTCGACTGTGTCCTATTGGCACAGTCCTTGTCACCATTCACTCACTCAACAAGCTACTTAGCATCAATAACTCTGCCTGGCACAGACCTCCCAGAACCCCATGCAGGGGCAGAACCCTCCTCCGGCTTACCTGATACTGCCTGTTCCTTTCAACCAGGGCGGCAAATTCTGTTGAGTTATCATCAAACTTCAGGACACAAGGACACAGAGACCTGCCAACAAAGTCAAAAAGATGCCCAGGGTCATCATCCTGAATGAGCCATTCAGAAGCTCTGGCTTGGGATTCGATGTATTTCTTTTTCAGTTGAAGGCATCAGGAATCTCAGTCTGGGTCAAAGCAAGCCACAGCAGACATCCATGGACTTGCTCTTGGAAACAGACGCTTCTCCCTGAGGTCTGGAGGAGAGGTCTTACGGAACCGAGTCACCTGATGGTTGTGTGAAGATATGCAGAGAGACACAGCTCCTCCTAAACAGCAACAGTGACCAGAGCAATAACAGCTCGTACACACTGCATGGTCACGGTGCCAAGCGCCATGCATTAATATGTTTAAATCTCCCGGCTGTTCCAGAAATCATTATTGACCTTGTTTTACAGGCTCGCCACCCTAGTGATTTCAGAGGCTGAGGAAGATGACCACGAGTTTGAAGACAGTCTGGGCAACTTAACAAGATACTGTTCTCAACGAGAAAAGAAAAGCGGGGTGTGGGATGTGGCACAGTTGGTAGAGTCCCTGTCTAGCATGCATAAGACCTTGGGTTCTGTCCCGCACACCCCCAAACTGGGTGTGATGGTCCCTGCCTGTAATCCTAGCACTCTGGGAGGTGGAGGCAGGAGAATCAGAAGTTTAAGGTCATTCTCAGTTGTAGAGAAAGCTTGAAGCCAGCCTGGGATACGCAGGATGTTGTCCAAAAATTAACAAACAAACAAACAAACAAATAAGTGTAAAAAGGGCTAGGGGTATAGTTCAGTGGTAGTGGACTTCCCTAGTACAATCACGGTCCTGAGTTTACCAAGGGGGTGGAATAGAGAGGCGACCAAGTTTAAGTAACGTTCTCAAGGTCACACAGCTGAGGCAACTGCAGCAGGAACTTTTAACTCCGTCTCTGAACTAATCTGCCTCTGTCAGTCTGCAGCTCCCCTCTGGCTTACCACCCAGAAAATCTGGACTTTTCACCTGGGGGATAAGGTAATACTAGTCGGGGTGGTTCAACATAGATGTCGCACCACAGAGGAAGCCTGGCCACTGAGACAGAACAGCAGAGAGAGGTGCAGGATGTGGTCACAAGACAAGGAAGCCCTTGATTTTGTCAACACTGACAGTGTCCTCTCCAAACGGGCTTGGCCAATGCCTTTTCCGAACATTGAGTTTTGGTGGCCTGCAAATCTTTACAGCGATTGGTAGTAGGGGGCTTTGGGGGACACTGCTCTGGCGTGGAGAGAATATACGTTCTGAATCCCCGCATGTCCCAGTGAGTAGAGAAAGTGGGAGCCTTGGATGAATCAGCAGCTGAAAATAGCTGTGCTAATAGACACCGCCCTGGCAGGCAGCCTGCTTCTGCTCCGTGGCACCCTGAAGCCTTCTCCAGGGAACCTGTGCTGTCTACCCGTACTCCCCTAGGGAACGGTTGGCAGAGTTCTCCAGGGATCAGTCAGTATGCCCCCTAAATTTCCAAGAACAAGGCTGGCCCTTGTGAATTATTCTTTCAGTTATTCAGCAAACGGCTCCTGAGCCCCTCCCCCGTGCCGGCTGTGACTCAGTGCTCACAGGCTGTGGGGGAGAATCACCACAAGGCGGTGACTAATGACCACGTGGTATGCTCAGGTATGCTCAGGGCCATGGTCAGGACAGAGCCCGAGGGCAGGGGAGGGAGGTTTGCACAGCCCCTGTGACTTGGCCAAAGGGTGCAGAGGAGGCTTTCAGGGCAGAATCTGTGGGGAATGGTCATGCTTCAGTTAGAAGAACAGCTTCCTTCCAAAGCATGCACTTAAAACGGAGCAAGAGAGAGGCCATCTTTGGGTGGTTCTGGAGGCTGAAGAGAGCCTCTTAGAAGCATCCTTCTGAAAGAAGGAGACTGTTCTCGGAACCCTGTGGATTCTGATCTCCCTTCTTTCTCTTCTAAGGGGTGACTACAGCTGTGTCTGTTCCACCTGGAGCACACATATGCCAGTCAGAAACACTGTCCTGGGGGGAGGCTTCTGGGAGGTGGTCTCTACGCTCTGGCTATTCTGTGAGATAGGTCTTAGTAGTGGGCTGAGTGCTCCCCAAGTCTTACCTATGACCTGACCCCATTCCTAGCATCCTCTTTTCCCTTCCTGAGGCTGCCATGGCAACAAAAACAGGAAGAGACGCCACATGTGCTTCCTCAGAGAGATTGTTGAGGCCTGATACTGATTAAAACAAATATCCTGAGATGTCCCCCGTGAGGTTAAAATGTAGGGTGGTTCTAACAACCCCCACACTCTACCCTGGAATTTTCTAAAGAATATGCTAGGCCCCACAACCCTTTCAGAACAAGGGAGAAGCATCCAGCAGACCTGAGGATAAGCCGCGGGCAGCTGACTTTAGTTTCTTTGTAGAGGTCCCTCAGGCCGATGATCTCAAGCACCTTCACCATGTTCACAAAGGCCCGGGGAACCTGCAGAAACACAGAATCAGCCACCACGTCAACAGAGTAGGTCAGCATCAGCTGCTTACATGGGGGCGGGGTGGAGCTCAGATCATGTGACTTCTTCCTGGCCCCACCCAGCTCCTTTCTCTTTCACGTCTGCTCTCCAAGGAGCCAAGTGCACAAAGGCTTGACCAAGGAGGTCTCAGAATGAAGCCAGAGCTGTGTCTAGGCTTCTCTGAGGCCACAGGAGATGGCTATGACGGAGCTACTCAGAGGCCCCGGGTGGTTTAAGCTCCGTACCTCTGCATGGAGAATGTCCAAGGCCGCCTTGATGTTGTCTGTGAAGTTTTGGGGTGAATAGTGATCCTGCAGGCAGAGGGAGAATCTCCTGAGGCCCATGAGCCACCCCATCTCCTCCCTACTAAGCAGGATTGTGTCTTATTCTGGCTTCTCCTCTTTCTGTATTTCAGTCAGAGTTGGCAAAATTGAAACACGGGGTTTGTCTTTGGGGGCCCTCGCTACAACGCTTGAGCTCACCATGGCTCTCAGGAAAGGGTCCTTTCTTTTGCCCAGAGCCAGGGGAAACTCGGAATTGATTTAGTAGTGATTAGGGGTAGAGCCTTAGCTACACCATGTCTCTTCTCTGAACCCCTCAGAAATGGGGGTGTTGGGGCAGATGCTGACCTCAGCTCTGCAACGTAAAATACTCTCCGGTTCTACTGTCTGTCCTTTTCTTGTGTGGTCACAGAGAGAGCCTAGGCTGTAGCATAGGTCACATCTAAGCTTTGCCTCAAGGATACAGAGAGGGGAAAGAAGGGCTTGTGGAGCCCCAAAACATAAATACACTTTGATTTTTATATCTGTGGTTTTAGAATTGTGTGTGGGGAGGGATAGAATGAATATATACAGGTGGGCATCCATGTATATACATACACAGGCCAGAGGCTGGCATCAGGTATCTTCCTCAGTGGCTCTACCTTGTCATTTGGGACAGGGTCTTCGACTGAATCTGGACCTTCACTAGACTGGTAGGCTAGCAAGCCCCAGGAATACCTTTGTCTGTCTCGAGCACCAGGGTTACAGGCGTGCACAGACATGGGTACACCAGGGTTACAGGCGTGCACAGACCCGGACACACTGTGGTTACAGGCGTGCACGAACCAGGGTACACCGGGGTTACAGGTGTGCATGGACCCGGGCACACGGGGGTTACAGGCGTGCGCAGACACGGGCACACGGGGATTACAGGCGTGCACAGACATGGGCACACAGGGGTTACAGGCGTGCACGGACACGGGCACACCGGGGTTACAGGCGTGCGCAGACATGGGCACACAGGGGCAGACATGGGCACACAGGGGTTACAGGCGTGCACGGACTCGGGCACACCAGGGTTACAGGCGTGCACGGACTCGGGCACACCAGGGTTACAGGCGTGCACAGACACGGGCACACTGTGGTTACAGGCGTACACAGAGACGGGCACACCGGGGTTACAGGCGTGCACAGACACAGTTAACTTCTTCTGTGGGTGTTAGAGATTCAACCTCAGGCCTTCATGCTTGCATGATGACATTTTACTGGCTGGGCCATCTCTCTAAGCTCATTTTCAGAGCAAGGAAGTAGAACCCCTTTTTCTGGATGAAATGTGAGAACCCCACTTTACAACAGGGTAAAGCTGTGATCCCTGGGAGGAAGTTGGGAGGGGTACCAAGATCCAAGCCTTACCTGTCCCCAGCAGCCTGTCGGTGCTCCTGAGGGGCCCCTTAAACCTCAGCTTTAAAGTTCCTAGCCTTTGGTGACTCTGACGCCAGGAAAGGGTAAGGTGCAGGTCATCCCCTCCTGCTACCTCAGGTCCCTGACTCCCTAACCCAGGCTGCACCTCTGCATCCCAGCTGCAGGTCTCCTGCAGTATGTGCCGAGAACCTCCCTGTTCTCCATACACCAAGCCTACTTTGGTTGTGGACTCTCTTACATATCGTCAGAGCCCTACGGTGATGTCTCTTGTGGTATGAAGAGTTGCTGGTTTCTGGCCCCTGGCTCAGGGAGACCCCAAGGGCAGAGTTTGTATCTCATTTGCCACTGCTCACCACTGGGCACAGGTGTGGGTGTGAGACTCACAGGTGGTATGGTATGGTCTAAGGGGTCTCCTGCAGGGGGCTTTCTGGATTACGTGGCAACCGAAGATCAACAGCCTCCGTTGTGAGTTTTCTCAGCCCCAAGAGGCACAGACCTGAACCTTGCCTTATCACCTCTGTGGGAAAACACTTTTTCTAGAGACGGATAGAGGTGGCATTGGCAAGGCCGGAAGTGCTGTGGAGGGCCCATAATTAGCTATGAAAACAAGTAAGAGTTTCCCAAACAACAAAAGCTTTTCTTGCAGGCTCCCTCAGTCTTCCAGGTGAACGTCCTATGGGTCTCAGTGTTAATGAATCCTCACTGGATCCCTGCCAAGCCATGAACGGAGTCCTTACCTAGCTATGCTGTTCCAGGAGGCAGTGGCCAACTACAGAAATCCTTCCCAAGGGTCGGGGCCGGGGACTTACCAGGTCATTGCAAGAAGCACAGAGGTCATTGCCTCCTATGAAGACAGTGATTATCTTCCAGTCCTTCTCAAAGTCTATTGTCTGAAATGAATAGAAAACAAACAGGGTCCAGTTGGAAACTCTCAAAGGGGCAGCTCCGCCATGCAGCAGAGAGCTCAGACTTTTTGTTCGCACACTAGGATGTAGGTCTGTTTTCCACTGCCCTAGTAGCCGAGCTCCCTGAGTTTTGCTCTCAGTCTTCAGCATGGCAAGGAAGTAGGTGGGAGACAGGAAAATAGGTCCTGGCCCTGGGAAGGGAAGGTTGCTCTAAATCTTCTAAAACTCTGCGGTTTTCAACTGGCTTCACAGAAGACAGACCATCTTCCATTAAGAAGAAACATTCTTAATTCATATAGATTAAAGTTAAGGCACCTGTGAAAATTCCAGCTAGGACTGGACATAGTGGTCCATGCCTTTATTTAGTCCCAGTGCTGGGGAAGCAGAGGGAGGTGGATCTCTGAGTCTGAGGGCAGCCTGGGCTATAGAGTTTTCCATGACAGCCAGAGCTACATAGAGAAACCCTGTTGTGAGAGACCAAAACAGAAAAAAAGAAAAGAAAGGAAGGAAGGAAAAAAGGAAGAAAGAAAGAAAAGTCCCAGCTAATAGCTGGTCAGAGCAACACGGCGGTTCAAGAACATGACCGGGAGAGTTTGCCGCCTCTAGACTCAACCCTCCTGCAGGAGAGCTAGAGACGTGTTTGACGGCATGTGGGCACATACACTCCACATACCACGGCCCAAAGGTGGCTGCGGCACTCACAGCCTCTGACATTGCCTCTGGCCCACACATGCTCCACTTCTCTGGCTTCTGCTTCCAAATGAGGAGGAAGAAGAACGATGGGAGGGGAGAGATAAGATGCAGGGAAGCTTGAGAAGAGACACATTCTGAAACTCTCCCGATGATGGAATTTTGGGGGTACATTACATCACATAAAAATAACCAATCTTGACCCCCTTTTTGTTATTTTATCCACCTGAGACCACCTCCCTAAGCAGGTCTGCACGGAGCCTGTGCCCCTCTCTTATCCGAGAGAGGATCTTACACTCATCTCTTAGAACCCAGCTCAAACACCTGCCTCCCTTCTGAATTCTCCCAAGCAGGGGACCTGTTCCCGTCATCCCCTCCTCTGCTCTGTAATACGTAACTATCTTTACAAAGCACAAGTCAGCTGTTTCATGATCTTGATCCTTCAATGTTTGTTTCCTCTTAAGAACTCCTGGAGGATGGGACTGTGTTGTACTGTCCTCACGCATCTACAGACCTTGGCCGGTAATACAAGTTTACTGTGTACAGCCGGCTAATATAGTGAACAGGAACCCTATTTGCCAAGGAACAGAGGTACAGGGTTCAGATCTGCTAGAAACCTGGATCCTATGCGTCTCCTCTCACCCTACTACTGACTTCCCAGTGTCTGTGGATCCACCCTCCTGCTCTAGGGAGTCCCACCCGATGTGCCCAGACTCACCGTGTCTGCCCTCATCAGGCTCACCAGCTTTTGGGCCTGGGTAGTTAAGTCCCTGTGGGAACACACAGTAAGGAGCTGAATGAGGACCAGAGACTGAGGGCAACATAGCAGACAGTAACACCTGGCAGTCAACTTTGGGGGTCGGCAGGGCAGCCCCACCATACAGAGCTCCTTCTCGACCCAGGCTCCGCTGGGGAGGACTGACGGCTGAGAAGGACAGACGCTTGCACGTTTATTTATCAGGTCGGTGTATTTAATGATAGACTTCCAGTTTCTCTTCCCAGCTAGGCTTGTTCAAGGCAGATAGGTCTCATGTAAATGTTTTACGTCATGTGCCGCTCAACTCAAGCCTATGGCCCTCCCTCCCGACAAGGTGATCTCAGTTTAAAATGATGACAGAGCTGGGAATAAGCTCAGTGGCCGAGTGTTTGCTTAGCATGAACAGCCTTAGCCTCAGTCTCCTCCTCACTGTAAAAGAAAAACTGTAACACGGAGATCAACCTTGCTTATGGAAAGTCATTGCGGGTGCAAATAAGACTCCAGTAGCCCCTTGAATACGAGCTACTATTCTGCTGGATAGCATGGGTTGGACTCCCAGGTCTAACCATGACCACTTCTCTGAAATATTTACCTGACAAACGCAGTACTTTCCTTTATACAACTAATCAGTGCCTTGCCTTCTACAGGCATTGAGAGATCAAATGAGGGTCACATAAAGAATTTAGTGCCTAACACAAAGCAAGCGTCCTTAGAGTAATTTCCATTGTCACTAGCACATTCACCACCTGCAAAGGTCCTCCAGCACCATGCTCCAGGCAGTATGCGCTGTCCTCCCTCTGCCTTAACTACTGGCCCAATTGTTCTGATCCTGGCCCCAGAACACTGGGTGTCAGAGACCTGGGAGGGGCCTTGGAGTCAGTCACTCAACCTGCTTCTCATCTGTGGATGTGATGCTATCAGGGCAGCCCCTCTGTCTTTGAACCCGAGTTTGGAATGGGTACTCCAAGGGCTCAGGCTTAGCTTTGAGTCACTGGTAAAAACACAGGCAATAATTCCCATGTTGTCCATCTTAAGAGCTACTGCGTGGGACACAAGGATACCAGCCATGAAGATATTCTGTAACGTGGGCACTGCTGTGAGTACAGGAAAGGGTGTGAGCAAGCTGAAAATGAGGCCTGTATGACCCAGGGCCAGATCCTGGGGTCAGTTTGCTGTACCTGTTCAGGCTAGATATTTTTGTGCTGTAGTTTCAAGTGTATAATATGGGAACAGCTTCCCTGCGCCTGCTTTTCTCTGCCACCCAATGTCTTTCTTGAGGCCACAGACTCAAGGCCGTGTGAGCCACACTTACTGCGGTCACTCAGGTCCTTGACTCTGACCGTCCACTCTTGCATGTCTCCGTGATCTAATCATGGTAGAACTGCCTTTCATCTGGCGCTACCAGCTGAAGAGAAATTCTGTAAATGTTAAAGCCAGTTTGGGCTTGGAAGTGGCAGGTCACTAGCCTTTCACCCTATGGCCAGCAAAGAAAGAAGCGGCCTTCAAAGTCATTCTCAAACCTGTTAGGCTTGGCATGAGCTGTCTTTCCTATGGGGAATAAATGCGAAAGTTACTCAGAGGAGGCCGACAGCTCCAGGAGAGCCTTGAGAGCTAGGAAATCACCAGGGAATCTCGGGATGCAACTACAAAAAAAATAAATAAATAAAAATCTTCAGACCCATGTGAAGAAGTGTGGTGTGTGCTGAATCTGGGAGAAAAACTGTGGTAAAATAGAAAATGTCTTTTCACACATTTCCCTAATTGGATGCGGTGTTTGTGTGTTATTGGCTAGGAAAAGGACCCCAAGGAACACTCAAGTCTTTGAATAGTGTGCAAGCAGGGATGGGGGTGGGGAAGACCAGGGACACTGATCTGTTAGTTAGGGATCGTCAGGTCAGCAGCACCATGATCTCCGAGTCCCTACACCTTCCCTCAGGGGAGCCCAGCAGCCAGGCTGAATTAGTGCTGAGACCACCATCCTCATCCAATCCATGCAAGGGCACAGCTCTTTAGAGCTTTTGCTTCCAAGATGGTGTCAACCTCACAAGCTCCATGGTTTGTGAAAAAGAGGCCTCCAATAGTCTTGTTTCTTGTAGATACCAAGTAAAAAATGTGGCGGACACTCAGGGCTTTGCTTCCCGTGTCAATGTTTTTCCTATGACACAGGAAAGCCTCGAGAGTGCAGAGCCCAACATGAACCCCTAAGGAAGGCCTGGAGCAGAAGACTCAAAAGCAATAGTAGCAAGCGAACAATGGGAACTCCCCGTGGGCCCATTTACAGTCACTGCTTAGTGAGGGAATCAGGTGACAGACGAGGCCAGGGGATCTACGTGAAATACATGCAGGGCATCAGAGGAATTCTCTTGGTTCCTAGAGCAGGGTTGAGTGTCCACGGCTAGATTCGTGTGTCTGACAGCAAAGGACACTCCTAAGACAGCCCGTTCCAGCTGTTCACCCTGACTCTTTACCCAGATCAAGACTCTCCACCTACACTAAAATCCAGGCCAAGGCAAGCTCTGCCAGGCACCCTGCTTCTGCCCTCCCCACCGTGCACTCCCCGCCCCCCCAAGACACTCAGGCTCACTCTGCTTTGGCTCCTGCCACGGCCTGGTTGAAGAATGCATTGGCCGAGGTTTCTCTCCCGGTGCCAACAGAGAAGCCCTTCAAGGAGGGGTTGAATTCCCGGAGGATGTCTGGAAAGACAAGGGACATGTTTACCAATGGTCCCAAAGCAATCTTCCCAAGCCCCTTTCTTACTGCTTTGTGACAGGGTCACCTAGGTATAGCCCAGGCTATCCTTGAACTGGTGATTTTCCTACAGAAGCCTGTTGAGCGCTGGGATGACATGGCCAACTGTCAAGTTCCTTTGGCCACTCTGTGGAGGACAGAGCATAGCCTCGGCACCACAGCCCAGCACGGAACAGAATGTTGGGTGCCCCAGACTTTACAGCAGTGGTCCTCAGCTCCCTAATGCTGTGACCCTTGAATGTCTCATGCTGTGCTGACCCCTACCATACCATTATTTTCGGTGCTACTTCATAACTGTAAATTTGCTACTATTATGAACCATAATGTAGAGAGTTGACATGCAGGAAGGTTTTAGGTGACCCCTGTGAAATGTCCTTCAACTCCCACAGGGGTTACGACCCACAGGTTGAGAACCTCTGCGTTATCAGGCGCAGCACTGAAGATTTTCCCATCAGGTCCTTGTTTCTTTAGGGATTTTTTTTTTTTATCATGAAAGGCTGTTGATGTCTTTTCCTGCATCTATTGAGATGATCATGTGATTTCTGTCCTTACTAATTTGTATATGTCAATGCAACCTTGTATCTCTGGAATCAAACTGACTTGCATATGGTCTCAATGTGTTCCTGAATTTAATTTGCAAGAATTGAAAATTTTTGCATCTATAATCACAAAGGAAATGGGTCTTTTTTATGCTCCTCTGTGTTCAGCAGGGTTGGTGTGGGGACAATGCTTGCCGTGTAGTGTGAGGTAGGAGGCGTTCCTGCTTTATGGAATGGTTAGAAGACCACTGTTAGCTCTTCCTCAAAGGTCTGGTAGAAGTCAGTCAGTCTGTCCCATTCTGGCTTTTCTCTTCACCTAAAAGTTAATTTCCTCGTTTTCTTCTTCAAATGCCCTTTTCCATCAATTTTGAGAGTGTTTTGCTGGAAATAGCAATTTTGATCAGCAGTCCTTTACTTTCAGGGCTCAAAATATATAATTCCACATTCTTCTGATTTTTATGGTGGCTAATGAGACCTGTTATTATTCTGATGTATTTCCCTTTGTGAGCAAGTTTTCATGTCCCCCTTACAGCTGCTAATATTGTTTCTTTACTTTCTAACTTTTGATATGCTGTCTATAATACATTGTGGTTCTTGGGTCAGGTGGATTTTGGATTCTAAATGTCTCATCCTTGAGTATTTTTCTCTAGATTTGAGAAACCTTATGCTATTAATTAGATTGGATTATTCTGTATTCCTTTAGTATTTATCTCTCCTATCTTATCCATTCTCTTTCTTTCCTTCTTTCCTTCCTTCCTTCTTTCCTTCTTTCTTTCTTTCTTTCTTTCTATTTTGTTTCTCGAGATAGGGTTTTTCTGTATAACAGCCCTAGCTCTCCTGGAATCCACTCTATAGACCAGGCTGATCTCAAACTCACACTCTGTACAGCAGGCTGGCCTCGAACTCACAGAGATCTGCCTGCCTCTGCCACCCAAGTGCTGGGATTAATGGTGTGTGCCACCACTGCCTGGCTCATCCAGCTTATTTTATCTGTTCTTAGGTTTGGCCTCTTGATCATATCCTAGAGTTCCTAGACAGTATGGTCATATTGTTTTTTTTTATTGCTATTTGATCAAAGATTTCATCAACCTCGTCCTCCATCCCTTATATTCTTTATGGTTATAGCTATTGGCATCACTTGCTTTACGGAACCTGATTTCACCGAGACTCTCCCTTCTGATTTCTGGTTCCCCCACGTCTCAACGTCCTTGCTGACTTCCCCCCACATTGCGGACCTGTTCATCCATGCTTGCTGATCATCAGTGCTTGCGTCTGTCTTTAGGGTGGCATGCCCTGCGCTGAAGAGTGGCAGATGCCATGGGGGCAGAGTTGTGTCTCCCCCACACCCTGTACTGGAGCACCTGCTGGGTTAACTCGAGCCGGGCACTGGATGGGGGTACGTCCTGACCTTGCACTGGATGGGGGTACGTCCTGACCTTGCACAGGAAGTCAATTCCACACACCCATTTACCCCGAATCTCCTCCCGCTAGGAAAGAAGGCTGAACAGATAAGCTAAGTGCATCAGGGGAGGCCGCCTGAGAGGTGACACGGTCTCAGTCATTTGTAAAGCACTTTGGTGGATGTTCTTGGAACAATATGACGTCTTGCCAGGCCACCTCAAAGCCAAGATCATTACACTCTCAGAAGCAGCCTAAGTCACCTCCTAGCAACAGGGGACAGGAAGTACTCATGACACGGAACTGTACTTATTTAAATTCAGCACGGTTTTCCAGGAACTAAAATAGATAATAGGCATGAAGTCGAATCAGGCATGCCAGTCTGGCTTTAAGTATCCCTACTGTCTAGCCTTGCTAGCTTAAAACTCAGTGTCTTAGCTCAAGATATACCAAAGGGATACGTACCTGAAAAAGTAGTAAGAATGAAACCAACCAACCCCTAACCCCCCTCCTCGGGCAAAATTCTTAGGGGTATCTAAGAAGAAAATAATTCACTATAAATATCGTCTAATGCCTTATTAAAAGAAAGTGCACTTTAAGTATAAACACTGGGGTGGGCAGCACTAAAGATAATGAATCAAGTAGCATAATGGAAAGCACTGCCCATAGCCACAGCCCAAAAGATTAAAGGTAGACCCCCCTCTCGGAAAATTGTAGCCAGGCTTTAAAAAAAATAATCTGAGTGGGTTGTTGGCAAAGCCTTAAGGAAAATGTTGAGCCCCAAATATGAGCCTGAGCAAGGTAACTTCATCTCTCAATGCTGCAATTACTACGGGTTCATACAGCAAGGTCCTTGTGAACAGAGATGCCCACGCCTCCCAGGCCTAGGTGGAGAGCTCCCCAGATAGGCTCTGAGTCCAGAACCGCGGTCCAACCCTTCTTTATCGGATCACTTTTAAATGATTGTCCTAAGATTTGGTCTAAGCTCTCTTTCCTTTTCTTACTCGTTTATTGGATAAAGACGACTTCCTGTTGAAAAGCACTAAAAAGCTGACAAAACCCTCCAAGGCTTTGATTAGCTCAGGAACCGAGCCTAGATGGCAGCCACGGGGAAGCAGTGCCCCCTACTGCACGCAGCTGCGTCCTGCTGCCTTGCGAAGCTGGCGGCCGCCAGTAGGGGGCGCAGTGAGCTTAGGCGTAGCCACCCCGCCCCCAAAACACCAAGGAACTCACTGGCCAGGGTGGTCACCGTCCTGATGTTCTCATCTCCTCCTATGCTGTTGGTGAGAAGGGAGAAAGAAAATGAAGGTTTAAAGGGCCAGCCAAGCCTAAACAAAACAGATTTCCCTCCGGAATCACAGCTCCAGGGACTCAAAACACCCATAATTTCTTCACGAAAACTAAAAACCAAATCAGGACGCAACTCTTTTCCTCTTTCCCTGGACACCAGAGCAAACAAACAGACATGAGAACTTAAACTGTCGCTGCTGCAGCGGCTCCTATAGTTTTAGCTTTGAGTCCCTCTCATGCTGGAGCAGGGAGAATGGAGTTGGTCTCTCTCACTGCCTTTCCCAATCCAGAGGAATTCTTTTGTGGCCAGCCCAGTGCCAAGCAGATTCTCCATTACTGTCACTAGCTTACTCTGGTCTTTCTGTTCCTGATTAGCTTGGAAAAGCTGTTTTTGAAAGGGCACCCTTGTCAGGGTCTCCCGATCCAAGCCACCAAAGTCTCGAAATAGCACCGACTTCTATGAACAAAACATTTGTGCGCTTTCACTGCCCCCACCACCCCGCCACTCCCATCCCCCCACCACCCCGCCCACCCTGCCAACATCCCTCCCCCCACCCCCCACCTCCCACCAAACTCCTGTCCACACCTCCTGTTCTAGGGATTATAGTTTTTTTGGAGAGGTCGATAAATTGAATATAGAAGTTTGATATAAAAAGAACAAGATAGCCCAACCCTCACTTGATGATCTGTTTTTCTAGGAGGCTCGGAGGCCTTTGCCTTGCTCACCTCCAGGACAGGCCTCGGTACTGAGTTAAGACATCCAAGACATTCCCAGTTTTGGACCCGGCCCCATTGGCTGCCTGAAAGAGAAAGCAAATGGCGGGTGGGCACCACTGCTTTTTCTCAGGGTACCACAGCTGTCCACCTATTGATGTCCAGGCCCTTAGCCTGGGCAGGATGCCTTGGAAAGTTCTCGAATCCAGATGGAACCTGCTATGGATACCTCTCCCGTCCTTTCTGGGATTAGTGTGCGCTCCCACTGGGAGAGCCTGGTGCCAACCACAGCTAATCCCTCCTCCGGGAAACCCTGTCTAGACTGCAACTGAGAGATGCACAGGCTGATAGCATATATTTTTGCAAAAGCACATGCTTGAAGGTACTGTGTCCACTTTTAAAAGTTGTGAAACATATAATCAAACGAAGCATTTGCTAAGCCTAGCCTCATCACATCTACGCATGTGCAGGTGAGACATGGCGTAAAATGTACTTGGGGGTATCTGCTCCCCTGAAGCACGTATTTCTGAACTCCAGGTGGAATCCCCAGGTTATGCTTACTACAGTTTGGTACCAAATTCCCTTTTCTATCTGCCACCATGGCACACTTGCTGCCTCCCCTAGAAGTCCCTAGCACCTGTGTGATTCTCTATGGCTCTCTGTCCTGAGGGCATCTTCTAGGAGACCACGGAGGAGGGTAGGGGGTTGGGTGAGATCAAGGCCTCCCTCAGCAGGAAATGACTAAGACACACAGCTAGTAAGATGCCAAGGACCATCCTGCCAGTTTCTCCCAAGGGTTACACACAGTAAGACCTTTGGGACAAGCACCTGCTGGGGTCTCACAGCGGAGGTTGCTATAGGGATAACTAATATTCTGAATCCTAGGGCTTTTAGAGCCAGCAGCTGAGCAACTGGGTACTCACTGCATCGAACGTGAGGAACGCCATCCCTCATAGGACTTTTATCATGGGGCTGCAGAGCGAGCTAAAACACAATTGTCCTTGGAGAGTTCAAACCTGGAGATGTTGCCTTCTAATTGATCCAGGGGACAGAAGCTGGAGACGACAGTTGAACTCCACCAGGAGTGATCCTCTGGGGACCACCCCTGAGGCTCTCTATGGGATTGGGGTTTTTTGTTTGTTTGTTTTGTTTTTAAACAGGTAGTTTGTTTGGGGTATCACTATGGGACAGTTCCAGAGGCAGGTTTGTTCATCTTTGGAACTTCTACGTCTTCTACTGACCCTCACTTCTCACTCCTACCTCCATACCCATCAGTCCTAGCTCCTAGGTCATCATCTCTTTTGCCTGCCTGAGTAGTAGTAGTCTTCTAGACTGACTGAATCTTTGGCGATACTCATGGCAGGAGATGCTGCCTCACCACAGACATGTGCCCTCAGGGTCCTTCCACTTTTCCCCCATTGGCAAAGAATGCAGAGATTGGAGTGAATATCACACTGTATAAGACTCGCTAGATATTGGGCACGGAGGGGAGATGTGGTGGGCTTGGAGATTAGGACCAGAAACAGGTTAGGATTAAAATCTCAATTTTCAGATCCATATTTTCATGTTCACTAAAATCTCCTCTCCCAGCTGGATACAGTAGCTCACAACTGTAACCCCAGCACTTGGGGGGTAGACCCAGGAAGACCAGTAGTTCAAAGCTAACCTCAGCTACATAATGAATTGAGGTCAGTCTGAACTACATGAATCCTGGTCTAAAAAGCATAAACAAATTCAGGCAGTGGTGGCACATGGCTTTAATCCTAGCACTCAGGAGTCAGAGGCAGGTGGATCTATGTAAGTCTGAGGCCAGCCTGGTCTCCAGAGTGAGTTCCAGGACAGTCAAGACTGTTATGCAGAGAAACCCTGTCTCGCAAAACCAAACCAACCAAACAAACAAAATGCAAAACCGAAATCTCCTATTCCTTCTCCAGTTGAGGTCACCTACCGTGAGAGAGTCACCCAGGGCTCCAATCACCTTGATGTCAGCCGGCCTCAGCCTGTGAACTAAAAAGCAAATCTCGGGTGAACGGAGAATGGGGATTTCAGGAAGGTTCTGGACCTGGTTCCCTGTGCCTCAGGAAAGTGGCTGGGAAACTTAGCTTTCACCATGGCATACCTTGCTGCCACCAGCAGCCAACTCAGTGACTGAGAAATTGGACAGGATTTGCAGAGCCATCTCAGCTCCCCTTCCACGGAAATACCTCTACCACTTCCATGCTTCTGGCAGAGTGGCAGCTGCCACTCCCACTAAGGACTTGTACTGGGAAGGAAAAGGCCCTGATGTTTCCTAGGATGTAAACTAACACATGTATGGTCATGAATGTAGGCTGTGAGAGTATACAGATTAGCGGTCCTTCAACTGGGTTGTGCACGAGAATCACCTGGAGAACTTGTTAAATCACACATGACCCCCCCAACACACACACACACACTCCCTAGAGCTTCGGATTCAGTAGGTCTTTAGTGAGTCTAAGAATTTGCATGTTTAATCCTCAGGCACCGTGGCCTGGTGTCTGTCTGGGTACCACATTTTGAGAAATAGCTTTTTGTTTTGAAGCCATGGGCAGGGGTCCATTTCTGCATTTGTAGTAGAGACCATAACTGTTTCCTTCCAGGTCTAGGTACAAATTGGCTCCCACGACTGTGGCTGCCATTACAAAGCCTGACGGTGGCTTTGACGTCTTGTTTTGAGACCCTAGAGTCACTTAAGTATCTTTAGAGTCTTCCTTCCCTCATCATCATGCCTTGAATTCACCGCACACACGCACACATTCCCTTTTACGTGATTACAGCCTACGTGGTCTTTCCCAGCCTTCCACAGCTACTCTGCGTGGTTAGCAGAACAATATCAAATCACAAACCCAGCTGCACACATTAACACACGCCTACAGGGCTAAGCATGGAAACTTTAAAATGACCTTTTCCCAAAGAAATCAGGCTATAGAGGGTAAGGAGGGGGGGAAAGCACACCAGAAAATGAGACCCATTCCCTCAACTCCAAAGTGGTTTATTTTAGCTTGTGTTGACGACAGTCAATTACTATATTCTCAGGGCCATAATAGTGAATTCTCTGAATGCCAACTGGTATGCGAAGGTTAGGGTAAGACTTTGTGAAGGCGATGGGCAGATTTGCCTCCACAGTTCCTACATTTATTATAGGCTGAGAAAAGTCCAGATGGCTTAGTGGGTAAAAAGCTCCTGCCACCATGCCAAAAGACCCGAGTTTTGTTCCCAGATTTCACAGGGTGGAAAGAGAATTCCTGTAAGGTGGCCTCTGACCTCCTCACATGCTCCATGGCACAAGCACACCCACCTACATTTATTTATTTTTATGTGAATGTAAAATTTAAAAAATGTAAAAAGCAACTCAAACAGACCATAATTACCTCTTAAATTTGGTGGATAGAAATGAGACAGAATATATGCACATATATATATATATCCTCTGTTCCTCTACTGTGTGTGTGCATGTGTGTGTCCCTGTGTGTATGTCCACATGTGTGCATGTGTCCACATGTGCATGTGTGTCCATGTGTGCACGTGTGTCCATGTGTGTTGTCCATGTTTGCATGTGTGTCCATGTGTGTTGTCCATGTGTGTATGTGTGTCCACGTGTGCATGTGTCCATGTGTGCGTGTCCCTGTGTGTGTGTGTCCCTTTGTGTGTCCGTCCCTGTGTGTGTCCATGTGTGCATGTGGGTGTCCATGTGTGTGTGTCCATGTGTTCATGTGTGTATTCATGCGTGTGTCCATGTGTGCATGTGTGTGTCCATGTGTGTCCCTGTGTGCGTGTGTCCATGTGTCCATGTGTGTGTCCCTGTGTGTGTCCATGTGTGCGTGTGTGTGTCCATGTGTGCATGTGTGTGTTCATGTGTGCGTGTGTCCATGTGTGCACACATGCACACAGTTTGCTTCTGGAGTGGTTTCTCTAGTTTGCCGCTCTGTATTCTCAGCCAGAGAGGCCAGGCCGTATGAAACGAGGCCTGCTGGGAGTTGGCTTATCGGGCACTCTACTGTCATGTTACGGCGCATACACTTCTTTGGTTTAATATTCTGTAGACCTTGGCTGGAGATTTATTAATACCATCACACTGATAAAGAATCAGAAATTTAATAAAAACACTTTAGCAATTGCTCCCTTTGGAAAGGCAACTATTTCAAGATAAGATTAAATTTATGTGGCCTGATTAGATAAATATTATCTGGAACACACTGTTCACTGCCTTGAGAGAAGTTTGACACTCATGATTAATTTATGGATGTTTCTACAGAGAGTCTTTATCAGAAGGCCATCCAAGCTTTGGGCGGTATTATGAGCAGCGAGCAGCCTACACAAGTAAACATGGAGAAATGGCCTCTGCCCACGAAAAGCCATACTCAGGAGTAGCGATTAACAGTTTGGTGTTTTATTCTTGTGTAGCCCAACAACTTGAACCACTCGATGCTACAATCTTAAAAAAAAAAATCAATTTACTCTCTTTGTTAGCTTGGGCTTCTCAATTCATTTGTTCTGCAATTTTAGGGATTTTTATAAAAAGATTTCTACAATGATGGTAATTTACTGACATTAGAATAAAACCCCATTTCTGCCTTTGGAGATTTTAATCTACATATATAGGATAAATGGGTACCTTACACACACGAGAAGTGAGAGAAATATATTAATTTCACTAAGAAATGATAAGATCTGATGTGATGTATATGCTGGGTTTCCAGATTTGATTGTTATATGTTGTATTTGTGTATTTAAAGGCCACATTGCACTGCAAAAGTGTGGATGATTACTATGTATTTGCTATAAGTATATTAATAAAACATATTAGATTGAATGAAAGGTTATGTGATGGTGATTTTACAGATCTCAAAAGTTTAAATAAGAAACTTGGAGACCAAAGAAGGATATATGGGAGGGTTTGAAGGGAGAAAAAGAGAAAGGAGAAATGAAGTAATTATCTCAAAAGAAAAGAAAAAATGATAATGGGTTATTTAGGAAATAATAAAAACAAAGCCTGTAATTTGGGACTTTTTCCCCACTAAACATCTTTGAGCCATTATTGTTTGAATCTGCGGATGTGGAAACTGTGGCTAGAGAAGACTAACATCTTTGAACCATTATTGTTTGAATCTGCTGACGTGGAAACTGTGGCTATAGAAGGCTAACTCCACTGACTTATCTGTTAGTCCTCATTCCTACAATTATTAGACCTCAGTGAATGCTGACTTCCAGATGATGTCCTCTTAGCTACCCTCCAGTTCACTAATTCCATTTTCTACCCTTTCTGTCTGTGCTGTTTACATATCAACAGGGGTCCCAATTTCAATGACTATTTTCCCACGTTAATTAGGGTCCCAATTTTCATGGTCCTATTTTCATATTTCAAAGTTGCACTCAATTCCTCAGCATTTTGGTGGTTCCTTCATCAAATCCTCAATTTGTTTTAAAACACTAAATGTATTTTTTTTTTAAATAACATTGGGGGAGGAAAATACTTAAAGGAGCCTCTCTGGGAGAACTTGAATTTGCTTCCTAGGCTGGATGTACTGAGGGACAGGCAGACTCTTAGTCCCAAGGGGGCAACACTGCTTGCTGATGGCAGGCCACACTAAGTCCCGAGAACAGGTAGGTGGCTTCAGAGCCTCACTGAGCACTGGTTGTTGGGTCTGTGACCGACTGCCTACTGCTGGAACATGGTCATCTCTCACCTTAGCTCTAGGAGAGTTCAGTGTAGCCAACTGGGGTAAACAAATGTCTGGGGAGCTAAGAATCAGTGACTTGAGTGAATGTCCTTTTCTGTTTCACACGGCTGGTCGCAGCCACACACAGGCAGCACCGCATGGATGCCTTCTGTGGTTGTTGCTGCTGAATGAAATCAGAATTAGCAGCTAGTCTTCGACGGACAGCCAGGGAGCCACGTCCCCTCGCACTCCTCAATGCCGCTTATTTTTGGAAAAAACTTAAGTCACCAGCAGACCCCTAGATAGATATTTAATTCATCCAGGCTATATGAGAGGAAGGGGCAGTAAATATCAGAGTATCAGTGTTTATAAAACCATAGTGCTTTGTAAACCCTACAGGTGTACAGGCAGGCCTTGATCACTGAATTCCAAATGCTGATTGGTTCTAAAAGTGACTTGCACCAAGTTTCTGCCTCTCACCCCTGAAGCCCCATAGATCAGCTGAGGCAGTCTATCACCCACGAGCTCTGGCAGGTAAGACTAGGCACCTAGGCACCAGGGACCACGGCCTGAGAAGACAAGCACTGTCCTCTTGTGTAACATCAGTTTTCATCTGTGCATCTGTGACTACAAAAAGGAGTTCGAAAATACTCTGAGAGGCAAAATAGTTATTTTACACCACATTCTTAGAGACAATGTGCGAGTGGTGGTACTGTGGCCTGGCTGACTCTGCGAATTCATTGGATGAATTTAAAATTCTCAGCCATTCAGAGTTGCTCGGTAAGTATTTAGTGGCTCCTCCCATTTGCTAAGCCAGTGGGGGTGTATCATATGCTCTCATTTCAATCAGCAATCATGGTCTCCAGAAGAGGGGGGAAGAACTTTCCAGAAACATGGTAACAATCAAAGGAAAATAGTAGTGTGGTCTTTTGCTGAGGTTTTCCTTTTTTTTAAAACATGAAAATACTTCCGTCATGAATATGATTAGAATGCTCACAGGCAAGTGAAACAAAAACGAAGTGTGTTTTTCTTCTTGCCCACTTATCTTGTTTCCCTAGACTCGGAGGTCTAGCCTGACACTCTTAAATGAGCATGAATTTCACTGACGAGCGTCCATGGTTCAGTCCTACGTCATTGGGGTAGCTCACTGGAGGCTTGGATCTGTGTACTTAAACAGTGCCTATCACTAAGGTATCTCAGATTGTAAAGTCTTGAGATCTCCTGCTCTTGACTCCTTCAAGCACTCATAAACACAATGGTCACTAGGGTCAGGGAGCAAGGAAGAGACTGTCTATCTGGTTTCTAGATGTAGAGATAGGCTCTGATGGACGGTTGCCATGACAGAAACACAATTCAGGGAGATTGCAAGATGCTTTACAGAACATCCTTTCAGAGTGATAAGATTAAAACACAGCTATTAGAACCTTCAAATTGATATTCTATCTCTATTTAGATATATGCATATCTCGATACATATACCTCTATCTATGTCTTAGACTAAGGGTTTTTACCATGGGAGGGTACACATATAAAGATGATTATTTCTGCTGTTAAAGTCCACCCAGCAAGTAAATCAATAGGAATGCAGGGCCATCAGACATAGGAGCAAGAAGTCTAAAGACTAAACATCTTCATGTAAGATCTGCACCACTAATGTGGGGGCTTGGGTGTGGTTTGGTCTCCCAAAGACTCAAGTTCTGGAGGCTTGGTTCTCAATATAGTGATGGGGAAGAGGTAGAAACTGAAGAGCTGAGTTTAATGCAAAGTAATTATGTCCCTGGGGGCTGGGGACTGCCCTTGGACAAGGTTAATGCTTGCCTTGCAAGGTGAATGAGTTCTCATGAGAGTGGGCAGTTACAAATGAAGGTGACCCCAACACATGACTCATTTTATCAATTCTCTTCCCATCTCTGTACCATGTTTTAACTTTGCCACAAGGGGCATAGCCAAAGAGACAGGCCATCTAATGTTGGGTATTCAGGCTCTAAAACCATGGGCTAAATAGATTTCTTCTTAAGGTCCTGGCTTCAGGTACTTTGTACTTCAGATACCAGAATAAACACGAACGCCTATTCTGTTACATTACAGCTTTGAAAAAGAATATGTTTTGTATCCAGGCTCTGTTTTTTTATTGACAATTATATGTCTTAATCTGCCTGTGAAAAGGCAAGATGCTCGGAAAAGGCAAGTTAAGCCATGGTCCTGACTTGCTCTGCTCATAACACAAGGAGACAATGTTACAACAGATGTAAGATTCCTTGTAGGTATTGTGACTTCTCCAAATTCAATTTTCCCTTTTCAGTAATCCAGGTCAGACGTTAAATTAGATCAGCCAGGATAGATACTCCTGAACGGCTTACAGGAGCTACCCAACAATTCACCAACAAATCAACAAGCAAGCAGACTGAGAAATGAGCATATCTAATTATCCTCCAATGGCCAGCATGAGAGCTTACAGCACTAATGTCTTAGCTAAGGTTCTGAGTCACAAGGGTACCACTAATACCGTCACGTGACTTCCCATATGTATGGGCATCGGTTCCCAAGCTGCTTCACCCGCGGAAAAACCTGCAGTGCTTAAGTAGCTTCCTCTTCAGGAAGATGTTAATGACTGCCTAGAACATTCTGTGAGGCTCCTATTCAGAGTCCAGCAGCATTTCAGAAATATAGTGAAGTCAGGAGTGATGCCGCACACCTTTGACACCAGTACTTGGGAGGCAGGGGCAGGTGGCTCTCTGAGTTTGAGGTCAGCCTGGTCTACAGAGTGAGTTCTAAGATAGTCAGAGCTATACAGATAAAACACTGTCTTGAGAGAAATGGAAATAGGAAGATAGGGAGGAAGGCAGGAATGAAGGAGAGAGAGAAAGAGCGAGAGAGTGAGAGAAAGACAGAGATAGGGAAAGAGAAAGAAAGGGAAAGGAAACATAGAGAGCAATGACAATTTTTTTAATCTGCTGGGCATCCCCATTCTGTGTGGACTTTGAACACATTCTGCACATTCCTTGGGTAAGAAGTATGGACTGGCTAATTTGCTTTCTGTTTACAAGTAATTTTTTTAAAGAACAAATTCACCCATCAAGATTATAAGATAGGAACAATGCATTCAGCAACCCTTAGGCTCCTTACATAACATGGCTTGACATGGGGTCAATGCTCAGTCAAAGCTTTCTGATAAGGATGCTATTATTTTAGTTAAATAATAATCATGCATAAACATGACCTCCTGGCCTCGGGCAGGGCCATAAACACCTGTCCTGGACCTTCTCACCCACCTTCACCCTGATCTTGGGAGAGTCCTTGCTATCTTAAAGTTGCTCTGACTTGAATTCCAGCCCTCCAGTGAGGGGAAAACCCACCAACAAATAACCATGTACCTGTGGTGGGTACTGTGTTCGAGGGGTCTTTGTCCAAGCAGTTAAATTCTGTGCCTTCTCTCACCTGAAATGAGACACGCAGGGGATGAATAAACTCACCAACTGGACTAGAACTTGGGGGCAGAGGATTGGGGGTTGGCCCTATATACTGGAAACGACCACTCACAATTAAAACAGAACAGAACTATGTCTGTTAAGATCTCTCTCTCTTTCAACCTCATAGCTCACTGTCCATAACACATTGCTCCGATCTGTCTCCTCCTCCTTCTCCTTCACCTGAGCTCAAGCCGTTAATAGTCCTGTCTACAGTGTTGCAGGTCCTCAACAGTGTCACCTCCTTTAGGCTGGAGGTCCCCTCCTCTCCCTTCACAATGGGGTCTCTCTCTCTCTCTCTCTCTCTCTCAGGAAGATGTAACTGTGACCTTCCCCTGCCTAGATTCTCAGCCAAGCCAGGCCCTTCTGTCTATGCTGTCTATTGTTGTGTCCTCCAAGATGACAATGGTGCCAAGCATCTAGGAAATACTATTCGTTGATTGGACAAAAAAATTGCTGCCATATACCAACCTCAGCATAAAATCCATCGATCCTAACATTTCCCAACTCTAGTCTGTCCTTGACCAAAGTCTTGATACCCTCCCATACCTCTGAGCCTTTGCTTAAGACATTCCTCCAACTCTTTCCTTCTCCATTTTCTTACCCTTCTGCCTCTCAGGTTCACCCCTAGTCATCCTTCAAAATTGAGATCATCTTTAGGAAAGTTATCTTTAACTTTCTGAGTTGGTTTTTCTTCCTCTGTAGTCCCAGAAGACCCAACACAAAATTTTAATTCCAGTTACTATAGTGTTTGTAATTGCTGGCTGGTGTGTCCATTTCTCTACCAAACTGTGTCCTTTTGGACTAGCAGTGTGCTTTATTCATGTTTTAAAATCTCATGTCTAGGATTCACCTATACATCTTCTTCATCAGCTCACAGTCACGACTCGGCCCTGGCCCCGAGTCCTTGCCCCTCTGAGCTTCCGTTCTAGAGGTATAGGAGAGACTTAATAATGCATCCAAGGGAAAACAGCAATATATAGAAACAAATAGCAACGCTTTGATAGGATTCCCTACATTCCAGACACTGGAATAAATGCTTTCTCTTTCTTAACACACTTTGTAACTCCATATGGTGAGACTATCACAGTTACAACTTCCCAAATGTAAACCAAAGGCGCGGGGAGGTTGAGGGCCTTTCTTATCCACACATAGCCAGGATCTGGAAGACTCTGGATTTGAAGGTAGAACCAGTGGCTTCATTTCGCTGTGCCTGCTTTCTTCTAGGTGTAAAAATTAGAAAATATGGGGCCCGTTGGTGACTCAGGAATCTTTCTCATTGCATTTCTTAAGAGTAGAAGCTCACTCTACCACTTGGAGCGAATGCTCCCATGGGAAGGGAAGGACCAAGTCATCTTTATCCACCTTTGTCCTGGTTCTCTGAGAGCAAAGACGTCAGTCTTTCGGTGTTTGAGCCCTGAGGAGTGCAAAGTGCCCTATCTAATCTCAGCGGGAAGAATCCAGGTGACTCTGAGATGATAAGCCACAATCCAGATGTGTACAGTGCAGGTCAGGTTGGACTTTAAGGCTATCTGGTCCCCAAACTACCTGGTTCCAGACCTCAGCTCCCTTCTCCCTCTACCCTGACAATTCTATCTTCTTCCTTCTCAGATTAAAGGCTCAAGGACTAGCCAAAGATTTGTGGAGGATCCGAGGTCTCTTGTCAAACTGCCACAGTGCCGTGGAACCCCAACTACCTCATGTAGCTCTGAGAGCTACACGGAGTCAGGTCTAAGATGGTGTTGATCTGGGCCACCAAGAGCAAGCCACACACACACACTTGAGGTCCTTTACCCCCCAGTCTGCCCTGGCTAAATTTCGGGTACCTGTTGCAGTTTCCAGAACTCCACAGCTCTCGGTGTGCCCAGAGGCCAGTGGAGTTTTCAGGACACAGAGAACCATGTGGAAGGTTACAAAGACTCACGTCTGTCCTTTCCTTACCTGAAGCCTTCCTATGGGTTTCAGCTGTTTGGCCTGGTAGTTGCTATTTCTGTAGGTGAACAGATAGGGGCTCTCCTGCAGAGAAAGGTAGCATATAGCCATGACCCAGAGCTCTCAATCCCATAGTAATCAAGCCCATCATCGTTGATATGGTTAACTGAAACGTTCATGATGTAAGGTTTCAGGTGGGGGCAGAGTTCAAGAGAGACACTGAGGAGGGGTGTTGGGGAGTAAGGAGTTTATTTTTTTTTTTAAAGTTAGGAGTGTCACAGACAAGCAGAAAGATAAAACATACATGGTGAGGGCTCCAAGGACAGCACAGAGCCCAGAGAGAGGCAGCCTGGTGGGGTCTCTGAACAGTTGTACAGAGCCTGGGTGCAGAATGAGATTGGGGGTTGGTTTCACAGTAGAAGTCTGTGAACTGGACATGAGCCAGGGAAAGGGCTGGGGAAGAAGGTATGTGATAATATCCCCACCCCCTTGGATATAAATTCTCTTTCCAGTGCAGAGACCCTGGCCCCAGGGGTCTGTTAGCCAGGGACTCGGTAGATATCTGTCAGTTTCTGTGACTGGGAAAAGGCTGCCGAGGGTGTTGTGGCCTGGGCAGTGGCTGGATTCTAACACTGAGTTTTCACACATATCCTCTCCATGAATCCAGACCTTTCCCTGCCCCTTCTCTTCCTGTTGCCTGATGGCCTCCTGAAGAAAGTCCCTGGGGCTTTGAAATGGCCCACTTGCAAGCTAGTCATCTCTGATACTTTCTCCTTCTCTGTCTCAGTGGTCTGTATTACCCAGCTAAACACAGGAATCTCAGACAGAAGAGGACCTCATTTTAGGCTTCAGAAGTCAGAACAAAGAGGAAAGGAGGTTTGCCTAATCACAATAAACTTACTAATTCTGCTATCAAGAAAGCAACCCTCCCCCCAAATCCACCTGCCTTCCACGAGAGAAGGAATTTCAGTCATTGATGTTTGGTTATTTCCTCATCCATGTCTTTGGAAAGATTATCTATAGATTTATTACATTTGGGGCACATATTTAGGATACAGCCTTCAAGACTCCTTAGGACCTCATCAGCTCTGCCTCCTGAGGTATAGGAAGGCATTGATGTGGCACCTGGGGCCCCAAGAAGGCTAGCGGGACCATAACTGGAGGCCAGGTGAGCTGTGGCCTTGTTCCTATGATGCCCACAGGTATGAAGGGTCTTCACTCTGCTCTCACAGTGCACAGGAATCAGTTTTAGGACAACCTGTGCTCAGGTCCAGAACAGCAGGCCCAAGACTCTCGGGGCTAAAGTCTCAGTAACACCCCACTTTTCAGTGAAGTCCACGTTGTCACCCACACCTCACCTCACCCAGCCCAGTGTCTCCTACCTGAGACGGACATTCCAGCCTCTCTCTCTCCGTTGCATCAAACAGTTCATCTTTGTGACCCACTGGCTTCATCTAGAAGAGAAGGTGACAGCTGAAACAGAGGCCTTGTGTAGGTAGCAGCCCTCCGTGGCACTCCTGAGATGGGTTCCTCCAGCCAGGGAGCTCTCCGAGTCTGACTCTTGGGTCAGTAGCCCTTGTGGGCATTTCCAGCTTCGTCCTAGACCGAGGGGTGAGCAGCTCAACTCTCAGGGAAGTGTGGCCTACATCTTCCTAGGGATGTGGTAGTACTCTCGTTTGAAGACCATGGTGTGAGATTGGTGGGTTTTGGTGGCTTTTGATGGGACTTCCTAGCCCACCTCCCCAGGAGTGCAGTAGGAGAAACTGAACATGGTTTGGAGCAGGTATCCAAGGCAGACAAACATTGTTATTCGGAGTCCAACCAGATTATCACAGCGGGTCACGTGGTTTCCCTAGGGTGGTTACCATACTTGGCATTGTGTCCTCCCCTCAGTGTCCAGTTGGCTGGACGCTGATAAAGATTTCCATGTCAAGGACAGTAGAGATAGGGAGGAAGGACAAGCCCAAGCAGTGTGGGAAAAGCCTGTATCTTTTGCCCCAGTTTTCCCCTTCTTGAGGCTATAATCTACAGCGTGGTTCTCATCCTCCTTAATGCTGTGGCCCTTTAATCCAGTTCCCCATGCTGTGGTGGCCCCCAGTCATAAGGTTATTTTCATTACTTCTTCATAACTGTATTTCTGCTACTGTTATGAATTGTAATGTAAATATCTGACATACAGGATATCTGAAATGTGCCCCCCCCCAAGGGGTTGTAACCCACTGGTTGAGAATCATCAATCTACATGTACACAAACCCAGGTTCAATTAAAAAAAAAAAAACAACCAACAAGTCTGGATTGAAGTTTACACAGCTGCCTATGAAGTCAAACAGGCCCCAGTGTTTGGCTGGGCCACACAGATGGAGTGACAGGGAATGCAGCTTGGCCTCCACACTCGCAGACAACAGACTGGCTAGCAACTTGAGAATTGATGGCATCGGTACCACCATCACAGAGGCCACCTGACAGCAGACAGATGGTACTGAGAGCAGCAGGTGGAGCCAACAGCTCAGAACTGCAGCAAAAGCACCCGAGAAAGGGGGATGAAGGCCACTGAAGAACGAGATGAAGGGTTTTGTTTAGGTTTTCTTCAGTGCTGGGTGTCAAGAACGGGGCCCTCTACATGCCAGGCAGATGCTCGACTACTGAGCCACATCCCCAACCCAAGGTGGGCGATTGTTTTTAAAACTTCTTTTTATGGACTGGGGAATGTATCTCAGAAGAGTGCTTGAGTCCTGGTTTGATCCCCAGCCCTGAATAAAGACCTAGTGTGGTCATGCATGCCTGTGATCCAGTACTGTGAAGGCAGAGGTGGAGGATCAGAAACTCCAGGTCGTTCTTAAGTAGCAAGTTCAAGGCCAGCTTGGGCTACGTGAGATCCTGGATATGAGAGAGAGATCGAGAGAGAGAGACAGAGATGAGAGAGATATAGAGACAGACACAGAGGGAGAGGAAGGGAGGGAGGGAGGGAAGGAAGGAGGAAGAGAAAGAGGAAGAGTTCAGAGTTGAGAGGGAAAGAGGGAGGGAGGGGAGGGAGGAAGCCGGGAACTTAAAAACCTGCTGCAGTGGTTGAAGGGTCTTCGGCCCATGCCTTTCCCTCCTGTTTGGGAGCCTTCTGCTTTGCTCTCAGCCCTGCCGCACCACAGTGCTAGGCCCTGGTAGCAGTTTTGTCCCTCACCCCCCTGACAAGGACTTTGACAGGGATGTGGTTGGTTACTGGCTTGGACACCCCCTCTAGCTGTCACACAGATAAACCACAATGATTCAGATGCCCCTCAAGATCTAGTAATTCTGCATTTGTGCCCCAGATACCCGGAAGCCAGAAGAACGTTCAGGACTTGTGGCTTGTTCTGATCTGGTGGGAGGAGGCAGATAAAGGGACACAATTACAGTCAGTTCTGGAGGAGTGGCAGGGAAGAAATGGGCTCTCAAACTCCTTTCAGTTTTATTTTGATGCTGGCCCATCCTAGGAAAAAGGGAGCGCTCATGGGACCTGGCTAAGGGCTGGGTCAACTGCTCTGCATTTTTCCCTCAGGCTTTCAAGAATGTCAGAATCCAGAGAGAATCTGGAAAGAAACTGTATCTATCCTGACGGCTGAATTCAACAAAACCCTGCAAACCATTTCAAGGGCTCCAGAGAAGGGCAGTTTATAGGTTTGCCCACTAAACCTGCTTTTGTTTAGAACCTCATCTTAAATGAGCATGACGGTACACACTCGTAATCTCAACATTTGGGAAGCCAAGGCAGGAGGACTGCTTAAATTTGAGGTCAGCCTGGCTACAGACTGAGATCATGTCTCAAGGCCAAGGCCAAGGCCACAGCAAGCCTCACGTTAAATGTTCCCATATCAGTCATACAGTTTTCTTACACTGGTTCTAACTCTGAATCCTCAGAGAAGAGAGAAAACCTGATTACTTCAAATAGCCCCTCTTCCTTCCTTCTTCTACCCCCCGGGGCTGCTGTACCCACAGGCACCGGCTCCCTTCCCCTCCCCCCAACATCTGTCCCTGATCTCATCCTTTGCTTTTGCTTCATCTTCCACTCTCTTCATTGGTCTCCTTCACTCTGCTCTGCCACTGTGAAATTAGCTTACATGGGGACGGATGAGGGTGATCGTAAGAAAATCATCTCTGGGGGTTGGTTAAATGGCTCAGCACTGGCCGCCAAGCCTGATGCGAGTGTGGCGGGCAGTCCTCTGGCCTCGGCACGCACACCGTAGCTCAGTGCACCCCTCCCTCGATAAATAACTTTTTAGAAATCGGATCTGGAATGAGTTCCTCTGAAGTATGACTACTTCCCACGTTTCCCCTCCTGCCTGGTAGCGCTAGCATCTCGCCGCTAGACTCAGCTTAGAGTTGAGATTACTGGGAGGACCTGGGATTGAATGTCCCCAAGGGTGTGTCCCTTCAGTACAAGAATTTCCAGAAACTGCTGAAGAAGAAGCAGAAAGGACCCAGAGAGAATGAGTTCTGCCCAAACACAAATCTTCAGCTTAGTAGAGGGGGCGCAAGCTGCAGCCAGGGCTGGGACCAGGGAGATCAGGAACCTAGCAGAGTTCTAGTCCGGGTGTGCGCAGACAAAACCACTCACCACCTCTGCATATGTGCAGCGCTTAGAGCTCACACCTGCCCTCTGAGGGCACAGAAGACAGATGCTGATGTGGCCCGTGTGTAGTCACACATGGCTCTGTGGGCTGCAGAGATCCCTTTCAACATAGATTGGTAGTCAGGAGAAAGGCAGGTGAAGGTCCCTGAGATTATAGCACTTCTGACCACCCCCACACCCGCCGCTACCTATCTAGGAGGAAAGCCCTCCCCCTGAGGCTCTGTGTTTGAATGTGGCATAGAACATGTAACCCTGGGTATGGCCTCCATGGTTTGGGGTAAGATAAACATACAAACCAAGGGCTCCAGCCTCCCCATACTCTAAGGGACCACAGAACTGAAAGACATGAAGGGAGCCCACAGGCTCCCCTAGCTGAAGGTCATTGTACTCTCTTGGCAGGGGAGAGAATAACATGACTCTGTCAAGAAGCAGCCAGATGTGGGACTGGAGCCAAAACCACTTTCTGACACCCTCTGCCTCGCCCTAACCTGTCACATTCCAGATCCTTCATGGGCAGATTCAAGCCTGCAGGAGCTGTGGGTGGGTTCCAGCAGAGTGGTGGGTGGCCTGGTATTTTGCCAGTGGGGAAACGGGGGAACTGAAACACTCCTTTCTCCCTTTCTGGGCTGTAGGTGCCTGGAAGGACTTAATGGGAAACTTAGTGGGTTTGCCGGTGTTGGACTGGAGAGAGGTCAGTGACTGCCACTTAGGACAACTGTCACTTACTCTGGGAAGTCCTCCTGGCACTTGCTGTACCCCAAACTCTTATCTCCCTCTGGGCACTCGCTCCTTGTGACCCTTGAGCAGGCCAGAGGAAATTGGGTCAGCAGCCCAGGAATGCCACTGGACCGCCTGATAAAAAGTGGATGTCGTCACTACTGCCACCAACGCTGAGGAGATGAGAAAGGGAAAGGGTCCCGCCCTGCTGTGCTCTCTTCAGCTGTTCCTGAGTTCTAGGTCTTGTCTGTCGGCACTCTGAGTCCCATCATCCCCATACTGCCTCTCAGATAGGCCAGCCTCCCTCCTGCCACTCGGCGATGCACTTGGCTCATTATCCCCACACCCTTTGCTGAGAGGCCCTGGTGCCAAGGGTGCCTGCCCTGCCCTCCTCCTGTATATCACTTCAAACTCACCTCAAATTCCGTCTTCAGGGCCCCTCCTGACCTCATGGTCCATACTGGGTTTGAGGATCTGCCAGCCCAGCCCTGCCGGCCAGGACACTTGTGCCCTGTTCTAACGACTGGTACCCTCCCAGCTATAACTTGAGCTCCATGAAGACAGGGGCTACACTTGGTCCTCCTGTACCCTCTAGCACGAGGCAGGGCAGAGCAAAGTCAGACACTTGTTGGCCGAGGAAGCATGGTGTGGCAGAGGCCTGAGGCTGAGCTGGTACAGTCAACCCTGTCTCCTTGGGAGGTCACAGGAGGTCATGAAGCCCGGGGTCTGTTTTCTGCCCTTAATGGAATAAAAGGTCTCAACATGTGGATCACAATCCCTTTAGCAAAGCTCTACCTCCAAAAATCAAAAAAAAAAAAAAACCCACATTTACATTACAATTAATAGCAGCAGCAAAATTACAGTTATGAAGTAGCAACAAAAATAATCTTATAGTTGGGGGTCACCACAACATGAGGAGCTGTATTAAAGGGCCACAGCATTAGGAAGGTTGAGAACCACTGGTTAGGGGTTATGCCACCCAAGTGCCTGCCTCACCAGCAAGTGCCTTTGGAAAAGGCCTTGGGTTTCACTGCCAAAGGTCAAAGTGTTTCACACATGGGGTCACTACCACCGTCCCCTAACCTCCCTGATCCAATCTCCACGGGTCACCTTGGAATAACTGAAACTCAGTATACTCCATGCAGCTCACCAGCTGGAGGAAAAGAATGAGATGCTTCTAATCCAAGGAAGAAGAAAACCCAATGCATATTGCTGGGATTCTAAGGATACGGCAGCAAGGATGGGCAAACAATGGCAAAAGAAGCACCCTGAAAGGGCACCAAGTTTTGGGGTACCTCCCAAAGGCCCTGGGAAACCTTTGGGGACCCGGGAAAGCCCATCATTGTTAGGGAGAGTAACACAATCTAAGACATGGAGGGTGAGAATCACTGAACGCGTGGGGTCAGGGGTGATGTGTTTCCTGTGTGGGGGGTTGATACCTGAATTGATGCAGGCATGAAAGGCAGGATCTAATTCGAGCCCAGGCCATCTCTCTGACGACTGTGATGGCTCCAGGTACCACCTACACCTTTTAAACCTGCATGGTGCCACTTCAGAGAGGAAAACGAGTAGGAACCTCAGGGAGCCTGTGCCCTGAATGCAACCTGAAGCCAGTCAACTTACCCAACTCTAGGGGCCCCGCCCTGCCTCTGGGGAAAGCAGGATGGAGCTCTGTACCAGCTCGCCATTGGTAAGTCAAGGCTGTCCCTCTGTGAACCAGCCCACAGGCTGGCACGGGCCACACATCTCCACACTCACCATGTTGTTCCAGATCCTGAGGGCGAGCGTGCTGGGATCCTGGGGCGAGGACCTCTCCTGGAGGATAATGAGGTAAGAAAGGACTGTCACCCCACCCCCACCCCAAGGATATGATACTGTACACCTATGTGGACAGGGCCTTGGCCCATCCAGCTCTGTCCTCTAGCCCTTCCTCAAGGAGCAGTACACTTATAGGAGTGCTGTCTGGGGTTAGGGTTTGGAGGTCAGGGCTGGCAGGAACAGGGTGAGTCTCTGGTTTCTCTGTATTGTTATAGAGCCTTCAAAACTGTACGCAGACCAGGAGCAGGTGACTGGGAGGTGACTCCACTGGGGCAGGGAGGCACGGGCAGGGAGTCCTTTCCACTATGAACCGTGACTTCAAACAGCAAGTAAGTCTTGGAGGTGGCACAGGGAGGCCAACAGGTAGGAGCTGGCAGCTGTTCCTCCACATAGCCCTGAAGGCTCAGGGGCTACAGAGACCCCGTTAGGCAGGCATGCCCGTCTCTCAGAGCTATACAATCCTCCTCCCTTGGGGAGGAAGACGCAAATGCCTCTCTCCAGGGATGGAGGTAGAGGAGCACACAGAAGGAAAAGCTAGAGGGAATGGTCTGGAAAACAGCAACCTCTGTAATCACAAAGGTGGGAGGGGGTACCCAGGGCTCCTCAAGCCCCAGGCCCCGAAATCTTCCACATGCTAGCTTGTGGAGTCCTGACACCCACTCCAGATGGATGGGATATTAATAACAGTCCTTGTTTTACAGGTGTGAAACCAAGGCATGGGGAAGTCAAACTCTTTGTATGAGGTCACACAGTAGGCCCACTCCCAACACAGGGCTTTAGGCCAGGCTATCAGCCTCAAGGCCCTGCCTCTCAGAATCTGCCTCACGGGACTCTGCAACCCCATGAGGGAACCGCATGGGAAAGGGTGAGAGACTATGGTGGCATTGTTCCGGAGACTGCACACCCGGTATTCAGGGAAGGCTGTGGAGGAAAGGGGGCTGGGAGAAGGCAGGGGCAGGTGTGCGGCCCAGGCTTCCTCACCATCTAGTATCCATACTCGCGATGCCCCGCATGGCTCACTCACCGAAGGTGGTTCTACCTCATAGAAGAAAGGCTGGAAAACCACTGTGAAGGATTCATGGTTGTTGAACTTGCTGGAGGCCAGGAGACCTTCCCAGGTTTCCTGGAGAAGGGACAAAAGAGTGCCCGCTCAAGAGCCCACGCCAGCCAAAGTTGTTTGGCATATGAAGATCCTCCTTCAATCAGCTCTACACATCATTCCAAGACCCTCACTCAACCACCTCTACACGTGACTGACAACTGTGTGCTGCTTGGAAGGCCCCCCTTGCCTTACACTTTGGGGCTGTTGAGGACTGCAAAAGAGTTTTCCCTTGCCTCTGAAGTCCCGGCACCAAGGCATGCCAAAGAGCTAGAGACGGTTCTCTGGAAACTCAAGAAGTACAAGGCAGCCCTGCACGCCGTGGAGGCTAGGTCTGCAAAGGCATGTGCCATCAGCATCCCCCGCTCCCACTCAATCATACCCAGAGTGGACAGTGCCACACAACTGTGAACTTACAACTGTGGCGGAATGCCATCTTGTTAACACAGGTCAGCGGGCTCTGTATTCTGAGCTGTTTGCCAGCCAGAATAGCGGCTTCCACTGAGCCCACCACGCTCTACTGGGCCTCTTTGGTCAACTAAAGTGTGTGGTGTCAGGAGCCATGACTTGTCTCCATACAGGCACCATCTGTATGGTGTGTACGGTGGGGGTTTCTGGGGAGGAGGAGGCAGGGACAGGTGCATGGCCCAGGCTTCTTCCCCATCTACTGTCCGCATATTCAAGGCCTCACATAGCTCACTCATCGAGGGGGCTTCCGCCTTGGAGAAGAAAGGCTGGAGAACCAGCACCAATGGTGGCAAAGAACGGTTGGCACAACTCTTCACTAGCTGTGGTCAAGCATGATGCCCCACTCCTGCACAAGCTGTGCCTCTAACCGTAATGGTTCCTCCTGGGGAGAACTATGTGGGTGCCTCGCCTTGGCTCCCAGCAGCCCTGAATTGAGCTAAGTCTTGCTAGAGCTAGTTAGCCCATTGTCCCCTACCCTCCCTGTTCTCCTTCACCCTCCCATGTCCTCCTGAACCAGAAGCCCATTTTCCAAGTGGGGCTCACCTTATAGGACCACTGCATGACAGCCTTGGACAACTTGGTTGTCTCCTCTGAGCAATTGCAAAGCTCGGGTGCGGGGCTGCAGATCAAAGCAAGCCGTGCATGATTGCATATCCTGGTGGAATAGGGCTACCCAGAGGCCCTCCAACAGAGAGAGTGACTGGGGTGCATGAGTTGCTTAGAGAGAGGGGAGGGGTAATTGCAGCCTTCGAGGGTGCAGGAGAAGAGAGTATGAAGGTTGGGGTGTATCTTTGCGTTGCCGGTGCTGTGATGAAAGAAACTTGGGGAGGAAAGGGCTTATTGAGCTTATAGATTTTGAATTATAGTCCATTGAAGGAAGTTCAGGGTGGGAATTCAAACTGGGGAGAGAACCTGAAGGTAGGAGCTGATGCAGAGGCCATGGAGGGGAGCTGCTTGCTGCCTTGCTCCTCATGGTTTGCTCACCTGCTTTCTATGGAAGCCAGGATCACCAGCCCAGGGATGGTCCCACCCACAGTGGGCTGGGCCCTCCCCCATCCATCACTAAGAAAATACTCTACAGGCTTGCCTACAACCCCATCTTAGGGAGACATTTTCTCAGTTAGGGTTCCCTCCTCTCAGATGAGTCTGGTGTCACGATGACACAAAACCAGTTAGCACAACTGACCCCTTGCCGACTTGACACACAATCACATCACTGTTAAGCCATAACCTTTCCTCTTGTCCATCTCTTAAATTTCATATTAATCAACATCATATTATAAAACATTACAAAGTAAAAAATCTCACAGACTTTATAAAATCAAATACTTAAAATTCAATATCTTTAAAAAAATTCCACAGTCTCCATAAAACTCCTAAAGCTCCTTCAAAGCTCAAAGTCTCTCAACTGTGGGCTCCTAAAAAATAAAAATAAAGTAAATACTTTCTTACTTTAAAAGGGACAAACCAGGGCACAGTTACACTCTGAACAAAGCAAAACCACACTCTGTGTCAGTAACTCAGAGTTCAATGTCTGGGATCCACTCACACTTTCCTGGGGTCCTCCGAAGGGCCTGGGTCGTTTACCCAGCTCTGCCTTCTGCAGTAGGTATGGGTCGTCTTCTAAGCTCAGACCACTCCAAGGCCTGCTGTCCTTGGAGTCTCCAAAATTCTGGGGTCTCTTGCTGCAATGGGGCTGCATGTTCACCAGCAGCCTCTCCCTCTTCTAGGCTCTTCCTCAGGCACTCCACCCCTCCCATACAGCGCCAAACCTCAGCTGCTCTCCCGCCTTCAAAGCCAGCACCACCTGCCAGCACCACCTGCCAGCACCACCTGCCAGCACCACCTGCCAGCACCACCTGCCAGCACCACCTGCCAGCACCACCTGCCAGCACCACCTGGGTGACTCTTACACTACCAAGTTTGGTTGCCAGCACAAAGTACGACCACCTCTGGAACACAAGTTTCTCTGTGCTCTCAAGCCAAGGCTTCCCAGAAGGCGTCACCTCAGTGATGCCGGTCTCTTTCTTAATCACCGCTAATTTCTCAGCTCCAGCTGCCCAGCATCAATTGTCCAAGCAAAGCAGAAATATCACTCTAATTTCATTTCACCTCTGATGGCTTGTCAATCACAGCTGATTCTCCAAGCCCAGCTGACCTGAACCATAGATTCTCAACTCAAAATACGCAATGACCCCGATAGTGCCTTTAAGTAATTCTCAAACTTCCTTTGGAAACTTCACAGGCAAGACCTCTGTCATCTGTCCAGTTCTTGGGTTCATCCTCCATGTTCTCTCAACAACATGTCACTCTTTGAACACTGAATGACTCTTCTAGACCAAAGTTCCACAGTGTTCCCACAGTCCCCCACCCCAAAACAACATGGTCAGGTCTTTCACAGGAAAAATCAACAAGCCTGGTACCGATTTCTCTTAAGGTTAGCATTGATGTGGAAACACGGTGACTAAAAGCAATCTGGGGAGAAAGGGATTTATTTGGCTTACAAATCCTCAAGCCTTGAGGAAAATCAGGAATGCAAACACAGCAGGGACCCTGGAGGCAGGAGCTGATGCAGAGGCCATGGAGGGGTGCTGCTTACTGGCTTGCTCCTTGTGGCTTGTTCAGCCTGCTTTCTTAGAGAACCCAGGACCACTAGCCCAGGATGGCACCACCCACAGTGGGTTGGACCCTCCCCTATCAGTCACTAATTAAGAAAATACCCTCCAGGCTTGCCTGCAGCCTGAACTTATGGAGGCATTTTCTCAGTTAGGGTTCCCTCCGCTCAGAGGAGTCTAGCTTGTGTCAAGTTGACAGAAATTACCAGTTCAGGGTGGAAGGTACCCATGGAGCCCTTGTCCACAGGGTCAGGATATGACATGAAGGTGTTCTTCCCTTCCATGTGCTCTCCAACCTCAGAAACCTACACCCCATCATTTCTCCTTGTACCTCCCTTCCCATCAAAACTCCTCTTCCTTTCTCAACTGTCCTTGTTCTGGTTTCTTTCAGATAAGCTTCTTTTTTAGAATCAAATACCAGATTCTTGAAGCTAAAGCAAAAATCCTACCAGAAATCTCAGGGATCAAGTTCTGAGACATTGAAATACATTTTGGTTATTATTTTTTCCCTACTCACTAATACTTCTTGTCGCAGAGATATTTTGCAAACTTGCGTGGGTTTGTGGTTGTTTTAAGACTGTATCTCATGTAGTGGCTCAGGCTTGCTTCCAGCTGCTGCACACAGCTTTGACCTTCTGCCCCTCTCTCCATCTCCAAGGGCTGGGACTAGAGATGTGTGTCACCACACCTGGTTTCATGCCATGCTGGAGACTGAGCCCCACTTCTGCATGCTAGGCAAGCACGCTACCAACTGTGGTTGAAACTCACAAATCGTTTGCAAGGGTGGGAGTGGGCTCTATCACTGCGACAAACAAATTAAATAGTGCAACATTCTCACTGACTCTGGCACTCATCAGTATGTGGCGATCATAACCACACAACATATGAAAACTAGTCTGTCTCTGTCTCTTTTTCTTTTCTTTTTTACCTGAACCCAGTCTCTTGATGCTGATGAGACATGTCCCAAACCTCAGAGAGATCCACCAAATTCACAAATGCTCTGGGAACCTAGGGGATACGAAGAGACATGAGACAGGAAGGGACACAAACATTTGGTGGCCACAGCTACCTCTGGGCTCTCT